ATGCAGACAATAAGTCCCCCATCATAATTTGCAAATTTTATGCATGACTGACCACGCTTTCACGCTCCAGTGAGCAAAACGCGTCTTCAGTTTTTTTGCGATTTCTCAAAATTAATACATGCTATTGGGTTGAAATTCATAACAATGATTAATGGAAATGTTCCGGATACGATATGTCAAGGATACGCATGAGTGACCTCGGCGATACGCTCCAGTGAGCAATATAGGATTTTACATTTTCATCTTCTTCTCGAGAACGACACTACTTAGAGACTTGAAATTTACATCACATGCAGATAATAAGTCCCTCATCATAAATTGCAAATTTTATGCATGACTGACCACGCATTCACGCTCCAGTGAGCAAAACGCGTCTTCAGTTTTTTTTACGCGGGAAGCCTGTTAAAGCTGCACGCAGCTCTAGTTTTATAATTGTGTTTTCGAGAATTTATTGGAAAGCATTATTAATTAGTATGCTATCAGATCCGAGGCAATAGACTCGTAACTCTTGGACGAGTAAATAATAGGTAAATAATTTATTTTTAATTTTAGCTATTTTCAACAATATTTTACTTATTGTAACACATTTATACTCTGTAGATTTTGCTTTTTGTTTTCATATATTTACCTGGACCCATTTTCCTTTGAAACAGCTTGGAATCCAGTTTCTGTAGACGTGATATTAGTGAATCAGGCACAAGAGACCTTAGACGTTGTTTCATCAGTCCAGAATACCACGTAGTTTTTGATAACTACAAAATGGGAAAAACCTAAATTACGGTGTTTCCCCGAAAATAAGTCCTATAGCCTGAAAAGAGGACCTAGCCCAAATTTAAAAATGATTTTAATCCAAGCCCTACCCTTAAAATAAGATCTAGCCGATAGCGTGAAATTTGTTTTGACCTAATCGAAGGCAAGAAATCTCTCTTACACGTTTCAAATGGTTAAACTAAAACGCGTGAGAGAGGAAAAGGTTCAATGAGTAAAATCTTCATTGGAATTTATGAATCTAGTGACTGGCATGACATTCCAGAGGATGATGATATGGTCAATTTTGAATAATGGCAGTTTTTTGTTTAATAAAAACGTGTTATTTTTAAGTAAATGGATATCGGGTTTCATATTTTGTATATTTGAAAATCTCGTAATTTTCTACTTCGTAATTTTGTTTTTGATAAATGGCATCCTCCCATATAAGCCCTAGTGTTATTTTTCGGAAGAAAATTAAAATAAGACCCTGTCTTATATTTGGGAAACACGGTGTATGTTAGCATTGGTTGATTAGAATTTAATACTAGTTACACAAAAATGGTTTTGACTAATAACGGATTGGAAGTAATTACTTTAATATTAACTTAAAGAGTCATGTTTTTCATTGAAATCAGCAAAAACAAGTGGGTTCAACACACTTCTATAATTTAGTCTCAATTTGAGTTGTTATCTTCATCTCCACCGTACCTTTCCAGCATCGATTTCCATGCCCTCTGAAATACAGCTTTTCTGTAACTGACTTGCATTTGTTATCAGTGCAATTGATGACAATAGTAAGAGTAATTCAACAATTGAAATCATGCTCATTATGACCATAAACGCTTCGTGATTTTTCTAATTTACCTGTAACAAATAGGAAAACGTGTTGTTCGTATATGGGTTTGCTTTGTATAAAAGTTCATCTTTATTATATGTATCAAACAAAGGTTCTTTAAAACGCCTTATTCAAAACATCTCAACTATATTATCAAAAATTAGAAGTTTATTTCAAGGAAACAACCAAAAATAGAATGAACTGTTGTTCACATAGCTGTAATGTGAATGCTGTTATAGTCTATATTCTATTGTGCTGCTTCTATGCCTCCCAAGGCCCTTTTTCATTTCATAGTTCTTGAGTAGAATCTTACTCATTGTCTTGTTCTATCCTTCTATGTTTACTTTACGTCAAAATGAACTGTTTATAATTTGGGTGAAGATTCTCCGAGTCAGAGGACGCACAGGATACACGCAAAAAATCAATTCATGTTGTGACGATACAAATCTGTGGCAGTTCCACATAAAATATCCTGATTCAGTAACATTTGAATGAACTAGTTTGAATGAAATATATTTTATTCGCATTGCTCAAATTTTCTGTATATATATATAATCGCACCAATGTGCCAACTATGCAGAAAATATACTACTACCGAACGGCCTCGGTTTCATTCTTACATTGACTTAATTGAGCTTTCAAGAAAGACACAGAACTTTAGTAATCAAGACTGTTAATTAATGTTTGTTTTGATTGTTACCTAATTAATTACACTTCTTCAGTATTTTCGATGCTACAGTGTAGGTGACTCGAAGGCGTAATGTTTTGGTTGCCGGTGATATTGCATCTCTTGATGCCGGTACAAGCAACATTTTTATCTAAATTCTTGCAGAATGGAAGGGGAAAGGGCAGCAGAAAGATTGGTGGTATGAATATTCGTTTTGGATCCACTGTGATTGAAACGTAGTGCCGGTTGTATAGCAAGTTCTTGTTGATAGAATTTGCAAACATTTGGAAATACCATATCTAATATTTTGCCCAATCTACGAGTTCCCATAGAGCCGCTTCAATTCTCTGGCCAGAGTTCGGCAGGAAGATTCTGGGTAGAGGATACTTATGTATTCTATTATGACAGTATTTTAATGTCCAACATCAGTGTTAACGGGTATTCCTTCATTGCATTTCTGTTTTCGTTTTTTAGAACACCACGCTAGACTAGACGATTCGGAAAAGTAGTTGAACTGGATCAACCACGCGCGTGAGATGGTCGCGAATTGGTGAAGAACAGCTCATCTCAACTGTGCAAAACGGCCACTTCAGAGGTCGAACAGACATTGTACTAATTGTGCTTGAGATTTCACTTCAGATATTCAGGAATTTTATACTTATCGGACGTCCCAGGCAAGAGAAAAGTCCATAAAATAGCTAAACCATATGGCGGGCCAGGGTTAGTTGGTGCTGGTTGGGATAGCCAGTTCATCTATCCATAGGAATGGCGTATGGTGGTTATAGAAGCCGTTATAATCATTTGAGCCTGCGCATCCCCGACTTTATTATGAAATTAGATTGCACTTGGACGAAAATTGAAGAAAATGTGATTTTATTATGTTTTGACTGACGATGATCTTAAGTTAACTGAATGACGAATAAAAAAATTGTAAATTGCATCACTTTTTGAATACACATATATATATATGATTAGGAATCACTCGATGTTTAGGCCTTGAAGAATATTCAATATACTAAAAGTACATTTCTGGGTTCTGTAAAAAAGTAACCTATTATATAATTTTCGGCTAATACTAAAATACTAGGTTGACCAGGTGAATTAACTTTTAGAAGATACCCGTTTGATGGCCGAAAATTCGTGCAACATGCAAAAACAATTGCCCAAAACACAAAATAAAACGATCTGTGAAATAGTGAACTTTACAAATACATGTGGATTTTGTTTGTGATTCTAATAGCAAGTAGAAATTTTAAAAACAATAACATAAAAAATTGCCTACAAAAATTGTACAGTAATTATTAGAGAAGAAACATCCTAGATCGGGTGGTTTTAAATACAAGCCGCTTTAAAAAGTCACAAACATTGTTTCATATGTGAAAATAAAAAAGTTATGATGTACCAAGATAAAACCTCAATTATATTCAAACTGCACAATTCTAATTAGGCCTACATTGAATCTTTTTTTAATAATATTGAGCAACATCGTTCCTGGGCCGAATCCATAAAATCCGAAATATACGGTAGATTGATAACCACGAAGGCACACCAATCAAGTCAAAAACACAACAAAATTTTAGAAAAAAAAAAAGACAAAGCGAGGATGACTGCAAATCCAGCTAAAAGAAGAATAGCCGGTAGTGTATACCCATGTAAATTGCAATAAAAATGTGTTTCATAATTTAAATTCTATGTTATTTTGAATTCATTTTTTACACATTAATAGGTAAGAGTTATAATTATATTATGGTAGATTCCTTTCAATAATCTTTGCTCTCCATTGTATTAAGCATGCTCCTAAGACAAAATGTTTAATATGTGAAAAAATTATCTATTTGTCATGGTTATAGTACGGACTTGAGACTGCTTTAAGCAAATTAAGCATTCAGTGAAAAAAGTGAAGCCAGTATGCGACTAAGAATGACATAAGTTTCAAAAGTGAAAAGATTTGCTTCTTACAGTGTTACTCAATTTCAAATTTGTGCAATTCATTTTAAACAACTATATCTGGCGATGTAGAGAGCGGACATCAATGTGCGGTGTATTGACATGTGGAAAAATGTGAGAAGTCACTTTAATTTAAAATGCATAGAAAATGTAGCATGATAGTAGAGGTAATTTGATGAAGACTTTGCACTTCATTGTATTTAGGAAAACAACATAACATAAGACAAAGCAATTTTTGCAATATATGGTTTAGCAATATGACACGACAAAAACAGACACATTAATTTGAAATGACAATAATGGATGGATTTTTAGTGATAAATTAATTCATTATTTGCATCACGCTATCTGAGCAATAAGAAATAAAACGAATTCGAGTATAAATTTTAAGGCTCCGATGCAAAGCATGTTGATTTCCTAAATATGAAATTGAAGATTAAAGTGTTACACAATACAAAGACTATCGTAAGAATGAATGCATGCAATTTTGAATTATTTCGAACTTTTATTAAGTTTTATGCATATTCCTATTAATTGCATCATGACAATCTTGCACAAAGAGTAATTACCTGCAAATGCCGAACAATAGGTTGGGTTGAATATTGTTGGTATCATGATCAATATTAGAACTAAAAAAGTTATATTGAGAAATGAATTCTCTGTGCCATTGTAACAAACATAATTCTAGTAGTATTTATTCTATGTGGAAAAGTACACATAGATGAAAATTCCTATGGACAATATAACAATTAGAAGACTACGCAAAAGGATGACTGCTTTTGGATCTTGTTCAATGCTTGTAATTCTCGCGATGCTTTGCTTCTTCTCTTCATATGTTTGATGCTCCGTTGTTGTTGTGTCACTGTATCCACAGAACCATTCGTAGCCTTTTCTCCATATACTAACCTTCCCCTCATTCTCTTCCTCAATCCCTAAAAACAATAGTTTATAAAACAATAGCAAATTTTAAAGCATAAATAAAACTGGATTGGTTTTGAGTTTGGAAAGTTTCACACTCCCCCCTTTTGAAATTTTTGTAAGATTGAAAAGTTGCTAGGCATTTGTGACTGCGTTTTTTTGAAATCTTCGATTGTTTTTGTTAGCGTGGCGTGTTTTTTAGGCCATAAACACCTTACTTTTGTGTATATCCTTCCTAAATCACAAATTTCCCTCAGCATAATTACTTTTTTGTTCTCACACAGAACAGTGAAACAAAGAAGCAAAACGAGTTATTGTATATTCATCGGTGACGAGATACTAAAGATAAATAAATAAGTGAATCTGTAACCCGAATTTTCTAGATTGAAAAGCGGCATTATATAACACTAAAATTAAAATCACTTGTTTTAGGAGGCCAGCGACAGATTAAAAACACATGAAAAAGATTAAACATAGTCAGTCGTACTCGCTATGTACCTTTTTTTCTTGCTCTAAAATTACCAACCAAAACTGATGCGACTTCTTCCCGGATTAGGATGATATACAAGATAATTAATGTAAAGAATATATAATCAATTTTTCATTGTACTCGATAAATTTAAGATTAATTATTAAAAAATTTTATATTATACTATACTATTTTTCTCAAAAGTTACCAACCTTTAGTAACACTTCAATGAAAAAAAATGCTGAAAAACAGTCTGAAAGACCCTTGGTTAAAATTTACTGGACTGTACGGGTTATTGTATAAACAGACATATCCTGATTAATCAAATTTAATAGTATATGAAAAAGAATTAAACCTTCATCTAGTTTTGATTTTTCATTTTTTTCTGATAAATTCATCATTTCAGTCTCATCTTCTAACAAATCATCTCTTCGTTCTTTCCAATTTTTAGTCCACCAGGTAATTCGGGAAATCTGTGAATAATAATATTTTTGATGAAATACGATAAAATGAAACATAGAATGACAAAATTTTTACTAACAATTTCGCAAATATGCATGATTGAAATGATATACCAGTAGTTATATCGATACCCCCATAGTATGTGCACCAGGTTAGGGTTAGGCCATAATTTTATTCTGATTTTGGTTTGTGTCAGCCAAGTGAATATACCCCCTGCCCATAGGTTTCAGTCCCTTAACACAACTTGATGTAAAGTATATCTACAGTATGTATATATAGAAAAATATCCTAATTTAAATGAAAACAACATGAAAAACAAAATTTATGATGAGCAAAAAACTGATTTGTATACGTACAGTAAAATTTGAAAACCATCAAGTCATTGGAACATATACAATGCATGCTGCATTGCTATCTGAACTTATGTGTGAACTTGCTAAACTATTACATTTGATACCTTGCCAATGTGTAAGTAAGTAAGTACTCGGGCGCGTATTCCCCAGGCATGTACAACTGTATCACTCGTATCACACTTTGTAAAACAGTATGTCAATGTCAATTGACAGTATTACATCGCGTAATTAGTAATATCTATAAATAAATATAATCAGCCTGTGAGTGCAAATGTTCAACTGATTTTTTCAACTGACAGTCTATTATAACTGAAGTCAGCATGAAACAGAATGAATTTATTATGTTTTTGATGATTGAGTAAGGCAAAAGCAAATTTGTAAATCTGTGGAATAAGCATTAAATAACATGAACTCAATCTTGTAAACTTCACAGCTGTTTATGCAAATTTCAAAAACATACAGACAATCATATAGCTGAAATACCATTCCTCCAGTATATGGTTCAAACGTAACAGCAATTATTAAATTCAAACTATTTGCACATATTTTTACAATCTCTTGCACAGTATCTTCTTTCATAAGAGATTGCAGATGATTTAATACACCACTTTCACAGAAAAAAACTTTCACAGTGTACAATAACATACCACACAACTTGTAAAACGAATGCTTAACTTACCTGTTGTTTTGTCGGTTTTTCTGTAAGCAAACTTACAATGACTGCAACTATAATTGTTATGGCAAACAGGATAAAAGCAAAATACATGAAGTGAAGTCTTCCTATTAATATCTGGTACCATTCCGGCCTGTATAAGAAAAATTTTGTTAGCTAAAATCTTAATTCTTAAACAGTGAAAAAAAGCATATCATAATCATAAATGAGCAAATTACAAACAATTCGAAAGCACATGAACATGTGTTTTTCCAGTTTATTCTCGCAACCACACCAACATCAACGCCGTATCCTCTCCTCTTGCCTATCTCGAATGGATAATCTTAAGTTTTTTTGTGTGGCCGACTGGATGTCTGAAGTCGGTCATATGGCCCACAGACAAAAAATGTTGCACACGCCTGTTCTTAACAGTACTTAAATAGCTTGTCAACAGCTCTGTTTAGTAATTGTAAATCTAAAAATTTGTCATATCATAGAATTTTGCATGACACTTGGCCTGTGAGTATTCATCCTCAAATAATAGATTTAATCTGGCCAAGATGCAAGTCCATGCTCCTGAAACAATTAATCGACAAACAAATCCCATATTTGACTCTGAGTAGAAAATAGATAAATGAAAAACAGTAGTTTGATGTATGATTAGCTATTTTATTGTGTTTTTTTCTTTCTGAGATAAATATTGAAAAACTTAAATCTTATTCAAACTCTGCAAAAAAATATTTACAGTATGTACCTTTTATCAATGGTGAGACAGGATCCTGCGTCAGACTGATAAGCGAACACAATAAACATTCGAATCAAACCAACAGCAATCCCAGTCAATAATCCCCAAAACGCACCCTTCAATATAAAAATGATGGTTAAAGAATATATTTACCTTCAGAATACATTGCTATGACGCAATCCTAGTGGATAAAACATTGGACCAACATTTTTCAAATGGGGGGCTGGGCCCTGGGGGGATATTGTTTTGTTTTGAAAAGGAAATATTACTTTGCAATATTAATTTGCACAAATTCTAGAGAGCGACTTGTACTTGTGTATAACAGTAGCTACAGATCCATTAAAGATTGAACAAATAACGAAAATAGAGTTTTAATGCATTGTGAGGATGGAATTAAAAGTCCAACACAAGCTGTTCAACCTGTTCATTGCATCGGGTCCACAAAACAGCAGTTAAAAACACAGCTGCAATGGGAGGAGACAGATATCCACTGATTTCTTGAATTGAGAGAAATAGTTGACCTCCTTGAAGTTCCAGCATAAGTGGAATCTAAATTAGAAATTGCCATAACATGACTTTTAAAAGCAGTAACGAGTTATGCATAACAGTTTTCATTAAACACAATTTCACTTGTGTTCTGGCTTTCAATAGTTCTTGCTGGGTTACTTTATGAATCAAAACCACATCATTATTATATGCAGTTCATACTGATTATAAGTTGATTAAAAGTGGCAAAATGATAATGCTATGGTTTCTTACTGAAGTTGACCTACTAATTAGCAACTAGTTATATCCATAATCAGAATTTTAAAAGTTTTTCCCATAATTTACATCTCTCTTTTTACACTTAGTTGAAAACTCTTAGCCATGCTTTGTGCTAATTTGAAAAAAATTGCTAAAAATGAAGAAAAAATAATCTATACTAGTGTATAACAAGATCAGTGACTATTAATAATGATTATAATAACATACAAATGATATAAGCATAAAAAATATGGAAGATAAATGACATAAAAACGAATGATGATACCAACTCACCCATGCAATACTGAGTCCCACCATAACTAACACCCACACTCTACCAACTATCATCATTTCTCGAGTTCCAGCTTTTGTTCTGATAACTCGCTTCCATATATCGATGGTAAAAATTGTGCTTGCACTAGAGGTAACATATTGTTATCATATTATGTACATTTGGGAAGAGTAAACGAATCAATGGTAAGTGTCAATGCATAAAAAGTTAACAAACAGAACGACTATTTCATTAGATAGAAATGGTACAAAACTAATTCAGATAGAAAGAAAAATCGAATTTTTTCAAAAAGTTTTCCAATCACCATAGAAATATTCACAAATAATACCACTATATTGCACACCTGAAAAAAAAAATTTTTTGAACTACATTTCAATAAATTTGATAACATTAACACTAACATTTAAATAAATTTTTGGCCCTATGTATTTTATTTTGTATTTGTCGTGGAATTTTACAGGTACTATAACAAATAATAATGTGCAAATTATACGGTGATTTTAACCAAAATTAATCATAAAAGTAATCAAAAAATCATGAAGAAACAATATTTCCGTTACTAGCATTTTACCTGTTAAATATTGAGTCCAAATCACTCATCAATGCAGCAATCATGACAGACATCATAAGACCTCTCGCACCTTGATTTTAAAAATTGTCAAATGTAAACAAAGTTATATTATACTCACACAACCTATAAATTTTTATAAAAAACTTTTGATATTTCAAGCAAAATAAATGATTTCAAGAAAAACACTATTCAGGTATGTTCATTGATAATAAATTACTTTATCATATTATTGCTGGATTTTAATTGTTTAACTAATTTTGCAAATTCATAAGAAAATATGTACCTGTAGGCATAACACCTAATACAAGCCTAGGAAATGCAATATTGCTACATCCTGTTGTACTTTGACAAACTTCATAACAAATATCAGGATCGACACATGCAACTTCATCTGGAAATAACAATATCTTTAGTAGGCAGTCTTGAAGTGTAATGTATTCAGATAAAAATGAATACTGCATATAAAAAGTGAACACAAAATGCAATAGAAGTCATACGATAAAATAATTTTACCAGTATATAATATTCTGCTGATCATTCCTGGCATAACCATGATGAACATGGGAAGAATTTTGATGAAACCAGCGAGTAATGTCGCTCCTTGAGCATGAGATAAACTTTTTGCAGCAAGAGCTCGTTGTACAATTACCTGTTTAAATAAATAACTAAATTTTTCCTTGATACTAACCAAAAATATTTTTCAATTTCTAAAAATTTTACTTATTTCCAACATAACTTGAACATGTCAGAATAAATATTTCCTCGAAGAGAAAATTTTATAAAAACTATATAATTATTTTAAAGTAAAATTGCCACTTTCAAACTAGCAAAGCAAATCATTCCAGGTAATTTGACAATTTCATTTGACATTTTGATGAAACAAAACAAAATGACATTAATTCATTATTGTCATAATTAACACATTATGACATTAATGTGTGTTCCATTTTTGTAAAATCTATTGTACATTAAATATTAGAAAGCTCTCAAAAAATAATAAATTTTTTTAGAAAAATATATCTAATTGATTAGTGAGGTCATTCACTTTAAATATTACACACATATGGTGTCCCAGAATTAGCTTTCCAAACAAGTAATAAAGTATTTTGGTTTGAATCATATTCACGAAGATTTAAATTGGAACTCATAACAAAAAATAATCTGCGCTTGAAAAAGGCAATTGTAATCAAATCATAAAAAAAACATAAAACGAACCTCACTAACAGAGAAAACATTTTTCATGTTATTCTACAACTTTCCACAAATAGGCTATTCACAGAATGACTTATATGACTGTAATATTAAGGATAATATTAGCCATCTGTGATGTCACATATACAGTGAATGGGTTACAAAGATTCCAATTGAATTTAATTATAACAAAGAGTATATTCATTCGAAGTTGTCTAAACTAAAATTAATGAACTATGTGTTAATATTAAATATCACTTAATTCATTAAGCTTTCATTCATTACTTCTTTAACTGACGTACATCCCTAGCATAGTTCTTCCCAGACTGCAATTGGGGAAACACTGATTTTCTGTTCGAAAGTATGTTAGATTTGTATAATACCGTACTTTAAAGATTGTTTTTTGACTTTAAAAGTTGCAAACCTGATCTGTACACCAGTACCAGATGGAAGCAGGCGTTTGACCAATCAAAAATCCAATCCATGGCATGTTTTCATCACTGGGTTCACGCAGCATCACAAATGAATCATTGTATGGAACTCCACATCCTGGAGAAAGAAACACATTTATTATGATAGCTAGTACCAAGGTTAGCAAAATTGATTTATTTTTTTCATTTCAACACTGAGTCAAGATATTTCACAACATATCAGTTACGTTCCTCAGGACTCTGCAAATTCCTTCTCATATGTAATGAAATATAAATATTAAGAGCATTAAAAATTAACTAGATATTATATTGCATGGTTCAATCTTATATACGTATTTGTTGCTGAACAATTGGTAAACGATTAATATCACAGACTGGCAATCTGGGATTATTGACTTGCTTTCAAATTGAATCAACCATGTACATGTCAGTTTTATAAAATCCTATTTGTCTTTCAAATCCTTTCTTCGAATTGTTAGTATATTCTACACCAACGATGACTTTTATTGCTATAATACAGCATACAAACTCAGACCATTGGACTTTGGATTATTGGTATGTTTTCAAAGTATGGGAATGGCTTATTGCGATAAGAAAACAACAAGTACATTAATTACATCATTTTGTGGACTACCAACATATAAGACTACCAACATATTTATGCTTTTTTAAAATGATGGCAATAGAGAAGTAATCACAGATACAAAACTCATAATAATATTAAACTACTAAATACTAATATTAAAAAATACTAATGTTAAAAAAGTTTCACTCTGAATATTTTACGCATGTCTAAGTGTATTCTGATTTCACTTATATCGCACACATATTTGTCTGTTCAATGTGTTGTGAATTTGTGACAACACTCTTTTGATTCATATTATTCAAGCACGACCCCTGGTCCTTAACAAAGCAGAAGACAGCTATATCTGCCTGAATTTGACTTTGACTAACTGATATTACGGTAAGTAAATACCCATCCACCAAACAAATATTGCTTCCTACGAGACAAACATTTTATAACAGGTATTTGGAATTACCTTTAGTTTTTCCATCAATTGTACTCTGTGGAATTGCATCCATGTACTCCTCCTTCATTCCTTCATATCCGCCAACTTGAATAAAACCTTTCAAACAAAAGTAAAATCACAACAAATTGTCCATGATAAATTTGAAAATGATTTCCATATTTATACCAGGTGAGAGAAAAACCAATAAGGTTACTTAATCATATCAGGACCTGCCTTGGTCACCTCATCACCTGCCCATACTGTGTCAAGATAAAAAGCCATAAGTGAGGCCTTTTAATGACATTTTATTCCGACACTTTCAAATGAGCTGGCTCAATGTTTCTGAAATTGTGCTCTTTGAATATGGATGAATTTTATATATACATTTAAGAGAATATAAAATATTTATTGAAACATAGGGCCTACATATTATGATATCCCAATCTGATCAACAGTTATTTATAGAAAGCAATTACATTTGGAAGGTTAACATATGTAATCAATACATTTCTGTAAATGATTTTATTATTTCTCATCACTGTCCAAAGTTCAAGTCTAACCAATATGATATGAATTATATAAATATGATAAGTTTATTAAATAATTTTATCAACCTTTGACCACTAACATTGCAACATTAGCAATAGTTGAAATGATGATAACATGTTGGATAGGTGATGAATAGTTTTTATTATGGCCATGTTTATTCGGTACTCCCAAAGTATGTGAAACAAAATGGCAGACACCGGAACGTAGTATGTACCAGGTTAGGGTTAGGCCATAATTTCAGGTACAAATACTACAGGAGTCACTTGGCTAGTTCCCGGACTCGTAATAGAACTAAACTAAGGAAAATTAGAATAAAATTATGGCTTAACCCTAACCTGGTACACATACTTCGGGAGTACCGTTTATTCTTCTGTTAGAAAAAACATCAATCTTTCTAAATTTCCTTACAAAATTACTGAAATGGGTTATATTATACCAAGGTTTTACTAAGGAGACTGGGAAACGAATACAATTATCCTTCTGGTACTGAATTGTAAGTGTTTGTACCCAGTTTTAGAATATTTCATACTTTAAGACATTTGCCTATTTCTTAGATATTCTGAAAGTCAATGCTGGATACTTTCATAGGCTCAATATGCTTGACTTACTTAGTATCGTTAACGTGGTTGCTCCACCAATCATCAATACTGCCTGCAATGTATCAGTGTATATGACAGCGGCCAGACCTCCAGTGACAGTTAATATAGCAGTGATGAAAATTAAACCTATCATGGAAAGATAGATATTCCAGCCGAGTGACTGTTGAATAAAAAGTCCTCCAGAGTACAAGTTGACCTGGAATAAATGAATGAAAACTTTTAATACATTTCAATTGATTTCTTTTTCATCATACTATATGGGATAATTTTGAACACCTAATAAATTTGGTTCGAGCCAAGTCTAGAACTAAAAATGTTTCTGAAAGTTGAAGCTTTTAACATGAAATGGGAAATTTCCTAAGTATACAAGCTATACTGAAATTCTATCAATGAGTCTTGCCAAACAGAGAACAATTATGTTTTGAGCAAAGATTCCTGGACGACAAAATACTTACCGATACTTTAGTGAATATATACAACAGGAGAGACAAAACAGCAATCATTACTCGAAGTCTTCTTCCGCCAAATCTTTTCGACAAATATTCTGGCATTGTCACAACCTAAACAACATAATGAAAAAATGATTTGATATTTGAGTATTCATCATTTCAAGAAAACTGTAGTTAGTGGCAAAAGATTTAAAAACCTCTAATAAATAACCAGGTTTTGCTTGTTATTGGCTGAATTTAGTTTACTATTGCACATAAAATTTAACTTCAAGTATCTCAGGAAAGCAGATAACAATAATTTAAACCTGCATCTGAGCAAGGTATTTGGAGGAAGGAACAGGAGTTTTCTAAGGGTAATAATTTATGAAACTCCTGGAGTATGAATACATGTGAAAAATAAAATAATTCTTTTGAAGACTTACACCTCCAGCTATGTATACAGGAACAAAGAAGAATCCAAGTAATTGTAAAATCATCAGAGCCTAAAGTAAAAAAGAGAAATATAGTCTAAATTAAGTATATATCATCAATGCAAAACACTAAGATTAATCAACATTTTTAAGCAGTAAGATATCATTATATATGTGTATATTAGTGTACATGATTGATAGAAATGGGTTTTATATTCATAACAGAGCAAAGTGAAGCTGGCATGATTGTTAATTTTTTCACCAAAAACTTCGTTTGATGGAGGCGTCATTCCAACTGTTTCCTCTCAGTTTTGGCTCAGTGGTAATTTGATCACAAAATGTATTTATCTCTAATGGTAGGATATCGTTTAGGTTTTCAATGTTACAAACATCTTGAGTAGATATATTTGCAATGCTTAAATGGAAATTAGTGATTAATGACAAACTATACATTGATCTCCCAAGCAGCAACACCGAGTCCTACTGCAGCACCAGATCCAGCCAATCCGATAAAGTGTTCACTTCCAATGTTGCTCACAAAAAGAGAGGCTCCAACCTATTGGAAATGGGTAACAATAAATTCATGAATTTTATTCTCAATGTAATCTAAATCAATCAACATTTGGCATGGAACAATATAAAGAAAAATCTATTATGAGTGTTAGTACAAAACACACTACACAAACTGTCTAATAATCATTTCCAAAAATCTGCTTTGAACTCTCATTGTGGTTTAATATAATTTAAAATAGTAGAATGTTTCATTCTCTCACAATGAGTACCGTACTAACCATCATCCACAGCATGGATCTTCCAGCCAAAAAATATCCTGTGACCGTCCCTCTGTTCGATCTGCACATTGCCTGTTTAAAAAAAAAATAAAAAATTTGTGAAAATTTGTCATACTGGGCTGAAAAGAATGGTGACTTTTGTAGCTCGAGAAAAAGCATAAGAGATATATCATGGTAAAGTATCAACTTTCGTCTTATTTCTTGTAGTTTGTACCAAAAAGCCAAAAACAGTTTTTGTGAAAAGTTCACTCAGTAGCCTCGGGTGTGAAGCTGTGAAAAATCACTGGATTACTTAAAATTACAAGAAAAAAATTTGTAAAATGATGAAAGACTTCAAAGCATTTGAAGTCTATACTGCGCTGCTTATTAAAGAGCTGCAGTGGTAGAGAATTCAGCAAAGCAGATAAACACTAAATCTATTAGAGCAGGCCTGCACAACTCAAATTACCACGAGGGCCGCAAACTTTGCCACATACATATACAAGAAGCTGAACTACAAATCAAAATAATATTGTGAAACAGTTAAATTTAATGAAACACTTTCATTACTGGGGAGCTTAAAAATAAAAAGAATCTTATTTTCTTGAGTAAAACCAAGGTAGGCCCTACAGTATTTTTGCATATGACATGGAAAATATGTATTGAATTGGTTCATCCACCTTGAAAACCCATCCTTCATTTTTAATATTTCTTTTTCATTAGAATTAGGTATTGCGTGTTGCAGTATAAACTGACTGCAGGAAAATATTTTACTCAGGTTCAGTTTTGTAAAATCGTCCCAAATATATGTATGACAATTTATTTAGTCATATCTACCCTTATTGGATATTTTCATTGTAGGCTAGACAAACAATCCGTTTAGTAGCAATAGATTTTTTGACTGTTAAATTACATTTTTCTACAAAATCTGCTCCAATTTATTTAAAATTTTACAGTAAATAGCAAAATCTTTTGTGCGAGAATTTCTGCACCATTCATAAATGAAAGAATTTTTTTTAAAATCTAAATTTGAATCAAAAAAGAAACTTCAGTTTCATAAACTGCTAGTAAAAATAATGGGGTTATTAATAGGTGGCTGATATGCACTAATAGGTGTGAGATTGTTTTGTAATTGGGCGTGATTCAGACTGAATACTGAGATATCTAAATCAGGGTTTCCCAACTGGGGAGCGAGGGGTCGAGCGACGATTTTTAGGGGTCGCGAAGATCACACCAATTTCACACAAAGTTCGATATTTATTGAGGTTCCATTACATTTGAACCCACGTACATTTGAACCCATGACAATTGCACCTGTATGCTATTATACCTATGGAATTTTTTTTGTTTCACGGATAGTTAAACCCATACTAACCCTAACCCATGGGTTTTAGCACCCGCATATAGATTGAACCCGTGGATATACGCATGGGTTCAAATGTACATGGGTTCAAATGTACGGTCACCATTTATTGAAACTAGTGCAAAACAGAAATTATATCTAGCGGGCCGCATGCGGCCCGCGGGCCGTATGTTGTGCAGGCCTGTATTAGAGCAAAACATAATTCAATTCTGATAGAATGCGAGAGCAAATCAACGGAGTATTACACTATCTTTCACTCTCAACACAATGGATGTCTCACACTTGCACATGCAATTTTTCAAAAAAAAACAATATCAAAAAAAATATTTCAAAAAATATGATGTATTTAAAATTGAAAACTGTTTATAACAATTCGACATTCCAGAACTGAAAGCGGACCCAACCAATGTAATGTACTATTGCTATCACATCAAACAATAATTTTTACAACTTTTCATTTACTAAACCATAAAATATTTCTTGTTGTACTATAACTTTTTAGTAAAGATGAGGAATGCTGTAGAACAGGGGTCGGCAACCTTTTGTCGCTCGCGGGCCTAAATTAAGGGTTGCAAGTCATTGGCGAGCCGCACAAATATTTAGAAAGTTGAAAACCAAACGGATGATACTTTTTATAATATAAATCAAGTCAGTGATACACATCTCTCAAATAGAATATGGATTTATTTTCTCATTGCATTGCATCTCAAAAAATTTCATTTGATTATTTTTGCCGCCATTGAACCCTTTGCACTCAGCATCAACTTTTCTGCGTTGCGATGCCATTTGTCTGATTATAATTAAATTATAGGCTTAACAAACGAGTAATTTTAAAGTATATATAGGTGTCTCACAATAAATTCTGTAACATAAAGAATATAATCACCAAGACTGGTGTTTTGTTACTATAATTCAGTGTAGTAATATTATCCAGCCATAGGTTGCCGAGCCCTGCTGTAGAATATAAAATATGTCATTGGTATATATAATTCGCTTTATTGCATCAAGTTGGTTTGAAATAATAACAAAAATCTGAAGAAAAGCAAACATTTCTGAGTGAGAATGACATATGCTAATGCAAATATCTTTTTCATATCTGTTTGTTTTATTTGTTATCGAATCATAAAAAGCAAATAAAATATGGAAATGGTATTTGCTTTGAGTTTAGAAGTCATAAGTAGATCTTTTGTTAGCGACAAACATGCTTTGATCTATTGTGCAAAAATTTCAAACTTCCATGAATATTCTGCATTCTTCCATAAATATGATTGGATTTTATTTAATAAATTGGATTTTAGTTCCATTAGTTGTAAAAAATTATGGAGATAAATGAAAACCTTTCTAAGTGAAGTGTTATTTATTCATTTGGATTTTTAAAAAAATTATTTAAAAAGGCCAGATCTTGTGTTTTGGCCCAAACATATGAGAAACATGACTAAATTTTTAAAGACCTTATTTTGATTAGTGGGGAAGTGAATACTCATTAATGTTCAATACTCAGATATGATTTTGCCAAATGTTTGACAGTCGACAGAATAATTTTGTTTATGGTAACATTAACAGCTTCTAAGAAAAACTTCAATATTGGAAGTCCAGACTCCAGATTATGTATTTTTTTTGTTTCCACATTTGCCTTTACAGGCAGCCATTGAAAAGTAAACAGTTATTATTTTAAAAGACCAATTCGGCTTATTTACTGCATTCTGGATGAGATGACTTCATTGAATTGGACTTGAAACACATTTTGCAACTTGAATTTTGAAACAAAATACTTTCAGTTATTGAAGTGTGAAAACAAAAGTGTGTACAGTGAACTATAATTAATTTGACTATGATTTTAAGTGGAGTTGATACAAATGAGGTAATTGCTTTTATTAAATCAATATATCCCTATGAAGACCAAAAAATGTGTATCAGCTATAATATATGATCTATTAAACTAACAAGATGTAATGGCATTTAAATAGAGATTTTAATCACTGTTTCAAAATATGGATAAGATATTTCATTTTCAAATGTTTGTAATAAATCAGAAACACTCAAAATCAAAATGTTCTATCATTTCACTGATATCAATCAAATCTTCACACTATTCAGTTTAAGAGAAGTTAAAAATACTCACATATAATCCCACAGCAATTACAAATACAAAATACAGTACAACAGTAACAATGTCCCATGTGTCCAATTTTACATAAGTCTTATTGAATTCTGTAGCATTGGTCGTCATGGTTACTGCTTGATTTGTTGTGTAATCCATGATTAATTTCTATTCCAGTATTGTGCTGCTTGCCTAATTATCTGTTGTTCAAAATCAAATGATTAGAAAGGCACATTAATTGTTTCTACTACTGCCAAATTAAAAAACAATATGATAAATAGATGATCATATTTGGTAATATGAATTCAAGATTTTCTCAAACGATGTCAGGTATAACGTAGTTATGTGCGCCGCCCCCAAAGTTAAAATAAATTACAACTAATTCGCCCTTTCTGACCAGATGTAAAAAAGATTTCAACCGCGCGTTTATACAAATGCTCGAAAATGCTAATAATAATACTGTTATTAGTTAATTAATTCCGACAAGAATCGACCTACAAGTACGCTGGGCACGCTATTTGTTTTTCTATCTTCATGTTAATATATGCGAATTTAATTACCGTATATCATTTATCTGTTACGAACCCGTTATGAATGTAATTGATGAATGTTTAGGTCAAAATCGCCGTCCGTGGCAAAATATACATTACACTTCCAAAGTCAGCTAACACCATTCATACCGAATGTTGTGATTGCAATATTATCTGATGTCATGATTTTGGTATATATCATTATTATTTGGGTTCTATCAATTCCTCAATCCTATTTCCTTCCTCGAATCATATTTCATACGACTGCCTGAAATGACGTATAGACATCGCTTCAAAACATTCGATATTAGTTTGTGATTTATAAAATTTGAATATGTTGCAAACATCAACATTCGTGTGATCCTTTCCCATAATCATCAAGGATTCGAGCAAATATTCAAACCATGTAATAACTAACCTAAAAGAGGCGTGCTTACGTAAACAACGCCATGAGTATTTGTTAACACGTTCATTACTCTGTCACTGGTATACATATAATACAATTTCGGAATACAACGACCATCAAATGATCTTTTAAATTTACATAGAGAAGATCACACGTGAACATGTGGTTGTATTTGAGAAAAAAGCGACCTATATTAGGGCATTTTTTTTTTTTCAAGGACGGCCCTTGGAGAATGGCGCTAAACAAATACCAACCAACCGAAAGTTGGGAATATTGAAATTCAACAAAGCACCTTGAAGCTTGTGTTAGTCCACAGACACAAACACGAGTCGACACTAATCTGTTGCAACGCTACCACAAACGACGAAAGACTTGATATTATACACAAACTCAGATGTATCTAGAACGCTCAAAGGTTATTTCCATACCAGCACGTTTTAGTGGCCAAACAAGAACCGTAGAAATCGTTACACGTCCCTTAACCAAACGTTCCTGACGGTTATTCATTATTCTTTGCCACCAGGCATATACGAAATTCCATTTTGTCGGGGTGGATATACACAGAATTTTATAAATTGGATCATTCATAAGTTCTTTGGGCCGTCTGCTAGCCTGAAATGATCAACACCGTTCATGCCACAAACCGAAGTAAAATATGTTCGTTCCCGCCAATGCGTTTTCAAGAATATAATTAGACGAGAGACACCGCCCCAATAACGCCTCAAACGAACAGTGAAAACACGCGGTTCTGGTTCTCTTCGTGAATATACGCAGTATCGATACCAACTTTAATTCAAATATATATGTCAGTTACCGTCTTCCTGCGCATATCCATAATATTCATTAAATACATTAAACGGATTTTATATCGACCAAGGCTTCGATCTACTATTGCGCTGGTTTGAAGCTGATCCGGAAACTGTAGCAATCTGTGAAAGAAGTGTCGTTGCACTATTCGCGTCGTCGCGGACCATTATAATGAAAACAATGAAATGCTAGTAGTATTCCTGTGCAGTTGGTCGAGTTATATACTTTGTCGTAGTATGTCTCCACGGACACAGTTTTGCTGTTAATTTTCACCATTGCTATACGAATGTTAAATGTGTGTCTGAGTAAATGCTGTGTCGTTTCACCAACTAGTAAGACGTCATACTTCAACGCTCTCTGGCTTCCGTCATCTGTGAAATGACTCCCACCAATAAACGTACCACCAACGCACGCCCAAATCGCTTTTCAGTTTTGAATCCCGCCAGAAAAAATGCTCTCTAGGCAGAAAAGAAATATCTCATTACAAATACGACATTACAGGACGCTTACTCATTTAATCATTAGACGTGAATTGTGTACCAGACCAAGCCAACCATTAGTGGAAATGGTTCCAAAATGAACAATAAAACAGTCCACGGCGTTTGAAAAGAATCGTTGGGTATTATTATGTTCAAACGAAATTGTGTAAGCACCCAAAGTGTCATCATTGCAGTTGTTGGATGTAAAATCGTGTGAGCGTATTCAAAATTTATCTGAGTGAAATATCTGTGAACTGGCAATGAAAAAATTCATACGTCAAGTGCCTCTCAAATCTGGTGTTAATCAAAATGAAAGAAGGAACCTTTGATTTGAGTGTCTGTTACAGAGAGTCGTGGTTGCTTCAAAATTAGCTTCGGTTTTGCAAATATTTTCTCATCAGCAGTAGGCTATATAATATTTAGCATACAGATTTCAGCGTCTGAACTTTCTACTTCCGATCGACCCTGAAAGAAAAAATTACCTACAGCTTTCGGTCAGGAAGTGTATTCGGCTATATTTTGCTTTTGAAAATAGCATTCACTTCTCGCATTAACTCATCACCGTGTTGCCGCAATTCATAGAATAAATAGCATCTCCAGCTACTGTTGGCTATTTCTTAATTTCACAACACTGGAGAAGTTAAAAGCGACTTCATAATATAGATCCGAACGGGGGAGACAATTAATAAAATTATATTCAATGGGAATCTACTATCCTAGCTTATTTCAGGTACAAATGAGACTGTAGGTAGGATATCCAGCTGAAGTTGAAAAAAATGTGTTTAATCTTCAAACAATTAACAACTACACCTTAAAATTGACCAGAAATTTATACCAAAGTTGATGGATTGTCCCACAAAACAAATTGACCCACTAAACTTTTGCCTCTCCTTCTTGAACAAATTCCTCAAGTTTCGAAAAGCTCTTGGATGTAATTAAATCGAAATAATCAGTTTGAATTTACCGCCCTAGTGCGATTACACGAGTGTTTAACTAAAAAAAAGTATAATTACCGTATTTGCTCGTTTAATAGCCCGGGCGCTTATTTTTTTGAACATACTCACTAACCGGGCCCTTATTCAAACCGGCCCTTATTCAAGCAGGGGCGCTTGTTATTTTCAACTAAAATTACACACAAAAATACTGGTAGATAAGATTGATCGTTACAATAATTAATACCGTATATTATTATTTCCAGTTCTCAAGTATGATTTAAACGAGAATAATGAAAATTTCGACTTTTTCTACGCACCGCAGGTACAAATCCGCAAAAAAAAAAAATTTTACACCGGGCGGGTATTCAAGCACCGGCCCTTATTTATTTTTGTGTCCTGTTCACACGGGCGGCTATTCAAACGGGCCCTTAATCAAGACCGGGCGTTAAAACGAACATTTACGGTATTTCAACTCTTTTGATTTGTATACATGTTAATTGAAAACCTTTTTATGAAAACCATCACATTGTTTTCAACTCCTAAAAACTGTCATTTTTTTGGCAAGTTTATTATTAGGGTTCTATTCTCAAAATTGTTTTCATTTGGCTGACAAACAAACATTTTATTATATACCTACAGTATATATTGCTGTTGCTCTTCTTGTGCGCATTTTTGTATGTTTTTCCACTCATTTGTATTATCCAATTAATACATTGCAATTTGAAACCACTAATATATTTGTGAGGGGTATATGCCACACCACTGTATCTCAGACCAACAAGGTCTTGCACATATATATGTCCTTTGTTTATTCATTAAGCAAATGATACTGCATTTTGAAACAAATAAACAAACCCCAACAAATTCTTACCATACGATTCACAGATACATTAAAGTCTTCTTTTATATGAATACTGGATAGAATAATGTGTGAACAAAAAAATTGCACTTAGAATATAAGAGGTATTATGTAAATATCAAGTCACAAAAATCAGTGTAATAGTCGGATGAGGAAACGAATACTAACAGACAATCAAAAACTATGAACTTGATACCAGAAGTTTGAAATTCAGAAACATTCCACACTTTTTCCTATTCCACTGAACTACATTATTTGGGCAATGCATTTCTCCAGCCTGCAATTAGTTTTTTTCTTAATTTTCGTACAAGCTGTTTGGATGAAGGTTCTGATGCAACATTGTTATCTTCAAGGGGGTCAATATCATGCAGGTAAAGTTCCCTTGCATACACCTTTAACGAAAAAAAATTAAAATTCAGGAATAAGGAAATTCAGACAGATTTTCAATCTATCAAATATCTTGAAGAATACCCTGGAAATATAAATAAAAAAACAACGAGATGTATTTTGATTGTCATGAATATTCTCGAAGTATGTGGAGCATATTCAATCTTCAGCCGAAATCAATATGGAGAAAGAAGAATAGTGTGAGAGTAACTTATTCTTCCTCACCAAATCAATGGCCTCCTAGCAAAAAAATTTTCATTGGGCACAGATTTATTTTTCCACAATTTTCCCTGAATTTATTCTATAAATTGAATCCAAATGAAAGTTACACCGGTTCCTAATTTAAGTGTAAATTTACAAAGACAGTAACTTATTTTGGTCAGACACACCTTACTCGATTTCTTACACACTAGGATTGAGTAAGGTGGTACAATGGGCATCATGCCAAGAGCTACTCTAACTTTAAAAAATACAATATGATTTTATCATATTATCTTGTGAAGAAAGCTGTTAGGAAAACAAAGAAAATCAGTTTATTTATCCAATTTAAAATAGAGTATTTTGGTTTTAATGGCTAGACATATGCTGAAGTTGAGTGCAAGTGGGGCGAAAGTCAACTCTTCTATGAAGCACAGATAGGAAAATTTGGGACTCCACCATAGTACAAACTAAAAATACATAATAAACATAAAGACGGGAATTCAGTTGCCTGTGAATGAAGTTTACATAGGCAATTTCACCTGTGTGTGAAATAGAACATTAGTGAGAAAATGTGATATAATACCCTCTTAATTGTGAGCAATTAATCTAAGTGGAAAACATAAATTTCAATCTAGGGTCGGAAACTGCTGGAACAGAAACTGTAATCTTATGTTTAGTTGATAAACATACAAATCAAAAACGAATTTAGGTTTATGTTTGAAAATATCAAGCCATAATGTTAGGTACCTGTGAAAAGTTTGCATAGAATGTTACAGGATCAAATCCAATCCATTCAGTATATCGATGATCCTTAGTTCTCATGGTATACCCCATTATACGAATATCCTTTAAATATATATATGTGAAACCAGATTACGAATATAATTTTCCATGTTGATGAAAAGAAAACAGGTCAAAGCACCATTCACATACATCCGAAATAATATGATAAAACACGATTATACAGTAGGCCAGATTGCACCCCATATAAACTAGTCTACACAACACTGTACCAACTGTTGAGGTAATATAGAAGTGCCAAACTTTTCTAGTTCCTTGCCTTACTACTCTTATGTAATACTGGCAATATCTTAGATATTACCTATGTATACTGAGGAATGAACGGTAAGAATGTGTCCCATGGAATTGTAAAAAGTCAGAATGCGAATGATTGCTCGGCAAGATTCCCTTTGCATATTTAAACGTTTCTATCATTTATTTTGCTTTTGAATTTGGGTAACATAACATAATAGTAATTTGCCCAAGAAGTTTATGGCTGACTAGCTATGGTTCAGAATGGACACTCCTATCATTCTGAACTTTTCTACATTATCAGTGAAAGTTAGAAATATTCACAATAAATCATACTTTCAATTTAGGCAAATCAGAATTTTCTCGGGGTTCCACTGAAGGTCTGGGATATTGACTGAAAACCGCATTTTTCCATGGTGTTTCTGTAAGTGAAGCAGAGTAATTCAATGATTTGCATCTGAATAATTTAAAATTACATACACAACAGACATTGCTTCATTTAAGACTTAAGATTGTTTTAGGTCATATAATGTTAAATTCATATTGCTACGAATTTCATTAATAATGTAGTAGTATTAGTGTACTGACACACAATGGAAAAGTATCATTTCAAGTTACACTCTCCACAGCCCAATGAAGAAACATATTTTCTCATTGAATATGAAAATGTGGTCACTGATAGAAAATAGTCTGAAACATCCCTAATTGAACATGATTTTATAAGTGTCAAGTGTAGTACTGTTACTTGATCTAGAACAGTAATTTTATCGGTGCAATAGACACTTTGTATATTTGCTGTGAGTTTAGGATTCCATCCAGTCCATGTCGGGTATGGGATTAGAGAGCCAGTTATTTTATTTTCAGATACTTCCAGATAAGGGGCTTCTACTTGAAAAAATGATCCTCATCAAAACTGCACATAGAAATTGCTTCGTTGGAAGATAATATAAGATGTGCACTCCGTCAGAAACTTCTGCCTGAATGAATAAGGCTCACATGAATAACAGTGTCAAAAGTCATACACAACAAAACATACCTTCGCCACGGACTACATTTTCAAGTAATGTTGCCATGCTCAATCCTTCTGTACAAAGTTGTGTCTGAAGCAGATAAAATAAAAATAAAAGTAATAAAAATTATTCACAGTCACAACAAATCATTGATTATGTATGGATCGAATATCAATATGTGTAGGAATAAAGATATATAAATAAAACAGTAGCAGTTAAAACTCACTTTTGAGGAATTTTTATTACACAGTGGTATCTGAGGCAAGTTAGCAAGATCAGACAAAGTAGGAAACAGATCAACAAGCTCAACAAGTGCATCAGATTTCAGTTGCATTTTTTGAAAAACTTAAAAGAAAAATGTTAAAAAAAGAATATATATAAGGAAAAGATATTTAAATATAAATAATTTAAGCAAACAATAAGATACAAATTGTAGTATTGTCCTACTATGGGTTGCCAGTTTTTTCGAATGAAACATGGGTACAGGGTACGGGTAACAAGACGCCTCACAACCCGCGATGGGAGACAGCATGTTCCAAAAAGTATTTTACTTCACGAAGGGTAGCATTCTCGAAATTTTCAACTTGGTTGTCGAGATAATATAAAAAAAGATTAGATTTCCAAACGATCAACGTGTTTTTCAGCTGTTGTCATAGAAAGGAAACATCAATCCAGGCTTTGGGTAAAACACACTTTACCGAAAAACCTACGTGAAAAATTTCATGCAGATTGGTCCTGCTGTTCAGATGTTAGTTGGATACGCAGACAGACAGATAGTACGTCAGAGTATAAAGGTCTACCTTTTCCGATGTTGGCAGATTCAAAAGGGTCTTGAAATTTGAAATTACTACTGGTTGTTGTCATTTGTGGAATATGGAAGAGGAAAGGCACTCGAGTCACAGGTTCAAGATTTTCAAACTTACACCAATCACCATGGTCTCCCAATGACCAGCCTGTGAATAGAAATTGAGAATAGTAGGCTGTATTATGGGATTTTTTAGTCTATATTCTCAAATAAAAATATTTTCTTTATTAATTAATCTTATATGCTATTTTCACTGACTGGAAAAAATGAACTACAACTATGGGCTAATTAAAAAAAAATCAAACTATTGTCAGACTAAATTAGTAATTTCGAAAATTAATCCGCAGTTGGACATGGAAATAACCAACAAAAAGGCAGAAAAACAATCTATATACTACTATGACATAACGAAATGATTCAATTAAAATCAAACCATGATCTCCGACAAAGGCTATTATGGTATTGTTTGCAAATCCACTAAGTGTTAATTGATTGAGTACTTTTCCCACCATTGCATCCATGTAACTAACTGAAGAAAAATAATGCTGGCGAATCTTTCTCTAAAATAAAAATCAGAATAACTCAAGAAACATATTGAATTGAATACCATATTTTTTTGCACAAACAACCTAAAATATTCAAATTATAGCACTGCAGTCATCATATATTAATAAATAAATTATACATAGTTTGCAGGTAGTGAATTTTACATAGTATTCGCAATACATTTTTTTGATAGAATGTTTGCAAATGAGCATCAATCAATTTTTCTGCCTTTCCAAATAGTACATACTTTCTCAACTCCAATGATATTACAATTGCAGCATCATAAAAGCATCTTTGGATTTGCATACTAACCAATAAAATTGGAGAAAAAGATAATTTTTTAATAAGCAGAAATATGTTACAGGTTTTAAAATGAACCGGTTGAAAAGCATGCAGACGAAAAAGAACAAAACTAAAACATTGACTATTCACAAAATATTTTCAAATATAAATATTGAAAACTGTGCTGGGTTTGAGCATTGGGAATTGAAAGAATTGATGGCCTGAGAAATTCGTACACATCATAGTGAATAGGAATATCATTTTCTCACCAGAAAAGTGAAATAAACATAATTTTCCTAATTTTTAAAGTTGAGTGTAGTCTATTTTAGGTCTGTTTGCCAATCAGAATCAATGGCTCAAAATTGTAAAATTTATGAATAAAAATATCTCAAATTGCTCCTAAGATCTAATGTTAAACATATCGAACATTATATTAACAGTATATGTATTAAACAATTAAAGGGGCCGTTATCTTGCCTGCATCAAAATGGTATAAAAAATCAGTTATACTAAATTTACTCACTTGAAAAATATCAGGAATGGGTCCATAAGGGAAAGACAAGTTGAGTGCTATTACGTCATCTCTTCTTCGTAAAGGAGTCCAAGGTGAGTAAGCAACTGTTGGAAGCTTTTTAGGAACAAACGGATCCGGAGCCAAGTCGATTTTAGACAATGGATAAAGCTCAAGATATTCTTCAGGGAATTTAAATGGAACATGGGGTTTGTGAAAACCAACAGCTAGAAAAAATGGCTGTAAAACAGTAATATCAGATTATACTAGAATTGATGATATGAAAGAGGATGAGTAAATCTGCACATTATTCCAGGTAATAAAAACTATGCATAACTGGAACAACCTTGCTGATTACAGAGTAATTTGATGAGATATTGCCAGTTATAGGAAAATTTAAGAACTTGTTAATTGTAAGGAACTCTATGAACTGGTTCATAACTTTAAATTGGTCTTCAACAGACCTATGAAACAGGCTATGAAAAAACATGGCAGTTTCAGCCAAGAAACCAATATTAAAATTACAAACACTGAAATTACTTATTTGCCCAGATAAAGGTAAAAAAATTACTTAGGTACTCAGTGAGCATTGACTTTTCAAAGGAATAATTTCATTATGAGAAAAACTTTTCATCAAAGTTACAAAAACCTTCATTATTTAGTCACTTCTGGTGCCACTTTGGTATGCGCCTGTGTGATCGCAATGATTTTAATATTCACCTAACCTTAACCCAACGATGATAGGATTGGGAACGGAAATCCTTGAAAATGTTTTTATGAGATTAAACGCAAACCAAATTGGCACCTCAAATGGTGCCACTTCAGTATGCGATTGAGATAATGTTAGGCAAGTGAGATCATGTACTAAATAGTTTCATAACGCTGAGATCGCATAGAACCAAGCTTCTTTTCTACCACAAGCCACAAAACGATAATCTTGAAAGAAAATAGATTTCAGCAATATGATATCAAACAAACCTAATAATTATTACAACAATAGCTAGTATAAAAATGCTTGAAAAATTCATATGTTATTAAGTTTAGTTGTGTATACCCATGGTGCATTAAATAAAAAGTAATGCATATATTATCGATAAGTAGCAGATAGAATAGTTAAAAATAATACCTCCTTCTGTTGATCTTTCTCCAACTGCTTCAGTATTTCCACAGCATGGTCTGAGCTTTGAATATCAGGTAGGGTTTTCTCAGGTTGAGTTGAAACATTGACGGCACACAACAGATTCATTGACAATGTCCCATCTGGGTTGGGACAAACCTATTTGACAGAAAACAAAAATTGTTAAAACATAGCCTATATAAAACAATTTCAAATATCACCTTCACCTTCATACCACAACACTGTTCAATTACCCGTCATATCTAAAATTAAATGATGATTGGGCATGCATGTTTGAACTCATAAGTTTTATTTGAAGTAAATTTTTCCACAGCCAAGCGTGTTCAGGGCCATGCTGTGGAACATTGTAAAAATGCTTTATTATAAAAAAAAAGTTTCATGCCAGAGAAGACCATTGGGTAAATGAATGAAATTGTAATAATTTTCTCGAATATGATCAGCATGCATAGAATTTGAATCTTGCAGTGCAACCCTTGTAAAAGATACTCAAAGATATCTCTTACCGTAATTTTAAAATCTCATATGTCTGGCCCAGGCAAAAAACATGATCATTTTCTCAATAAGTATACCCAAAGTTCTACCTGTGGTAAACATGAATAAAAATTTGAAAGTGTTAGTAACAAAATTACCTTTTGCATTTTATATTTCTGTGTTGATGGATGATAAGCAGGTACAGACCAAGAATAAGGGAAATCATCTGTGCCATTAGAACATTTTCCTGTTAATATAAAATAAAAAAGCTAATAAAGTCACATTGAAATATTAATCGTTATTTGCCATACATCCAGAAATAAATATAAACAAATGTAATAATATATATACCTGGGTGAAAGACTTTCCCGATGGAATAAGCGAAGTACCCATTTTCTTTGAAATGTTGTGGCAAAGTCGTAAAATTCCCTGCATGAGTTCTCCAATAAGAACCAAAGTCGTAAAGTTTTGTAGTGTCTGGTCTGCGACTTGTTAAAAAAGAAGTGCGACTTGGACCACAGACAGCTTGCTGTTATTAATTATCATAATAATATCACAAAAAGATTCATTGGAATAAAATTTTGATTTGAAATCCCATATAGGTTTCCCAGTTTGAATGGCAGGGTATTGTTGTGTAAAGGTTAAAGGACGACGAAACATGTATCATATCAATAGATTTCATTTTCTTAGATGAATCAATACAATTTCAAAACATTACACACTTTTTTCAAAACTTTGTTTTAATCAATAAAAGACTATTGGAAATATGCAAATGATTACTAGTTCCAATGCTATATGAAATGGCCTGGCTGATAATAAATTATGAGAATATTTACACTCCTTCGATTTTCTGAAAATGAGACAAAAATTCACTTTTCTTGAGTATGAACATGAACACCTGTGTTCCCATATAGCATAAACAAGTTAGATCCATCAAGAAATCATATTTACAAACCTGAACATGCGCGTTGTTGAACAAAACACTTTTTGAAGCCAACTGATCAATATTTGGACTGATGATTTTGGGAAAATCATAGCAACCTAGTGCAGGTCGAAGGTCATCGACTACTATTAGCAAGACGTTCCGCTTTGAACCTGGAGTTGAAAATATTGCTGCATTCATTTACTTCAAAACTATTCGCTTTTGCTTCTATACCACGAAATGACAAAATAGCAAACCATTTGCACAAGGGATATGCCTGCGAGTTTAGATTTTCGTATTTATCCTGGAGGATAAAAAAAGCCAAAAAGTTAGATTACAATTACCATACTATAGCCAACACCATTCTGCCATTACTTCCACTTTCTTAATAGCAACAAAATATATTTCACAGCTTCAGTAATCATGGGTTCATACAATTCACTGCAATACATCTATACAAACCTTAAACTTTTGAATTTTAATATGAACACACTTTCAATTTTTAATAGTTTTGTGATTAAGCATGTTGGATTCCAAATCTAAAGAAGCCAACAAATATAATAATTAATGTATAAAAATAATACCAACCTGAGCTTATACTGATGCATACAATTACAAAATATATGAGGGATAAGAATTTGATCTTCATCGCATTCCTAAATAATTAATAATATAATAATTCCAAATGTAAAATTTTGAAGTACTTTTTTGCAAGATTGCTAGTTTGAACAAAAAGGTTAAATATTGATAGTCTGAGAATGATAAGTTAAGGTTTCATTTACGGCGGTACGGTATATAAAAAGTTCATACGATATAGGCCAAACTTGGCAGAGTAGTACAGTAGATTAGATCACACGTAAGATGTGACAATTTAACACGGTCAGATGGTAATAACTAAACGCACATGTTCAGTGTTGTATTGAATTCATTTGCGTGTTAAAACAAAGTCCATGATCCCTTAATAAACTCTCATATTTGATCACTACTAACATCCAAAATGTGCGTAAGCAATAAAACTAAAGTGAGCGATTACAAGAAAATATATGGGGAAAACCACAACGTGAGTGGGTATTCCCCGTCCTTAGTTTCGGTGTTGTGGAGACTCTGAGGTACTTTTCGTTCATTTCTGAGAGTCACTATTCTATATTTTAAGGCAGTTATTGAACGATGGATGTTTCCCCGACCCTTGATCATTACGATCTTTTATTGTACAGGCTCGGCGGTGTGACGCATCGTGCTGAGAGTTAGGAATACGCTCGCCACCGCTTCTGGTCAAGGGCCGGCAACCAACTTGCCTAATGTAAAACAGGTTCATGGACGCCATCTTGTGCCATATTGGGAAAACGCGAAACAATGGAGTCTTATGGAAAATTTTCGTCGTGTTGTTGTACCGAATCCAATAAGTCAGCTGTTATAAGGGCTAGAATGAGGCCGAAGGGTGGATTTTGAACTTTAAGCTATATGCTACTTAAATATATATTGCAATTAAAAATAAAAAAAACTATCTAATGCGTTAAACTTGGCCACAAACACAACGTAGAACCATTTTTGGTCATCTTTTTGGAAACTTTTAGAGTGATACGCCGATTTGACGGAGTATAATGCCACCGCAACAATCCTACAATGTCATTTGGTCTTCTAGCGCAGCTCGGAGCCGAGCAGGCGGGAATTATAGAGCTTGACAGGCGAGAAAATGTTGACCCGAAAATGGAAACGGCCATTGAAGCGAATTTGAGTCCCGAGGTAATTTCGACGAATAAATACAACTGTCCATCTGTGACATCACAAAGAACGCTATTGTCAAATGGTCAATTATGACGATGAGAATGGCCAACTTACTTCGGAAGCAACTCGAAACCGGCATACTTGTATTTAAAGACAATTTAATGTACTATAAATGCAATTTAGCAAACATGAAAGTATATCATCATGTTCGCCTAAGCTTCTACTTCAAAATGCGACCTTCAAAATCTTTCTATCTAAAATATTAATGAAAATATTAGGTATGTTTCAATAATTGTGTGAGAACTTCCCATAAGGCGCCGCGTTATATGGCCGAGAACAATAGGCACAAGATGGCGTCCATTGTCAGAGCGTTGCCTCGCTTGTATTATATATACGCTTTGCTTCTGGTAACCATGCGTGGGTTCGCAGGTTCATATCCGGCGGGGATAATTATGCGCAAGAGAATTGCTAAACTCCTCACCGAAGTAGCGTAGTTCATGTAACCACTCCTGTCGGTTACGGCTTCCTCCCCCATCAAGTCCATGCATGTGAGACGAATAACTGACGAACAAATCCCATACCCGACGAGACGAGAGATCGTTACCGCCATATGATTAAGCCGTCTAATCGACTTTCCTCTTCCCCGGGATAAATATGATCGTATCGTATATTTTGTCGCTGACATGTACGAAGCAACTAGCTTGATTCAAAATATTTAAGCAGCTACCAACTAAAAGTGCTGACAGCTGATTCTGGACTCAACTTTTGCATATTTTCCAGGACTATTTTTGGTTACTTCAAGTTCTTCGAAGACGAATTACCCCTACCTGAGATGTCGATTCATGGGTTGGCAATGGGGATTTGGGTTAGGTATCAATATTTTACTAGTCTGGCAGTTAACAGTCGCTTGTTGTTCTTTCTTAATTTATCGGCTATCGATGGATATTGTGACAATTTCACAATATTTAATATATACCATTATTTTCCTTGACTATATAGATTTAAGTTAGCATAATATTAGTATATAGTGGGCACACGCAGAAAAAACATTGTGAAAGATTAAAGAAAAAGATTGGGCATAAAGAAAACAACAGGGAAAAACATGAAAGAAAGCGGAAATGAAGACAGAAAACACAAGTAAACCAAGAGATAATGAAAGCATATATATATATGTAGAGCCAGCAGAAAGGTTTGAGGCCAATCTGTTGTCAATTGAAGAAATAGGACTAAGTCATCGTTGTCGAAAGCAATAAAAATGTTGAGAAATCATTACAAGGCAGCCAGAATGCGACAGGAGCTCATCGTTGAACTCTTTCAAGAAGATGTCAATAACCGTAGCCAACAACAACAAGTTGAGAAAGCCGTCGGTACTAGCAAATGCGGTAGCCCAATGATTTCAGAGGAAGCTAGAAAGGCATGAACTGATTTTTATTGAAGGGAAGGTATTTTAGACACATGAAAAAGAGATAGCCTACCATTGTCATCAGATCAAAAGCAAGCAAGCAAACGTGTCAAAAAAATTGATAATGTCGATATTTGACGCTCTGTCTAATAACCAAGATTTCCCAGAATCACTTATTGATTATTGGTCTATCGAAATTTGCAGGTATAAGATTTGTGCTTCTCTCGTCAAAACTTCCAAGGAATGTTAGCACATGTCAAACCCACGAGAACTTGTTCTAAATGTTTCTTGTATCAAATCAAGATACCCTGATTGTCATTCACACTTTGTTGATATGTACATCTACAGTCCGATAAAGTAGGAATGTTGGGTTTTTCAGTTTAAGTACTGCAGTGATGGTCAAATGTTTGCTTTCAATTTTCCACTTGACGAGCAAACCCCCCATATACAGTGGTATAAATGGAAGAAAGGTGGGTTTGATGGAGAGTATTTGCAAATAAAATTAATTGAATAAAAAAAATAAGCATAAAAGTACATCAACAAGATAAGGCATTGGAAATAAATTAAACACTAACATCTGCGTTCATCAGATTGATTTTACAGAAAACTTCAAAACGTTCAACCAAGATGAAGTTTAATCAGCTCATTTGACAAAAAAGCAGATGGCAATGTTCACTGCAGTATGCTGGTTTAATGACACATGAAAATCAGCTGTTGTTATATCTGATGACCTGTGCCATACAAAAAAGTCTCCAAGTACCTAAAAACCCCAGGAAAACATAATCCCCGATAACATAAATGTTTGGTCAAATGTGCCATCCAGTCTATCTTGAAAAGAATATAATGTGGTACTGCTTTGCCAATAGAAAAATAAACGCAAATATTAGGAATACCATAGAATTTTTCAACGCTTCAAGCATTGAAGCTATGCTTGTGACTGAAAGTGAGGTTGAAACCTTCAATAACGGTTCATCCTTCGCAACTACATTTTGGAATGCACCAGATATTTCAAGAATCTCCTCGATTCATTCCATAGAAAATACCAAAGGGAAATGAAATTTTAAAAGTTATCGTAACGGTTTGTGTAACAAAGTACAGGAACAGCAGATAGAACAAGATTTTAAAAAATTCAAGTTATAAAACATCCATTTCAGAAATTTCGTCTTATTACATTATGAATACACAACAGGGAATAAAATGTTGCAATGGTTCATGGGAAACCAGGAGGAGCAAAAAAGCATCGAAGTGCAGTTCTTGAAGCCTTTATCCCGACTTAGATTCGAACTAAATCCGAATGATATTGAAGTTGATAAATTGCATGTTGATAAAATTATTAAAGGAGATGTTTATGAATTTCAAACCGAAATTGCGGCCTGCTGTCAAACTGAAAGAATAAAATAAAAAGTTAAAAACAAGTTATACTTATACCTACCAGAGCCACCAAGTAGATTACATATAATGAGTTTTAGTTCTGGTGCTTCCTGATTCTTTATTGTTCGTTTTTTATTACTTCAGTTTCAGCGTTTCCTAATTTTTTGTTTGCAACTGCAACTGATTTCAGTCAATGCAACCAATTGTTTAACATGCTTTGTGCTAATTTAGTAGCGAGGAGTTTTTAGTGACATGTAGCTAAATAAACTGTATAATTCGGATGTTTGCTGAAAAACATTGTGCAGTGTATTATGCATGAATGTAGAGATTAATAACTCTAGAATACAGAAACAATTGCTATAAATGATATGTCTTTAAGCATTTGACGACAGCTGGTTGATGTTTCGCAGTCATTCTATGCATTCAACTTTTTGTCAGTCCGTGACAACACTTGTTTCATCTCATTGCACGAAAAATATTTGGTTGGAAGTGAAAAGTGAAGTGAATCATGGTAAATGCAACAGTCGAACTACTACCAAATAACATCGTACCAACAACTATCCATCACAACCTTGCTATTGTAAAACTGATGATAAGCGTAAAATATTCCTATGGTTAGAGTCAGAGGTATACCTTGGGTACAAATAGATGATATCATTTATATTTTATATGAACGATATCATCGAACATCGAATCATATTTGTATTATTGCATTGAATATTTGCTAGATCACTACTGTACTACCTTAATTCACCTCGCCAATTTCAATCTACAATACAATTACCTTCACGATTAACAGTTAGGTCCAAAATCAGCTTCTGGCCGCTGTACACCTCTTCGGCCACGCAGAAAGAGCAGCTGAAAAAATCATGACAAGAAGACTGGGGATATTTTGAACTTTCAGAATTGCATGACTTAAATCACCGTCTAAGATCAAGGAGAATATAGAGAGACTGGAGACTTACGAGAAACAGCGGAATGAGTTAGAACGGTAGAGCCGAAGTTGGCCTAACTGTGATATTCGAAGGACCATATCAATAATAAGGTATTCCAAATAGGGATTATCTATCGACAAAAAATTTAGTGTTTTTCAGGAATAAAGTGTTGGAAGGAAGCGGTAACAGACTCAAGTTACTAGCAGTTCTATCCATTTATACTCAGATGAAGAGCGAATAATTGTTTGAATAACATAACGATTATCTCCGGTTCCCTATACTCCAAGACTGCTGTTGGCTCAGCATGTTTATAAAAAAATAGGTTCGCTAAATGCACCCTGGCCTCTTGGCGGAGCGTCAGTAGAGGCGAATGATCAATATATTTTCATCCTTCATACCAATAAGTTGTGCATCTTGTAAAGTCTGAAAATTTAGTATCCGAAGTCCGAACACTACATTTCGTGTTACTTTCTTATCCACTTTTTTATTTTTGTATTTGATTATTTTGCCACCAATATGAAACATACGTTAAAATACACACGTAGAAATTGTCACAAATCAGTCCGAATATTCAAAGTACTATTTTTTGCAACATTTGTTTGTCTTGAATACGTTTGAAATGCACTAATATTTTTGTCCAACCATATGCAAATCTAAAACTAACGAAATAATTTAGCACTGTTTTCTTTGCGAAAAAAATTGTATATATACCATTTTCATTCTGATTCTGAAATATATGAGTTATTTTCTCTAACCTTCTTTTAGCAAAAGTACCGCGACCACATGATCTCTGATTCTGACAATAGCATGAATTAAACAAAATTGATGAACATGCACAATCATATTTGCTCCGGTGATATCAATGACCCCAAAGTTAATGATGATATCGTTCAAGAACTCTTTCAATTAACATCAGATCTTAAACTTCCTTTTAAAAACTGCTCAAATTTTGAAGCACTTATACTTGATTGTATGCCACAAGTAATCGACCTGTGTTATATCCGGCCGAAATTTCAAGTCATTTGATGCCCAATTACTTCCGCATCAATACTTAGTTTCCGCAAGCGTTTGAAGGCAAGCAACATGCCGTTGCAATATCTCAAAACATTGACCATTCTGCCATTTTAAGTATACCATACTGTTATGGAATTATAAAGAATCCCGTTCAATAGAATCAGAAGATACTTGGAAAACAGAAAACAAGTTTCATTTCAATTCTTTATTTTTGTAGTCAATGAATACACGGGTTTGAATATCTAAAATGAACATTTGCGCACACTCACATCAATAAAGTATACAAAGCAAAAAAATCACCAACATTTATGGAGTGCATGGATCATAGAGATAATTGTGTTTAGGCTACAATATTAGAAACATGCAAGCACATACATTTATGAAACTATTCTAAAATGGGTTTACAAAACATATTTAACTTGTAAGCTTATTAATAACAAATTTGCTTGCACACTCGAGGCAGCCATTTCCCACTCGCGATTGAATTCTTTGGAAAGGGTGACAAAGTGACAAAAACGCAAATATCTGAAGACTAGAAAAGTAGCCTATATGAGTTGGTAAATGCTCAAAAAGTCTGCAAATACTCATTTATAGTAGTAAACAGTCCGGTGGGCAGCATACAGCTGGGGTTGGGCAATCTTGGTATACCTCGTACTAAAGCCAAAATCGCAATTCACGACGCGGTGAAGCGTATTAAAGAACTAACAATTGTGTGTCGTTCATTGTTAACAGCAAAACGCTGTTGAAAAAAATCTAGAGTAACGTGTAGCCCTGTTTTGCCAGGCATTGTTAAAAGAATATTTTCTTCTGTCGTTAATCCGTAGTCGACGATAACCATGTCGCGATGTTCACTCTTCATGGTTTCATAAATGTGCTAGCTATTTGACGAAATAAAAATGTAACCGCACTCTCGCGAATGTTTTGGGCCCAGTAAGAAATATTTGCATCCCGACGCCTTGTACATTCTAGTTAAATGTAGACGAAATACAACGAGAACAAAATGGTCTTTCGACAGTGTAGTCTAGAAACAATATGAATGTAGAAAATAAACGAATGATATATGCAAGTGGTTCTCAAACCAATTTTAAGTGCGTTGAAAAATATCAACCCATTTCCTACGAAATTTTGTTTTCGTATTTAGAAATGATACGATGAAAATCGTTAAAATTAATTTTACCAGCAGGTGGTTCCAGTGGATATACACCCGGTGGAGAACAGTCAATTATTTGTTAGCGAGAATTGGTATGCAGCGGGATGATCACGACGACGCAGTGAAAGATACTGATATCACGAGAACAAGAATGAGAAAATTGGGTGCTCCAGAAGTATGCGAACCAAGATGTTGCACTACCTGAATCCTAACTGGTACACACATACTATGTTCAGGTTGTGCGCCATCTTGGTGCGCATACTTCTGGAGGTCCGAAAATTGCTACATTTTATAGTATATCCCTGGGAAAGAATGTAGTTCATTCTTATGTTCCATGCCAATGCTTTTCAAACTACCAATGACTCTCAACACTTTTGCTTCCTCTCTTCTATAAAAATACATTGGTATTATATATTCGCATTTCCATCTGTTTGTTCGTGCTCCCAGATAACTGATCAGCGGCCTCCAATGAGAACGGGGTCCCCTTTTAAGAAAACCTGTCATAAACTAAAAGAGGCGACCGTGCTTCTCTTGCCAGTTGTCATGCTGTCCCTGGAATTCAGCTACAACAAAAATTTCACGAAAACGGATTTTTAAATTTTATGATTTTAATAATATTCTCAACAAAGAATGATATACGGGTGGTCAAATGCCAAGTTATTCCAACAACATGATCATGTTTTGCAATTTACAACCAATATTTGTATGTAATTTGTTTGACAGAGCCCCAAGAGCTCTAACTACAAATATCAAAAATGTGAGGCCAAAAAAGTCACACAACAACATTGTCAAATGTGCTGTATTTACGATAGATAATAGGTTTACCAAAAAGAATTACATGAAAAATGGTAAAATAAAGATCAATTCAGAAATATCTACCTGGTGATATGCAACTGTTGATGATTTTATGTGTTTATTTCGGAAGTTTAATGACAGAATTAATTGTGGTGGTTGGGAATGTTTTAAAAAAGGTTGCATGGAAAAAAGTTCTCACAAAATGACAAGGTTTGATAGTAGTAGAGAAGTAGAAAAAATACCATGTTTTTTTTTCCATTTGATAACCACGCCACAGAACTTCCCCGATAAGTATACGCAGCAATTGCGAGAGGCAGAAATGCAAAGATGGGATTTCATCGCATTGCAAACCAATATTAGCAATTCTTATATATATTCGCGCATTCCCATCTGAACAGCGTGGAAAAGATTATACCCATCTACACACTTTAAGAACTATGTCAGATGAGCGTCATATTATCGAATATCAGTAAAAGAATAGTGCAATGGGAGTAGTTTCAGTAGTATGCAATCAAACAATTTTATTGTAGAATATATATTTAAAAACAGTTCGTCACGCCAACTGCATTCCGAAACTTTTTGTCTCTGGCTGAGCTTAGATACCAATTGGCACTCATGTAAACTGGTAAGACTGTAAGAGGCACGCGATGGAGCAGATACTAGGAGTATCCATCCCCCAGCTGTCATTTGAGTGGGTACTGCTGTTTTTATTGCAGATGTTACTGATCTTTTTGTATTAAAGATTTACTGGCATCACCGATTTAAGGATGTTGGAAACCCGCAGCACGCAGGAAAATGTGTGTGATGTACTAGTATTCAAAACGTTTCATCTCCACAAGGATATATATATTAATTTTGCCAAATTCAATGCAGCACTGAAAGGTTGCGGTTGAAAAGACGAGGTCAAATATTCCAATCCAACTAATAAAATATTTCCCAAGTCCCTAAGCTTAAATTAGGAAAACGAAATGCGCGTGACAACGCAAATGTAGTTTGAAGATCGCAATAGAAAGTGGCTAGATGCTGTCGATAGATTTTGGCTTGTATTAGTGAAGTAAACTACCATTTATTCAACTAAAATTGAATTCCTGACATTGTATAGAGATTCAACGTTACTATGTATGCAAAACTAAACCATGTAATTATGAAATAACTGTTGCTGATAGTTGACTTTTTTATTGCTTGCATCTTTCTATCCTGTCTGTGTTATTTTCGTATTATATATTAAATAAAAAGTCCACAAGTTCCTCATTGCTTGAATACTCAGTGTTGCTTAAACAAATCGGCAATAATGGCATCTCTGCGTTTTTGAAATGATAATTCCCCCCGAAATCTCTCATAGAATACATTATCGTCATCTGGTTTGACGTTCTAAATTTACAAATTAGAAATTGAAACTATACGATAGGCACGACACAAAGATTTCTCACCTTTACCGTTTATGTCTGTTAGCGAGAGCCGTAGGTAAATTTTCGCAAATTTAGGCGACCGTCCTAACTAGAGACTTCACATTCATAATTTAAAACTATTACAAGCTTTTAATATATTTTTTTAATATATCGAAAACTGTAATCTCTTCTTCATAAGCTCGGCCAAACGTAGATAATAACTAGTTATGGCCTGTAAAAATCTGGCTTTAATGATGAGTATAAATAAATTGAAGACTACAACATTTCCAAAGCTTTAATCTGTTTCCCATACCATCCATATTCACAAAAATATACACAAAGCTTAAAAAAAATAAACCGGAGACAAACGTTGATATACACTTCAGATAGCAAATTGGCATGTAGTTTAGATAGGACAGATTCAATGTAATAGCGGTAATTCAACCAGTACACCTGTCCCCATGGGTGGTGGAGTATTCATTTTCATTTCCAAATTTAAATCCAATGTTGATGCAACTCCTGAATTCAGTAACAATTCATTTTACTTTTTTGTAATTATCAAGTTCCACTTCAACATAATGTTTTTCAGAATTTTCTGGGAAGCTTTCTCATACATTTACTGGAAGGTTTCAAATACCCTCCAATACAGCAATTTAATGTGTAAAACACCCCCATATGAAAAATAGTCGACTTGTGGAAACAGGACAATGCCATTTTAAACAAGAGAGCTATGCTCAAATATATGGACACGTAGCGCCACCCAGTGGCAATAAATAATTTTGATGACGTCATAGCGGAAAAAAAGTAATAGCCTTTTGGAGAAAAATTTTATCTTTAACCACTGAAAATATCAAAGCAATTGGTCCAGTATTCGAAGAGAAAAGCGATTTTTTAAAAATGGAGACGGAGACAAATAACAATAACAACAAAATTTTGAAACGATCGTTATGGCCACTAAACGTGTCCAATAAATGATTGATATGGGGGACGAACTCAACAGCCACTCTCCATACTTTTGTTTTTGTTTGCAAACTGAATGAAGAAATCTTATAAGCTATGACAGAACAAAAATGCAATGAGCAATAAATCAAAAAATGGACACCCTGATAAATATGCATCATTTTCATGCAATCAACTAATCCAAACATCCAAGAAAATGGAAGAGTCACCAATTATTATGTCTGATGATATTATAGCAATTTTAAATAAACATTATAATTCATTACTTATATCATTACCGGCTAATACAGAGTGAATCCAATGTTTGATTCCAAGCGTGGTAGAATTATGATGTTACAAGTACCAGGTTATTCAAACATGTTGAAAGTCGCTGAAAGAAGGTAGGATTCCATGGAAAAGGTAAAACGGTAGCCGGTTCTTATGAAAGGGTTCGATTTGCCTAGATTAAGTTAAGTTTATTTTGACCCCCAGGCCCCAACACCAAAGCGCATATTTCCGCAGATGAATGTTTTGCATTTTTTTGCACCCATATACCAGAACCTGTTTAAGAACCAACTAAAAATAATGCAAATTTTATGCATCTCTGATGGTAGTGTTTCAAACAATAATTTACAACAACACATAAATACATATCTGCACTGCCATGAATTCTCATATTCGATGTATCATGTTGGGTACTATGTATAATCATCAGAGTAGAAAAATAAATTTTCTGCGGGTGAAGACTTTCGCTGATGATCTTGCTACACAAATATTATTATTGGCTCTTGGGTCGACTTGTATTTGAAATCCTCTCATTACAGGAACAGACATGAAAGTTCTAGTTGTATACATTCTTTCTATTGATTGAACCATCATCAAGTAAAACAACTTTGATACTGTCAAGCATTCTTAGCGATTTTTTTGCGTCATAGATCTGGAGCCAGGCATGTCCAAACATATTAAGTATATTTTTATCATCATCTTGGCACAAATAATTTAAAGATAGAATTTACTATATCAGGATCAGATCCGAAACAACTGAACTCTTGAAACTGGAGAAAGACAAGCAAAGATAATGTCAACTATATATATGGCCACGTAACCTTTCACACAATCTCAAAATTTGTATTGATTTAATCTTCATAGAAAAAGTACTGCCCACTCTTCTTTTGCTCTGCATCTTTTACCGAATTCAACTTGTTTATACGAGGTCGGTAATTGTTTGGATCTCTGCGAAAAGTTATTTTTAATGATGCCAAAAATTTATTCATTCCCAATAATAAATTTTGTGGTGAATTAGCAGTCGTTTTAATAGAAGGCACACCATCAAATACTATGACTCTGTCAGCCAGATATGTTGCCATGATAAAATCATGCTCAACAACAAATGCAGTTTTCTTGGCATGAAGAATGAATCTTTTAATGACTTTAGCGGCAACAATACGCTGCTCAGAATCAAGATAGGCAGAGGGTTCATCTATCAAGTATACATCAGCTGGTTTCCCAAGGCACAAGGTTATAGCGACACGTTGCCTTTCACCTCCTGATAGATTTTGTATTTCTTGGTCAATAATTGCTTCAATCATCAGTGGCTTCATGACATCGGCTACAAACTGTGGATGAATGTAGGCAGATGGGATTTTGCTGTGCAGCAGTTGCCGAACAGTCCCTTGAGATTTAGGGCTTATTTTTTGCGGCTTATGACTTATGTTCAATGTCGGAACCTGGTCACCAGAATCTGGTGATAACCGACCAGCAAGCATTCTAATTAGGGTAGTTTTACCAGTACCATTTTCTCCCAGCATTACAATGATTTCTGAGTCTGTAAAATCACCTTCACAGACTGTGAGCTCAAACTCTCCCAATTTTTTCACCATATTTCCGAAATGATATCTTCTCATTTTTTTACTTTCTTCTTCACTATCAGCAGTTTCAGACACTTTAAAGACAAGAGATGTTTCCCTGAACCTCAAATTTTCAGTTGGCACAAAACCATCCAAAAATATATTGATTCCTTCCCGCACAGAAAATGGCATAGTAACAACTCCATACACGCCAGGCACACCATATAAGCAGCAAATGAAATCAGAAAGATAATCAAGTACGCTGAGATCATGCTCTACTACAATGACATAATTAATTTCTCTGACAAGACTACGTACGGCTTGGGCAGCATTCAATCTCTGTTTGACATCAAGATATGATGAAGGCTCATCGAACATATAGACATTTGCTTTCTGTACACAGACAATAGCGATAGCAAATCTTTGAAGTTCGCCACCGGAGAGATCTTCAATATTTCTTTCCGTCACCAAGTTGAGATCTAACAGATCACAATACGTATCCTGCGTCCCTGTATCATCTTTTCTGTCCAACATATGCTGAACAGTACCTTTAACTGCTTTAGGAATTTGATCAACATACTGTGGTTTAATCACAGCTTTCAGGTCATCTTCAAGAATCTTAGTAAAGTAATTCTGCAATTCTGAACCACGAAAATATGCCAATATTTCTTGCCAATCCGGTGGATCACTATATCTACCTAAATTAGGCTTTTGCTTTCCTGCAAGTATTTTCAAGGCAGTTGATTTCCCTATTCCATTCGTACCAACTAGCCCAAGTACTTCACCAGGCCGAGGTGTTGGCAGTCGATGTAGCTTGAATGAATTCGCACTGTATCGATGCGTTGTATCCTTCTCCAAATTGCTAGGTAAGTTTATGATGGTTATGGCCTCAAATGGGCATTTCTTAACACAAATACCGCAGCCTATACACAGTTCCTCAGAAATCCATGCAATTTTCGAGACAGGTGTCACTTCAATACATAACTTCCCCATGCGAACAACTGGACAAGACCGTTTGCACTCTTGCCTGCATCTTTTCGGTTTGCACTTATCAGAATTAACTATAGCGATACGAGTATTTTTCTCAGACATAATTATTAAGTCAAGACTACATACAGACATAAGAAGAAAACAACATCAAATTTGGTATACATGAATACAGTGATGGTCGAAACCGAATATTCCACTATTTCGATTTCATTCTGAGAAGATATTTGCGAATAAGAAGTACCAAATACATTCTAAATTGGAAGCAAACTTATATGGAAAATTACATGAATCACTTCATGTTGATTATATTTAAAACAAGATAAAAATTAAGGTCAGTGTTTTTTTGTGTTGTTTGTTATCTGTTGAGATATTGTTCGTTTTGATCTGCTCGTCTGACGACTCAAAATCCCTAATTATCAAATGAAAATTTTTTAAATTATTTCTTAATTCAAATTTTGATATTGAATACAATGAATTTCAATGCATTAGAATAATTGCCCAGTTGGCGATCAACCTTGTTCTCAATTTGAGGTTTTCCAAAAAAACGGGAGAATGTTAAAAGTTTAATAAAATTTATTGGAAATACCACAAAAAGGATGCTTTTTCCAATCAAATTTTGAAGTCATATTCACAACAAAGTATTTCAAGAAAAACATTAAGAGTAATAAGTCAAAAATATGTCTTCCTCATTTTTTCAAGACAATTTTATCTAGGTTTCACCTTATGGCGGCTTATAATAAAAAGGCCCTCGAATCGAGTGATCATAATGAACCATCTTTGAATTTTTAATATTAATTAGGTTATATACCTAAGTCTGTAAGACAGTAAGTTGATAACCGTAGATATGTTGTGATCATTACGGATTAGGATAGGATTTACATTACCATTCAATAAGTTATCTGAAAATCTGGCTGTGGTTAAACTATTTATTCATTACCAGATTACGTTACATGATGATGATTATTGCACATTGTGGGTTAAATTTTAGTTCGTGAGTGAACCTGACTAATGCTCAGTTAACAGGTTAAGGATGTTAGTGCTCTGGCCCATTCAGCTATTACGGTACGGTACCGTACGGTACCGGTACCTAAGCTACGTACATTGTACTGTACGTGTTATTTTGGATTACATTCTGAAATTGACGGAAGGCTGTTTTAATTCACTTGATCTTAGCTCAAACTACAACTAGGATAAATCTTATCTCCCCGACTGTAACATCTGAACACCAGCTCGTACGACAAGAACTCATAGCAAGCATTAGTGAGCAGTGAGCAGTGAGCAGTCATACTGATTTCTGGGCGTACGTATAATCAAATACCTCCCCAGCCGAGTCATATAATATGCACGTGTATTAGGTACAGCTGTAAAGCAACGCCGTGTTCGGAGTCAATATTCTGGAGTTACTGTTACTCAAATGTAACAATTTTAGATAAGATAGGATGGAGAATTTATTTTCAACTCGGCCACGGTACAAATATATTCCAAAACAACATGCAGGCGCACGGGTTCAGTACCTATGCGGTGCCGACTAGACTTTACAGTAAATCGACGATCATTTGTCTACGATCATATTTTGACTCAGACTCTGGACCCGAAAAATTTCGCTTATACACCTCTACCATAAATTTGATGCTTGTTTATATTGTATGACAAGTTGAATTTGAAAAGCTCAAGGCTGTAATATACCGTCATATCACTAGAAAACGCAATGCCTGACACAATTACTGATAAATAAAAAATCAAGACTGAATATAATTATCCTCTCATTTCCTAAAACAACGGGTTCGTAATAAAAAAGATCCTTCGTGAGCGTATATATAGATAATTCATAGATTCATATTTGTGTATATAAATCACGATAGTTATTGGAAACGTCAGTGGACATAACGATCGTTTCAATATTATGCTGTTGTTGTTATTCTTGTTCTTTGACACGTTTTTAAAAAGTCGCTTTTCTCTTTGATTACTGGGCCAATGGACCTTTCCCCGAGCATCGTTTTCCTTGTTAACTTCGTGACATTGGCCAATCAGCAGGATGCAAAAAGTGACGTAACAATGTCCCCTTTTCGCATCCGCTCAGACACTTTTCTCACTCAGACAGATTAATGTCATTGGACAGATTTTCAAGTGTGGTTGTAAACATTACCTCGTTTTCGCGTTTTGAACTCTATTCGTTAGTTTTCAGTTGTGTTTCGGAAACTTAAATATAAATCAGATAATTCAATGATCACTCTGTCTTCCTAGGAGTTTTAATTTGATTGCAGTAATAAAAATTAGTGTAGAAATAGCTGTGATAGACTAGCCTGAAATTCTTTACCGGTACTTTTAAAAAAAAGATTGTTGTATGCAATGAATCATAATGATGATTTGTAACACATACCCCATTTTACAGGCGCCAACTCGCAAAAGCACTCTTAAAATAGCCCCGAAAATTTTGCAATGGTAAAGTATAGGAAGAAATATCCGGGGGTCAAAGGTCGGGGAAAGGTCCATTGCTTTGAAATTTTCTGTAATTAAAGATGGATTTTTTTTCTAGAAGGCTAATAATTTTATTAATTTCAAATATTCTTATTAGCTTTATGGGGTTCGTTTTTATTTTGAGCTATGACGTCATCAGAATTTGCCACCACGTGGCGATTCCGCAAACACATATTGATCCAGTGATCAGCAAACAGGTTCCGTGGTGAAGCCAAAGTGACTATAACAAGGGACTATAGTCACTTTGGGCGAAGCCTGCTGGAAAGCTACCGTACCGTACCACAATGAATTACAGCGTGACGTGTCCATATATTTGAGCATAACTCTCTCGTTATTATTGGACACGTGAGTAGACCTATGGATAGGCTTACCATACGTCCCGCTTTAGGCGGGACAGTCCCGCTTTTCAGCGTCTTGTTATCCAGCATAATACACGAACACGTTTTCGTCGTTACTGTGTAGCGCAACGCTAGCCTACTTGCTGAAGGTGAACGCGTTATTTTTTTTTCGTTCACATTGTTAGCGAACGTGTCACATGTAAATTCAATTCTTATTGGTCTCGTTCGGACGTTCACGTGAATGTAACATTGAGCAACGTCTTTTTGAAGGTGTTATCTGCAGAAAAGCATGCTTGGGCGAATAATTAAAATCTCAATGCTTGAAAACGGCAGACTATTTCATTATTTTTTATTCCTTTTGCTGTACATAAAAAATCTAAATTCGGATTATTTGTATCGTTAGCGTCTATTCCTTTATATTTTGTATCAAACTGAACTCGATATTCAGACATAGAATATGCGCATGAACTCTCGATGACAATATGGTCAATAAAGACAGTCGGGATAGCTTTAAATGTAGGCCTATGTAGTAAAATCGGAAACTGTAAAGTTACAGGATCACAGCTAAGGGGTCGTGTCTTTGGAGGCGTCCCGCTTTGAAGTCAAAAAAATATGGTAACCCTACCTATGGATCGTTTTGATATTATGTTGTTGTTCTTGTTGATATTCTTCTACTTCGTCGTGATGAAATCGCTTTTCTCTTCGAATACTGGACCCATTGTTTTGAAATTTTCAGTGGTTAAAGATTGATTTTTTTTGCCAGAAGGCTATTACTTTCATTTATTCTTAAATTTTCTATGAATCTTATGAGATCTAATATTCAATCCAAAATTGCGCTGTATTATTTTTCAATTAGGAGAACACGGTTTTTCATCCACCAAGCGTGACGGCTGACAGTGAAAATTCTTGCGACTGAAAGCTCGGAAATTTTTTGAGGGTACGAAACCGCTAACGTCAAAGGTAAGACCTGCTTCGCTCTGGTTGACGAGTGACGTGTCCATATATTTGAGCGATGCTCTCTTGTTTCAGTATGTTTTTCAAAAACAAGGGCATTAGCAGAATAAACACTGTTTAAACTTGAAGGGTAATTTAAATGTTCTATATCTATAAGGTTAAATGGTGGGATTTTTCATTTGGGCATTTATTCCACCGTATTTAATTTTTTCCAAGCGCGAATGTTTGTTACAAGAACGATTAGCCTTATTAAAATGAAACAAATTTCACTTTTGATTTTATTAAATCTGTTGAAATTGAAAACCAATAAAGAATGAATAATTGTTCACAATTGTGACCCTTATAGATTTTGTGATCCTATTCTTCTGCCTGGCTTGCCTTCATATATATAAATATCATGTTGAAACCAGCATTAGGTCATATTTTTGAATGATTGGATGATAAAAAAAAAATAGCGAATTACGCCAGTAGGTCAGTTTGTCATTATATACAGAGAGTTGAAATACTTCACAGAACACCTTACCACCTCATGTCCACTTTATATAAACAGTTTTGAATTGAAATCCACCGTGTCTGCAGTGTGTTTACGTTACCAAAGTTACAAGCCCGAACGACACACGTTCGTGTTTTATCTTTTATTTTTAATATTTGTTTGTGTGTGTAATATGGGTAAACTGGCACATGTGTTTCCACGTGTTTTAAACTTTATTAGGAGTTTTGCCGTTTTCCTAGTTTTGTGTGTGTTCATTGTGTCCTTTTCCGTGGTATTTTGTTTCGGGGAAATCAAAATAAACTTATATATACTTATACTTCAGGTAGGATTCAATTTTTTGTCAGCCGGTTCCACCATACAAATGTCATATTACCAGGCGATTCTGTCACAAAAAGTCATGTAATGCTAACAGGTTCGCTGATCTCATGAAATTCCGTGAGAAATTCTGTAGAACCGATGCGAACCAGCTGAATCTCACTACTGCTTATACTTACCAAAATTGCCGCACTTACTCGCTTCTGAGCCGTTTTTCTTATTTTCATATGTAATCACAAATACATAAGATTTAGTAGGAGAATGACAAATAAAAATACTTGATACTTTTCGAACGTTTTCGTTTTTTGGTTCTATCTGGTATAAGATGGATTTTTGATGACATATTTTAGTTCTGTTTTATCATATTTATGTCCAGTTCATATTTGTTAATTATATTGCCGTGTATTGTTCGACGTGTAAGTTCAAATTAAAGTGTCGGCATTTTTTTATATAAATTCCATCATATTTATATAAATATCGTTGTTAAAGAATATATTATTATTAATTATAACTATAATTTGTTAATAGCAAATTTGTATTGTTCAGAGCACAATCCGAATTTACAAATAGAGGTCATCTCACGCGATGAATTTTAAATTAATTATTTTTAATATCCCACGGTAACTCCATAATTTAAATATTTTAGAAACTTCGTGCGCGACTCCTCGCATGTTTGGTAAATTTTTCAATCCCGTCAAAACAATAGCCTTCATATATGAGTTTCACTATAAACTTAAACAGCGTCGCTTCGGTTTTCATATGTATCGCATAAATATCCAACATAACACTGTTCGACTAATTAAATTCCAAATATATTATTGTTTCTATTTGCCACATTCATTAACTTGTGAAACAATAGATTTGCTGAATGCCAACAGGAAGGAAAACCAACATTGCGCGTTCGCAAAAATACCTACAATAAAAATATTATACCAAATGTTTTTCCAACAACAGTTATGTGATATTTTATTATCCCATGGCTGTTTTCCAGGTCGTAATGACCTGAATTGCTTAAAGTTTTGCACCAATCGAAATCTAGCACAAAATTGCCTTGTAAAATTGTCAGCAAATTGCTTGGACCAGGGTGGTCTAAACCCAGTGGTCCACATGTGGTCCGCCGCTCCATTTTCTGTGGGTCGCGTCCAATGCTCCCAATTTTTTGTAGTATGTGTGCGCAGAAATTTTGGTGTGTGCGCACTTTTTTTGGAAAGGACTAATATTTGTGCAAAAACCAATGAAAAAATTTTGGCGTTCTAACCGGGTAAGGGGTGGGCCAACAACAAACTTTCTCAACCTGCCAATCGAGAATATTGTTACATTACATCGAAATACGTCTGCGCGCAGTAAATTCATGCGTGTGCGCAGCCTCTGAAAGCTGTGTGCGCGCGCACACGCGCACACCTTAAAGGGAACACTGGTCGCGTCGCATTTGCGCGAGGGTAAACAAAAAAATCGCATTTGGTGTTGTTTCGTCATAAAAATAACCAGAAAAATCTTCTGACATATTGTTACATCGCTAATGTCACTGAATTGACTAATGTGCTGGCTAGCTGATGCAACTAGCGAAGTTGAATAATATGCCAAACCATTCGCGAGTGCGCGATAATTTGATGTTTTATGTGGCGATTTTTCATTGGCGAAATTAATGTGGCTCGCGCACTACCGAAATTTGTGTCGACCACAGCTTCATAGTTTCAGTGGCATTTCACTGACCGCTCTTAGGTCGCTTTGCATTGTTGGACACGAAGCATGCCTTTAGATCAGGAGTCGGCAAACTTTTGTCGTTCGCGGGCCAAAATGAAAGGTTGCAAGTCATTAACGGCCGTACATATTTTTAGAATATTAAAAACTAAAGGAATGGCCAATGAATCACATTTTTTCACACAGATTTCAGTTAAATTTCAAGTAGTGCGCGAAGACTGATCATTTGAATATTTTCTGCGTCATTGAAGCATTTGCACTCAGCATCAACTTTTTTATGTACTGTTGCCATTTGTCTAAATATAATCAATTATAGGCTCATTAAACGAGTGATTGTAAATTATTTACTTGTTATGTTATAATATACTTCAGTGCCTCAAAACAAATTTTGTCACGTAAAGAATATAATCGTCAATACAGCTGTTTTGTTAATATAATTCAGTGAATCGTCGCGGGCCGGATTATATTGCTCCGTAGTTTGCCGACCCCTGCTTTAGATCGTTTTGTTATTATGTTGTTGTCGTCGATTTTCTTGTGACTGTTGTTGTGAAAAAATCGACGATCTCTCCAACTACTGGACCAATTGCTTTCTTCAGAGGTTGTAGATTGTTGTTGTCGCCAGAAGGGTATTACTTTCATTTATTTCTAAATTTGACCCACTTACGGACCAAGTCACAAATTAAGAAAAATAATCATACAAAAATTTTGTTAATATCATTTGATAACATATTCGACTTCAATTCAATATGAACTGACATGTCATAGAATAAGCCATAGCGGTATGCACCTATTGACAACACTACTGTTACATCGTTTATGACATAAAATAAAATTGATCAAAGTTGTTTCGTTTCCGAGATTCCCCTTCGGAGACGAACCAGATGAATTGCTTGGGGGTCATACAAGACCTGGATGCTCCTCTACAGTCCTGCATACAATGTCCCTTTAACACAAAATTTTGACGACCTGAATTAACGACTACAGAAATTTGAAAAAACAATGCAGTACGATGGTAGTGTCTTTAATACGGTGAAAAATCGGTCGATATACAGGGTGGAACCTCTTCTTAGCACTTTTGAAACCAAGAAATAATTTGCTATAGCTCTATAAAGTTTTTTCGGTATGTTATATACATGCAAATCCGTGTTTTCTTAGATGATTCTCATGAAATCAAGTCATAGACATCGTCTCAGTAGGCCTACTGTCTACTGATATGAATGTTTCGTGAGTAAAGTCCAAAACTACACAATGCCAATACCCGATACCAAAACTTGTAAAAAAGCAATTTTCCATTTATTAAATATCTATGACTCACAGTCTCCTTTTTCTTGATGAATAGGTAATTTTTGCCCATTCGATTAAAAATTTTCACCATCCCAGTTCTACATCAACAACCTACACATATATATTTGAACACAATAACTTATTGCTTTTCCATTATTGTTTAAAATCCGGAGGGGGCTTTAATTCGATAACTTCGCAATGTTTTTGACAAAGTGAAAGTCTTGTATTTGTTATTATATTTTGCAAAATTTGTACACTGTTCACGAAATAAATATAGTGTTTTACATTTAAACTCATAGTGGCGGTGGTGTAAATTCCTAATTTGACTAGCTCTCAGCTATAACTGCCCGTGTATGTCTTCGAGCACGTAGGCTTGTAATGGTATGTGACGTTGCTATCTTGCGCACGTCCAAAGAATATCTTCTCCTTATATCTAGGGAATTTCGGTTAATTTTCATACCATCATATTTCAACCATTTTTGATGTTGATGAAAAGGTAAAAAAGAATACCTTTAACAAAGATTGAGTATACTAAAAACATATATAGGACAGACAGACAAAAGTTTTACAATGGACCAAGCTCGGTTTTATGGTGCGATCATCGGACAAGTTTCGCTTTCAAAATAAAACCAGCATGAACAAAGAAATTTGATATGACCCTTTGATCCCAAAACATACGAACTTATTTTATTGTTAACGCAGATCTCCAGCAAATTGTCCATTGTCTTCCTCAGCATGACTTAGGCGATTTCACTTCATTATGACGATTGTTTTGAAACATTTGAAACATTGGGGTGTGATAAAACTGGAGCGAGGCGACAAATTTCATAATACACTGCGTAGGTCTTCGCGTGAACGACAAGGCGAGCAATCTTCTTCTTACGGCACGATTGAACGTTAAGCTGGTATCAAGCCATGGGAGAAAAAGCGGTGAAAGTTAGCAAGTACCTGCTAATTGCCTTTAATTGTTTGTTCTTGGTAAGATCACTTTTGCTATTGTAGAAAAGACATTAGTCATTGAAAACCCATCCCACATGGGAAATAAAAAGTGGCATAAACTAAATAATTTGGAGTATTGCCAATATTCATAGATTAATATTTTTGCTGAAATGTTGTCTCGTATGGTCTTTTATGTAGGTGGCGTTCCTACGATTAAAACAATCTGCAATTACCGAAAACGTATATAAGTCAAAATTTTCGATATCGTGTTATAAGAATATATATCAGAAAAAATGGGAACAACATATTATGTATTGAACACAGTTTTCAAATCCATGGTCTGTTGTATAACTCAATAACCCATTATGCGAGTAAAAAACAGAGGCGAAGACTTACGAGTAGATTTTGAACTATAGATGGACTTTTAGTTTTACTACCCTCCTTGGATTCTTAAAAAAATTTCCACCAATATCCTTTTACAGCTTGCAGGCTTAGGATTGCTGGGAGGTGGCATCTGGATTTTAACTGCCTCTTCAAGTTTCAACGACACGTTTTCACAATTCATTGACGTGGAATCGTTGATGTACGACTGGATCGGTTATGTGGCAATTGGATTTGGAGCATTTGTCGCTTTAGTAGCATTTTTAGGATGTTGTGGTGCCATATGTGAAAACAAATGTATGCTTGGATCGGTATGTTAATTGTTAACACTTCTTTGCTATTAAAACGTTTTGTATACTATGACAGAATGAAAAACAGCACACAGAAAACGTTATGCAAAGATTTTTACAAAGTACCACAGTGGTGGATCGTAACTCGTAAGTAATGTGTTTCCGAACAACAAAAGTATATATATATATATAAACTTAGATTGAATAGCCATTTACGATCGAAATGAGGAAAACCCGAATTCCCATGTGTTTCTCTGTGCAGTATTCCATATCTCATTTAGTAAATACCATATCTCATTCAGCACAATTTATCCACGTTGCATTCTATAATTCCATTTGTACTCACTTTTCAGTTCTTTGTGATTATATTGATATTTGCCCTTGTCGAAATTGCCTTGGCGATACTCGTGTTCGTATACGCCGGTAATCTGAAGTCTATTTTGGAATCACCAGCGAAGAACGTCATACAGAACACATACCTTCATGGAACGGCCGTTGGAAATTCGTACGACAAAATACAAAAAGAAGTGAGTTCTTTTAAATTCTTTATTTATATCAAGTTAAATCCAAGTAGGCGGTATTCATATAAATTTCTATATACATATTTATAACGGCAAAAAAGTTACGATTTTTGCGAGGGTAACTAACTTGATTTACCTCCCTTGGTTTTGTTTCATTCCAAATAAATATAACCTTACTTTCAGCATCATTGTTGCGGTTTCAGTGGGGGAAGTGACTACGCAAACAGCGTATACGCAAATACGCACAACCGAGTGAATCCTTGGCCTCCGTCGTGTTGCACAGATGAGAATGATACGAGTCCGTGCACGGATATCAATCCTCCAACAAAATCAAACTCTGATAAGGTTTGTATTATTCAGTTATCGTATATATATTCAGGCTATGCATTTTCAAATACCTGATAATTTTTAAATCTGATCGAATAATATTTATTTTTCGAATCGAATCTTGAATACTCGGAAGATATTCAATTTTATATGGCTTTCTATAGAGTAGAAAATAGAATTCATCACTCAGTCAGTTTGCTGAGTTGTCACACAATAAGACATGTTAAATTAATTGTATTTTGCAAATACAGCTTCACAAAAAATAAAGTGATTCACATTCCCCTTTGGTGAACAAAAAAAAGATGGCGGCGGTTCGAAATTTTCAGCTGAACTGATTCGAATAACTTTCTAATCGATTCGAAATGCCCAGCTCTAGAACTTAAAAAAACAGTACAGTTTCAGAGAAAAATATTTCAAAAATGTTGGAATGTAGCTAAACAAATCTCAGATACATGTATTAATAAATAATAATAAATTTGTCATTCTCAAAGGCACAGTCTCAACCAATACATAAATAACAATTGTTGTACATCGCTTTGCTATCAGAATATAATTCGCATTGCGTTGCCGAAGGGGAACAAAGAATTCTTGGTCAAAGAGAGTTCTATGCATTTTACCGTCTTTTATCTCTAGAATATGAAGACTATTTGTAGTTTAAAGTAAATTACATTATACCAATTTTGAATTCTCCTATTTTATTCACAGGGATGTTTCGAACCTATTTCGGAGATACTCATTGGTTATTCTGGTTTGATCGGTGGTGTGGCTATTGGACTTGCGGCGATCAAGATCTTATCAATGGTCTTCACATGTTGCGTGTATTGTGGAATAGGGGGGCATAGTGCAAAAGTTGGCCCCTTCGGTGGAAGGCCGTAGAAATGGACTTGTTATGTCTGATGACGTACATTGAAATGCAGTGTCAAACTTTTTAATCCCACGAGAATTCAAAACTAAATGTATATACTTCCTCCAAATAATATATATAGTAGATATGATCTGTACAAAAATGTGTGAGCTATAAGACGGTTTGATATCTGATGTTAGCACGCTAATGAATGTGGTTTCAGATTTTAATCCGTTTGTATAATACATATAAGCTTATTAATCCCATATGATAGTCGTTTGCAGGGATGATAGACTTATTCTGTTAAGCAGAGGCGTAGCTTAGGGGGGGCAGTGGGGTACATATGCCCCCGGGCGCCAAGGTACAGGGGCGCCAAAATGGGGCTGGCAAAAATTTCACAACAAAGGTAAAAAACGGTCACAAGCAAGATCGCACCGGCGGCAGACATCTAATCTTAGTACATGGCAAACTGCACACTTGGTCAAACCACTTACGACTGCCGACGTCATCACGCACATATCACGGTCAGATTTCCATCGTATTTACATGGCCAAAAAAATCTGGCCGGAAAACAAAGCAAAATTTGATTTGGTAACGTTAGGTAACAAAATGCACCGGGTTAATTACGTGGTTCTGTATCGTTAAGTTCTTGCCTGCGCACTCGGATGTAAGTTGATATTAGTTCTGTGCTGGAGACAAATGGAAACGGAATTTGGTTGAATGATGTTAATACATGTTTTGAGTAATACGTGGTTTTGTATTTTGTTGTCAAAGTACCGTACTTTGCGGCAGAGTTACATAAAATATATTATACTGTGCTAAAAGACCTCAATGCCGTTTTCGACAATTCGTCGAGATTGCACAGATTTTGCAAATCTCTACCACACGGACATCAATGGCCACGAACTTTTCACCGAAATTGGAGATTGCAGAATGCTGCTCAGTAACAGAACTGTAGATCAACCAGAAACTCCTTTGGCTCTTCTTGGTTTTATTGTGTCTTTTGGAGACGACGTTTTATTCAATCTGCGAATTTCTCTACGAATTTTGTTAACAATATCAGTTTCAATTGCAAGCTGTGAACGGTCTTTCAGCAGATTGAAACTTATTTTGTCGTATTCGCGTGCATCAACGGGACAGGATCGTCTCCGTGATCTTGCACTTCTAAGTGTTGAAAGAGAAACATTGGAAAAAAACAGATTTTGATGACGTGTTAACGAGTTTACGACAGTGAAATTAAAAAAATGAATTTATTTTAGACTATGTAGATCATCTTTGACAGTAACTGAGTGGGACATATGCTCTATTTTGTATAGCTTTGCTTCTCCTTTAAATAAAATGTTCCATTAAAATTTGAATTTACATATACATATATTTTTGAATAAATAATAAAATATATAAATACATATAAATTTGAATTCACATATCGTCACGCTAATAACCGAATTGCGTAAGTCATTTTGGGCGGTTTTGAATTTTTCATAAAATAGGTATTTATGTAATGCTGCGCACCTGTCTGTTAACTCAGATTTCATTTTAAGAATTCCGAAACCCATAAAAATAGAAATTTTGTATGATATGCAAATTTGTTCAATTGTTCCGTCATAATGAATTATCATTGTTAACGCAGGACTATTGTGACGTCACAAAGGCAAAATAACCTAGGCGAAGGATTTTCGAGTTTTTGCATCTCAGATTCTAGCTTAGCGCTAATAATTTTCAATTTATACTACTGTATAGGAAGGCGTGCACTTGTGATATTTACTGTCTGAGTCCAATTCACCTTGGTTGACTTTTATATAAGAGTACATTACTGTTTTATCTTTATATTTAACTTTAGTCTTATTTCGGTGATGTGCAGAGCGTGTTATATTGATGAAATATATATTTTTAAACATAAAAAATAATGTAATTGAAACAGATTAGCTATTTTGGGGATTTTGGATTGTTTGGTTTTCAGGACTGGATTTTGGATTGTTTGGTTTTCAGGACTGGTACATATAGACAAGTTGCAAAATTGCGTATGTCCTCTAGCCATAGACACATTTTTGCCTAAATCACAGTGTGCCATTATGACGTCACATGACTGCGTCATACAAATTAACTTAAATCCGGCTACGATCAAAAAGTTGAACTATGGCAAATTAAAGACTCTCAATGGCATAGCATAGCAATATCATTAGGAAGTTTTTCTCAAAACAGCTAAAAATGACTTAGGCAATTCGGTTATTAGCGTGACGAAATATAATTTTTTTTTACATATACAATTAAATGCAATAGAAAACATGATTTTAAACGTGGGGGCCGGGGCGCCAATTTTATATTTTGCCCCGGGCGCAAAATATGCTGGCTACGCCTCTGCTGTTAAGTAACCTCTTATGAACTTATCAAAACTGATCTTCAGAGTTCATAATTTGTTAAAGAATTCAAAATTGAAAGTTCCGAGTGACGATTTCTATTTTCATATATTTGATACAATAAACGAGTAAAATTATGAGGGGGGCTGTCGAGGTGCCGGACATTTGTTATGAGTGTTCACCCAGGTAAAGAGAATACTACATATATACGGCTTAGCGAAACCTGTGAAATACGTTATAAGTCTGTTATGCCATGGGGATTGATAATCATTTCAGTGTTTAAGATGCATAGACGTGACCGGATAAGTGGGCACGATGACCTGGCATCGCAGGGTACGCGTGCCTCTGGTTAAATCAGCATACCACTGAGGGTGTAATAAATTGGATGGGCAAAGCCGTACCGGAAATGAAAGTCCGTTGAATTACCAGGGCTTGTTCAGAGTAGAGTGAAATTAGAGTATTACAAAATGGTTTTAAACGTCAAGCAACCATATGCCAATTTCCGACAAGATTATACTCGGTAATTCAGGCAGGATGACAACATCGAGCATGTGATTTAGATCAACATTATAGCCTGTTGATCCGATGCTCAATTCATTCATTGCCCGATAAATCACAATGAAATCATTGTGAGGTAATATGGGTCGAATAAAGAACATTGTACGTTCGATTGTGTATGTCGCAGGGTTAAAAAGTCAGGATCTTATTTCATGCTTCTCTCTTTGTCAAATTTCGTATTCGTAAATTTCTAGTCAGACATGTTTCGGTTGCCTCACGGCGATAATAATGAAGAGAATCTATAGTTCAAAATAGAAACAATTGTTCTAGAATAGGGTTTCCCCAAACTTTCTGTTCATAGGTACCATAATATGGTCAATTAAGGATCGTTCGAGAACCCCCAAAAAGTTCTCCTATTCTTGGGTGCGAAGCTGAAATTACTCCGATGCACAACCTATTTTTATATAGCTAGGTAACCCATTATATCCCTCTGAATTTGCTAAAAACTTTAAAATTGAATATTTAAGTTCAATATGAAGATCTGCTTAATTAGCAGTAATCGTGTTTAGGTAGGGTTACCATATTTTTTTGACTCCAAAGCGGGACGCCTCCTGTAACTTTACGGCTTCCAATTTTACTACATAGGCCTACATTTAAGCCATCCTGGCTATCTTCATTGGCCATATCGTCGTCAAGAAATCATGCGCATATTCTCTGTCTAAATATCGGCTTCAATTCGAAAAATGGAAAGGAATAGACGCTAACGATTTAGATTTTTTATGTACAGCAAAAGGAATGAAGAATAATGAAATAGTCTGTGGTTTTCAAGCATGAAGAATTTACTTATTCGCCCAAGCATGCTTTTCTGTATAGATAACACCCTCAAAAAAACGTTGTTCAATGTTACATTCACGTGAACGTCCGAACAGGACTAATTAAAATTAATTTTACTTGTAATACGTTCGCTAACGATGTTAGGGGGAAACAACGAAACAAACAAAATAACACATTCACCTTCAGTAAGTACGCTAGCGTTGCGCTACACCAAGCCTGGGCAAGTTGCGGCAACGTTTTATCCGGCCCGCGAGCAAGTTTCTAGATTTAGACACTTTTTTTTTATTTACATAAAAAAAATATACTTTGATTGCGAACAAGAGAATTTTTAGGACAATGAAAAAGTCGATAATAACATTCGACTAAATTTCCTTTAAATCGCCGATTGTTTTCGTCATCTCGAGGTGTTATTTAGATTTTAGAACGTAAACACCTTTACGTCGGCGTTTAGTCTCCTCAAATCACAAATTTTCCTTAACATATATATATATTATATATATGTCTTGTATACGGAACTGTGAAACCATTGATAAAAACGAGTTATTATATAACCATCGGCGACGAGATGCTAAAGATAAATAAAGGAGTGAATCTGCAAGCAACCTAAATCTAGATTTAGAGCGGCAATATAAAATACTAAAAATTCAACAGAAACAAGTTATGAATTAAACGGCTCGCGACAGATTAAAAACGCTTTTGTGAAAATGGAAACTAAAAAATTTCTGGTGCTCACGGCACACATTTTAATTGCGTAGCCTTTGTGGGGGCGATGTACCTTTTGATCATTTCTAAAACTACCGACGGGGCCTGATTTATAAGATAATTAATGTAAGGTAAACTCAATCGATTTTTATGTAACTGAAAAGAATTTTACTCGGTGTACTTTTATCGCAGGCGTGGGGATTTTTCTGATGATAAAATCTTTAAAACAGAGCTAAGTCAGTGTTGCAGGAACACATCAGATTTGTCGAATTCACAAAATAGCAAAACACGAATAAAAATAATCTGGCACGTTACCACACATTACAATGTCCGCGGAATGCGAGGGTATTTCAGAATTCTAATGCTTATATTTTATCAGAGCAGCCGCGGGTTAGGTTGAGAACAACAAGACATTTCAATGTGCCCGTATCAATGTATTTTAAATATATCCGTATCGCAAAAATAGATATAGTATATATATAAAGTATATCTCACATTTTTAAATCCGCAGATAGCCGGGGTATTTTAGAGCAGACTTTTAAGCGTCTTCCAATGCATTAAAATTTCCGCGAACCTTGTTCACCGTAAAAATGCTATGATGACAGCAAAATTATATGAATCACGATGTTTGGTCACCAAAGGCATGGTCCTAATTCCGCATTGTTACTCACTTTCCACCATTAATGACAAAATTCGGCATTGTTATGCAAGCGTTCCGTTTCTCTGATCCAATGTATTGTCTCGAAATCGCCAGATTTACGTTTTAATCAAACTAGTTTTATTAAATGCGCTTTGAATAAAAATTCTAACAAAGCGCAATAAATTTAGTACTCATTTATATACTTACTTATATATAGTACGTATTTAAATATGTAATAAAATACAATAAAAACGCGCAATTGACTCTACTTAGTCCGGCCCGCCACTGCATTTTGAATATTCGATGTGGCCCGATACCAAAAATAATTGCCCAGCCCTGCGCTACACAGTAACAACAGTAACGAGAACATGTTCGTGTGTTATGCTGAATGGCTGAACGCAAAAGCGGGACTTTTGGCTGATTTGTCGGGACGGCTGGACAAGACGCTAAAAAGCAGGACTGTCCCGCCTAAAGCGGGACGTATGGTAAGCCTATGTTTAGGTGATTTGCATTTGAGATATTATGTTGGCGGAACCAACGACATTGCGTGAATAGCAGGCTCCGCAATCTTTTGCACTTCGTAAACCAAAAACTATTAAGATTTCGCTCAGAGTACACATCGTATGGAATGGTGCCAGGGCAAAATTTCCCTTCACATCTGAAGTTTCACCAGAACCGCTTTGACTTTATCTATGAACACACACAATGTTAGGTTTTTCTTTGGAGACTCTTCTTTGGCATATTCTTAGCATCAAAAATATCAACAAGGTAGGCATGGGTCGAAATAAAATCAGTTAGAAAATCAGTTATCAGTTGGAAAATTCCCAGTAAATACACGTCTCGTAACATTTCATCTGGAAGCCGTAAGAGATTAGCAGACTGCTGTTGCTTTGTAGAATTGAAATAAACCCGGGTCTTCAAATTATTAGGATCAAGTAGAAAAATATTTTAGAGCAGATTGGAAGTTGTGGTGTAGCGTGTACATACGGATAGCTCCTATGTATATTAATACGTTTAACCACTTATTTTTTACAGTGCTTGTTATTTGTCTGAAACAATATCGTTGTAAAAAATCATTTTCTTTATGATATTTTGTGCAACGTATTATGCGAAAAAGTTTATATATATATATATATATATAGCAATTCCCACTCTAGCTGAAAGATTAATCGTTTTGTTTTATCGTTAGTTTCATTGCATAAATATATATTACTTGCGTTAAGGTTTTAGGTGAATTTTGTTATCTGGATCGATTCAATCGTACAAATCTGCAATATACGAATTAAGAACATTTGGCATTACAACCGCTCATTGACCTCTGAAGGAGTTCAGTTGGCAATTGCTCAGCTAAAGTTCGTTAAATAGTACTGGGGACAGGCAGAATAAGGCCATCGTCGCCTATAATGGAAAGAATATCCCTATACTTATTCCAATTGTACCTATTGAAAAGACGAAATTTAGCTACACTGGGAACCCCAGTACTAGACAGTGATTCCCAAATTGGGCGAAAAAGTCGAAGGGGGCGATTTCGCGAAACCTATTTTTGGTCGGCGCATCGTGCACTTGATTATTGTACTCTGCGTGCTTTCGTAGGTTTGAATCACGTGGGCGATTATCACACGCGAAAGGATTGCTGGACTCGTCTTCGCAGAAAGGTACGGTCTACGGTGGTTCGCGTATCCAATTGGTCGGGAAATCTGTAGTAATCTGGCCCGGGACGCTTCACTGAATGAATCTTTTCTCGACCTTTGACCCCGTTAAATTTTTCCAATACTTGACCTCTCTAAAATTTTCGGTGTTCATTTTAAGAGTGATTTCGCGAGTTGTTGCCTATAAAATGAAGTATTTGTTTCAAACTATCATTCTAATTCATACCCTTCAACATTCTGTCCAGTGTAGTCTATCACAGCTATTTCTACACTAATTTTTGATCACTGTAATTAAACTGGAACTCTTAGGAGGACAAGGTGATCATTGACTTTTTTTATTTAAATTTTCAAAAAACAACTCGCGAAAATGAGGTAATGTTCACGACCACGCCTGAAAGTCTGTCTGAGCGGATGCGAAAGGGGGCATTGTTACGTTTATATTTGCATCTTACTGATTGGCCAATGTCACGAAGTAAACAAGAAAGTCTTTGCCAGGAGAAACACCCAAACGGCGGTTTTAACGATGAATTAATTTTATTCATTATCTACGCTCGAGGAGTAAATTACATATTTTTTTACGTAACAGAATTTATCGTGAGACACGTTTAGACTAAATTTTATTATATCCTAAAAATTATATTGAACAACTAACTACTCGTTTAACGAGCCTACAATTTATTTATAATTAGACAAATGGAAACACGCAGAAAAGTTGATGTTGAGTGCAGGGGTTCAATAGCGCAGTAAATATTCGAATATATTGCAATGCTATAAAGTAAAACAAATTCATATTCTATTCGAGAGATTCATCACTGCTTAATTTTTGTAAGAATGTATCTTCTTAAAGAAAATCTTTATTAAAATTTCACAAGCCATGCGAAAATATTCACTTCCATGTTTGGAAGTACATATTTGTGCGAACAATTATTTTTGAAAATGAACATTACAAAGAACTGGGATTAGTGATGCCCATTTAGAAAATCTTCCAATCTTGGCGTCGTAATGCTATCAAGCGTGATGCAGCAACAAGACAGTGTCACATCAAATGTCATTGTAATAATTTTTTAATAAGACGACTGAGTTGAGTTCACGAATTGTCGCAGTTTTTGCACGATGTTCCGTTTTTAACTTTCAAAAAATATATGCGATCCGCAAAAGACTAGCAACAGACTGGGAACCACTGTACTAGACGACAAGATGACTTCAACACTAGGTATATATTCGTTATTATAATAAAAAGCATGTTTGTTATAACTTGTATAAAAAAATGAAAAAAAAAATGAGTAGCCTACTGTACTTTGTATGTTATCTTCCTGATATTTAGTAACACTAAGTAATATCATAAAAATTCAAAAACCGATTTTTGAATGGATCCCCGAATATGCATTTCCCGTACAAGTTGGTGGTAAAGTGCAATATTCAAGTTGAAAGTACTAGGCAGCATAAGGCGTTCACAAAAACTCGTGCCGAGCGCTTTATTTTATTGCTGCATTCCCTAATGATACTAGTTCACAGCAACATCCCTCTCTCTTCATCAATGCACTCCATCCGTTGGAGGGAAGCTGTAGTACGTGAATACATGGTACAATGCTAGTTTGATTTCGCCACAATTAATTCCACTCCACCTTTTGATTCTTCATGATTAAATAATTTTTCTGTATTGCAACTATAACTACACAATAGCGAATATCAATTTCAACCACAATGTATATCCACTATTATTAACGATTCTGCCAATAAATTTATTCAAATGTTTCCAAATTTAGTGGGTGGTAGATATTAAAACTATTCATAACTTATAAGAATGTGTTATGTATTTGACTGACCATCTGCACTGGTATATAGCCCACTTTATGAATATTCAGATACAATTATATTGTAGGGGAATCACTGATATGTGGAAACCGGTTACCTCACTTTTAGGGCGTTTTAGGGAGAATAAATGCGTATCTCGTAATGATGAGTGAATACGTAATTCAGATTTGAAAAAAAAGGAACCGCTACCACAGTAATAAGAAAAGGGAAATTGTGAGGTACCGACCTACTATTGGAAAAGACTGACACAGAAGTGCAATATCGGAAACGATAGGATCGGGATTCACATATTAATCGTAGAGGAAAGCCATTATAACGGCCTAATCATATGGCGAACAACGGCCTGTCGGAAAAAGCCGTAACCGACCAGAGGTCACATGAATCACTCTATGGCGGCAAGGGGTCCAGCAATCCTCTCGCACATAATTGTCCCCTGCGGTATTCAAACTTGTGAACAAACGCAGGGTAATGAGAGGTGTGTTGGCGAGCGTATTCCTAACGCCCAGCACGATGGGCCACATCGCCGAGCTGAAATGACGATGCAGTTCGTATGAAATAAAGATAGCTGCAACATGGATACACAAAATCTCGTTAATGATCTATTGTTTAGATTAAAACTAAATTAATAGGAAATGAAAGAGTTCAATTTCCTGTAGGTAATGGAACAAGTGATAGTTCGGCCAGAAGTTAACAACAATTTACGAAGCATTTCTTGTCTATATTTGCAAATTATGAAAAAATTCAATACTTTTGATCCCTAGAATAATGAGTACTAAAATAGGATAAAGCTACCGTAAATAAAACAAATCACACAATAATTCACAAATAGGCAGGTACGAAAATATTTGATTGAAGATATAAATTACTGCACATAGATTTCAAAATGACAACAAAAATAATCCACCCTGTAAATATCCTTTGAACATAACAATAATATTAATATCCACAAGCATTCATTTGCCATTTTGCAATCAATGAATGTTAACTAAATTTGTATACAAAAGCACTTTAACTGTGGTCTACTGACTTATACAGTTATTCTGAGTACGAATATGCTCTCATTTAAATAAAGTTGAAGACAAAGTTTATAAACAAATATACGTTGACTACCGAAGAAACAAAATTGTTATTTGTGAACAAATATTACATGATTATGTGCATTGTTGAATTTTCAATAATAAAAGAGTATTATCGATCCAAATCTAGACTACAACATGCTGCTGATATTACTCTGCGGTGCATAATTACATACAAGAATAAGATGGGCCTAGTACAGTAATTTAACTTTGTGCTGCCGAAAATATCAATATAAAATAAATACACAAAAATTTGAGATCCAATATCTTTTTTGCCTTGAATTTCTATCATAGAGAATTGAACTGGCAGAGGAACTAACTAAGATGTCTTTTCATTGACACACAATGGTTTGATATTATTGAAAATACTTGCTAGTTTCTTGAAATACCTGTGAACCAAACAGTTTCCATTTGTAAGACACAAATTTTCACAATATAAATAATAAAGTTGTGTTTTTCGGAATGCAAATCATTTAAAATCTGCTCTCGATACTCCCATTCATGACTTATTTTATGAAAAAAAAATTTCAAGCATCGACAATAAATCAAGTTGGAAATGATACTCACTGTTTCTGGATCATGATCAGCTGCTATTTTTCTAACTTTTCCTGATTCGCCGTAATGGTCAATTATAGGTTTTGTTTCAGTTGCATAGGTATTAAAACGTTTTTTCAAGCTATCAGCATTGTCATCTGTCCTTCCACTAGTTTGGCCTCGTTCAAGAATCCTTGTCGTACAGACCTGATCATTTTAATTTGGATATTATATCACATTTGCATTATCAAAACAAATGAAAATGAAAAAAAACAAAATAAGTTAAAAATCAACATTACGATAACGAAGTCTAAACAAAGTTTGCTAATTTATTTAAAGCTCCTGGTATCCAATGGTCACTTGCAATTTTAGTACCACATCAGAACATTATTTTATACTTGTTTGCGCAAAGCAAGGTTTAAAAATGGATAATTAAGACTAAATCAGCCTGAACAACACACATATTAAGTCACATATGATATTCATAACCTGAAGTGTTGAATGTTATATATAATATTATGTGTGCTAAGAGTAACACTATGATTGTTTTCTTCACAAACAGATACCATTATTAGTCTGTGTGAAGGGAATCAAGATTTCAAATTGATGTTATAACTGTGCTAACATTATTAAAACATTGCATTGGGCTTATTTATGTGTATTGGGAAAAATTGGAAGAAAAACGTCATGAATGTTCCTAGTAACAACAGCTCAAACTTGAGTTTACTTTTAATACCAATACTGGTAAGTATTGGATGAGTAGTGATGAAAACAAAGCACTGCATGAGGTTGTGCACCCGTACATTTTCACACCAAGTTGCCAGAATAACATTTGGTTACAAAATTGAATGTGGAATTCATAGCTTTGCTTTGTGTTTATTCAGATAATAATAATCCTGAATATTATTATATCTACAGAAAACAAGCACAATTTTCAAATAGGCCAACAAATATTTCAATATTATTTGATTCTCATTTCACACTACGATGTAAAAATAAATAAAATGCTCCATTTATGAAGCTGCTAATACTCACAGACTCGGGACAGTCGAAAAATAGAACAAATTTCAAATCAACTTTGTCATTCATGGCATCATTCCAACCATCTAAATTATCTTTATTTCTTGGGAATCCATCAATTAGGAATTTATATTTTTCTCCATTTGTCTCTTCCATTGTTTCATTCATTGCCTGGAATATAGGAAAATAGCAGATTTCCTCAACATTCAATTATAAAACTAAGTTTGATAAAGCACTCAAGCATTATGGAATCATATTTCAACAATTCTATTTGAATAATATAAAAATTTAGAGATATTTTAAACAAATTTGGTCTAACCTGAAATATATGGCAGTTTAATATGGCATGACCTTTTTTTTTTATAGAATAGCTTGCTTAAAGTGAAACAGCTTAGATAAAACAATAATAAAAAGCACCCATTTTTTGAATTTTACAAGTAACAAAATGAAAACACTGAATATGAATGAATTTTACTCATTTTTAGTGAGGAAATACCAATGATTTGTTTTATAGAGAAATCCCGCACTTGGAAATACTTTACTTTTTAGTGTGATTGAGATTTTGCCAAATTAATTCTCACCACTTCTAGGTAACAATCACCACCACTGATTAGATATTATATAAACATAGGTTTCTGTAATATTGAACCTATTTCTGTATCACAACGAATAGGTACCTTTTCTAAAAGACCACATGTAATTTTCACTGGAACAATTTTGCCTTCTCTTATGTAGTTAGCAATGAGTTGACCAACTTTAGAATCAGGTGTATTCTTCTCTTTCCTTAGCAAATCACCAGCAGAAAGATGAACATATCCAAATTTCTAAAATCATACGTTGAATTTCATTTATTTATGCTGTTTATATTGACCCAACATTCTTGAGTTATCAAGCAAATTATTCTAAAATTATACAAACCTCAACAATCTTTGCACATTGAGTGCCTTTCCCAGCACCTGGCCCACCAAGTACAAAAATTACTTGTGGTTTTGCCATTGAAAATATACGTCTGACTGCCTGGACGCTTGGGAGAAGTGATGGAATAAAGTTAAACATAGACTGATAAACAAAAGTTTGTATTTAATGTTACTTGAAGTATCAAAAATCAATTGCAAGAAGTTAATCTGCTGCTATGGGTATTGTGGATTTCTCTTAATAATTATCATGTTAATTATGCTTTAATATTTCTTGCATGGTCTCAGTCAGCCAAGAAACTATTTGGACTCTACTTGAATACAGAAAGCTGAAATGGTCAAAATTTTGTGTGATAGTCTGAACATTACGAAAATCTTATTCCCGAATTTAAGATTTGGTTTAAATTCGTATTTCAGTATTTAGGAATAATCCAAATTTTAGGCAAACACTATAAACCAATGAAACACCACTGCAATAAATACGCATATGAAAATGAGATGCTAGTATTTTATGTTCCATTAATTCCCTAAGTTCTGTAGTATAGTAGTAATCTCTGCTAGTTAAATCACGATGAAATGATAAAGACAGAAGCGTAAATGAGATCCTAATTAATTTTTGCAATTTTTTTTCCTAAAATGTGTTGAACCCAGTAATAAGAAAACAATATTCATCATATCAAATTAAATGCTACCATCCAATATATTTTCCTTCCAGATATCAGTACGTCACATGATTTTAGCATCAGTGGTATCCATTCCAATTACAGAATTAAAACACAGCATCAAGCAATTAAAACATGCATTATCCATTTCAGCATTTTGATAGAATTAAAGATGTTTAAGTTATTAGAAAGGCAGAATCATAGGGATAGGATAGGATTTACATATTTATCCCGGGGGACCACGGCCTCTCGTCCGGTTACCATTCCAAGTCGGGTATGGGATTAGTTTTTACTGTATTGTTTGTTTTCGGAAGCATGGACTTGGTGGTGGAGGAAGCCGTAACCGACCAGCGGTTACGTGAACCACCCAACGACGGCGAGGAGTCCAGCAATCCTCTCGCACATAACCATCCCTTCATGGGATTTGAACCTGCGAACCCACGCAGAGTAATTAGAGGTGCGGTGTCGAACGTATTCCTAACGCTTAGCCCGTTGAGCCACACCGTCATAAATTCAAAAGTTTTGAAATAGGCTACCAATTAGCAAAATTATCAATGATAGGTTTCTGGCTTTAGATGGGTAAATAAATGTCACTTTTTAGACCCCCTGATCTTCCAATTTCAATTCTGCACCATATACCGGTAGCTGTAGAGTAGAGTCTAAACTTTTTGTTTGCTGTCCTGTCCTATCTGTTACACTTACAGTACTTTTAATTTTAGTACTTGTTTTTATCAACTTTTATCATCTGTTATGCTCATTATGGCACTATGGAGTCGAAATAATCTTTAATCAATTATAAAACATTATTACCTAATTCTACAAGTTCTATTTCTTTGAGCAAAAGCAATCATATTGAAAAAAAATTGTCACGATACATTCAATATATTAAAATTAGTGTTAAGCGGATTCCTCCCCCGAAACCGCATCAATCTGTCTAAGTTACAACTTCTGTAATCTTGAGTGAAAATAAAATGACACGTTTCGCCATTCTTTGCTCTTTGTTGACATCTTACGCTTACGGTTATGACATCGCAAACCAAACATTCTTCAATATGTCTGAATGCAGGAATGTGGATGATTCTCGTTGCATGTGAGTAAAGTAACTGAGGAACAATGGCTTCTAAGTTCAGTGGTGCTCTTCAGTTAACTGATTTGGATGACTTCATTGCACCATCGCAAGAATGTATCAAGCCGACACAGATTAAAAAGCCTTCAGTTGTATCGCTAAATAAAGAGATAAAGAAGAAATCAAAAATAAGGCTGGATGATGAAGGTAATTATGTTGATGCGGCAAATGAACAAATCAAAACTTTGCAGAAAGCTGAAGTATCTTTGAGTGATTGTTTAGCATGCAGTGGATGTGTTACATCTGCGGAGTCTATTCTTGTACAACAACATAGTTTTGAAGAGTTTTATAAGGTTGTTTTGTCGAATAAATCTGAAAATCCTAAAAGATATATTGTTGTTTCAACGTCTCCCCAAAGCAGAGCATCTTTATCTGCTCATTATGGACTTAGTCTTGAAGAGACTGCACTATTTTTAAGTAATTTCTTCACTAAAATTGGTGCAAATTTAGTATTGGACACTGCATATTTTCGCCAATATGTACTTGATGAATGTAGGAAAGAATTTATTGAATTATTTCAAAACAATGCAAATTTGCCAATATTGACATCAGCATGTCCTGGCTTTATTTGCTATGCTGAAAAAACTCATGGTAAACTTGTGATTCCACATTTGAGTAAAGTGAAATCACCACAACAAATTGCAGGATCTTTAATCAAAAGTATAATTCCGAGTGTTTCCGAAAACTCACCAAGCTCGGTATATCATGTGACAGTAATGATGTGTTATGATAAGAAATTAGAAGCAACAAGAGAGGACTTTTATAATGATATTTATCGAAGTAAAGATGTTGACCTCGTTCTTGCAACAACCGAGGTTCAAACTATGATTGAAAAAGAATCCATCTCTCCTAAAGACCTATTATCATTGGATAACCATACCACTCCTGATGTTTCATCCATTCATAAAGAATTACGGAAAGCTTTGTTAGCTCCATCAAATCTTATTAGTAATGCTGGTGGTGGTTCGGGAGGATTTCTTGAATACATTTTCAGGTCAGCTGCTAAAGAACTTTTTAATAAGACTGTAGACAAGATCGAATACAAAACAATAAGAAACAATAAAGATTTCAGAGAAGTGATTCTTAATGATGATGATGGTAATGTTCTTCTACGCTTTGCATGTACATATGGATTTCGTAGCATTCAAAATTTGGTGCAAAAAATGAAAAGAAAAATGTGTAAATATCACTATGTAGAGGTTATGGCTTGTCCATCAGGTTGTCTCAACGGCGGTGGACAAATTAAAGATCCCAAACTGAGTAGAGATGAGCAAAAAGAACATCTTGCACTTATTCAGAAAAAATATGACGAAGTTGAACCTCAGACTGAACTCCATGATGTACCTTCTCTTGCTGATAAATTCTCTGCAAGTGATTTGGACATGATATTGTATACAAAATATCACGCATTAGAAACAGATAATGCGATAGGGCTGGGTATTAAATGGTGATGGAATGCTTTTAAATCTGATTTGTTATAATATGATTTCTTATAAACATAGAAACAGCGCAATACACATATTACTAACTCCATTAGTGCCTACTCGTTTGGATAAATATTCCAGCAATATGTGCAACCTTGTTTTCAACTATGTGAGCTGTGCTTTGAACATATACTGTAAAAAATATAGTATTGTTCTGTTTGCTAATCTAATTTTGTACATTATATTAGTTTTATAAATGTGCCATAGGCGATGCCACCTTGAATAATGTTGATGATCTGTTCAATTTAGATTTTTCAATGTCAACATGTATTATGTTCCCTTCTATGGGACAATTTCCGTATATTTAATTGATACTCATAATATTGTCTAAACAACAGTTTTGATATGAATAATATTTATATGTATGGCTTTTGTGGGTGCGAAGGTGGTTGGAACGTTTTTTAGTTTTAAACCCACCTCGTTGAGGGTGTTATAAATTTGGCACATATCAGAAATAGTCGTCCCATATCAGTGGTTGCTTTTGCAGATCCTTGATAGGGTGAAGATGTGACAATACCTTGTACACTATATATATATACAATAGCCATTTATATCAATGATAAAAAAAATTCTCATACTGATTTTTCAATATATTTGTTTGATCTCTTAATTTATTTCATGTATTATGATTCATAAAAAGAACATGAATGCCATTTCCGGTTTTCAGCAGTTAAGATATGTTTTCAATAATCATTGATTGGGATATTTCATTGTAAGAACACTCTATCTTTAAATGTAAATATGAAAATCTATGTTTTTTTTTGACTCAAAGCAGGTGTAAAATTACTTTTTATATTTTGATGATGGATTTACTATCGGAAAGGTTGTTCACAATAACTGTTCCCTTTGCTGCTATTCTTATACGTTGGCTTGTGAGTACAGGATCTTATTCAGGTATTTCAAATCATGAATAGCCTATTGATATTCTTTATATGAGTTTACTAGAATCAGCTAAAACGTTGGGATTTGTGTTGGTCAGAGTGTTTATCTTCTATTACGTACAATCCTTGCCAAAATATGGCCATCTCCATTATATTTACCCAGGTAAGGAATTCAATTTCTAGGGAAAAATTTTATATACAAGTTATTTCTGGTATTCTCAAACTTATAATAAATTTGTTATTGAAAAGCACCAAATTTTTTACTTTTTTTTTTTCTACTGGCAAATTCATCTATGATAAATTATATCTTAGGTATGCACAAGCCCCCCATGTATGGTGACTATGAAGCACAAAGGCATTGGCAGGAGATAACTGTAAATCTTCCAACTTCAGATTGGTACAGAAACACAACTGATAACGATTTAATGTATTGGGGGCTTGATTATCCTCCACTCACAGCATATCATAGCTGGGCCTGTGGAAAAGTGTAAGCTGCAATTTTTTGATGTACTATTGTATTTGAGATTATTTGTGACAAATTTTGTTTTTGTCGAGACTTTTCAAATTAATTCAATTTTAAAATGGTATTCGAAAGAAGGTAATAGTTGATCATGAATTTGTGATTCCATTATGTCACAAGATGTTTGAACATCATTGTCATAATTTTCTGTACCATTTATGTTAAAAATATGCATCAGCCGTGCATAATTATATAATCAGAAATAGTTGGTACCTCTAACTAACATCCAACATGCTTTTCTATGTGTAGGGCTCTGAAGAAGGTTGATGTAAAATGGGGCTAAATATAAAACTTGTCTATTTCAGTGCAAGAATTCTGGATCCAGATTGGGTTGAACTGCATCAGTCTCGTGGGAAAGAAGGATATTATCATAAACTCTTCATGAGATATACTGTGCTTCTGATTGACATCTTACTATTTTTCCCTGCAATTTATTTAGTCTTTATTGAAAAAAATAGAAGCCAATACTCAAGACGTGTCGCATTGCTTGTGGCATTGTTTTATCCAGGAATAATTCTGATTGACTATGGACATTTTCAATATAACAACATGAGTCTTGGATTATTTATATTTGCTGTTTATTTCTTACAATGCAATCAACAAATACTTGGTGCGATTTTGTTTTGTTTGTCTTTGAACTACAAGCAAATGGAACTGTATCATTCAATACCATTTTTCTGTTTTCTCCTTGGAAGATCGATGCAACATGGAATCATATCAGGGTAACTGGCTCATCTACATTATAAATTAATACATACCGTAATTCCATTGACCACATTGGGTATTATTCGTGAAGGTTTTTTAAATAAATATGTAATAATAATTATATTGTGGATATAAGTATCATAAATTGCATTATTTTTGTATCAAACTGACTTGTTCAAATTCAACTCTTCAAACATGCATAGTTTAATTAAAAACATTAAATTTTTATTTATTTTAAAATGGAAATTATATTAAAAAATATTTGATTTTTGAGAATAATTAATTATGAACCCTACATTCCTACTTTTACTTTTTCCCAGATTCTTCAATGTGTCAAAGTTAGGGTTGACAGTCATTGCAACATTTGCTCTATGTTGGCTCCCGTTTCTTACTTCTGTTCAATCTGTTGAAACTGTGCTGGGACGATTGTTTCCTGTTGGACGAGGATTATATGAAGACAAAGTAGCCAATGTTTGGTGTTCAATTTCACCAGTAAGTTTATTACCAGTTCAAATATTTAATTTTTAGATTTGGTTGATGATATCTTCCCCAAATACAAAGTCGTAAAATCTACATTGCCTACTGGTCAAAGCGTAAATCAAATGAAAATATTATTTTTGTACGAGTGCATGAAATTTGCCTTTATTTTGTCATGATCTTTATTACAAGGTATGATTTAAAATATAAATATAGTATATAGCTCTTTTCTGTGATTTAGGTTTTGAAGATAAAAGAACTTGTACCGGCAAATCAAGCAATATACATTTGTATTATTTCAACACTTTTATCATGTCTTCCATCATCAATTCAGTTATTACGAAATCCAACAATGAAAGCTTTTAATTTTTCATGTGTAAGTATAAAAAACTGCATATTAAAATTATTATTCAAATCCTAAATATTACACCACCATGAATAATATTTAGTGGCACCGAACATATCATATTAAAGACGTTGATTTAATCTTGGACTGTTTGTTTCATTGTGAATAAACTAGGACCAGTAACCAGTTTACAGTAGTCTAAGACAAGGTTACAAGTCATGCGACATCATGAAGCATCAATGCGGAGTTCTGCTCAAAATATCGAGATTCATATGTGAATATATTCTCAGACATACCTTGTTTGAACTCTGCCAATACCTTTAAATTCATTTCAGTAAATACTTGACAGTGTCAATTGGACATTCATTTTTTATATTTACAGGTTATCGTGTCTCTGGCTTTTTTCTTATTTTCTTTTCAAGTTCACGAAAAATCGATTTTGATTCCAGCTGTGTAAGTTATTTTTGTTTTGTGCATACTGCTGCCAGAGTACACATTCATTGTGTTCTAAACTTCTGGGAATCATGAAAATATTTATAACAAAGTTTTTCTGGCAATCCTAACAGACCTTTGACATTCCATCTTCACTTTGAAGCAAATTTTTAGTTTAAACACAAAAATCTCCTAAGAAATACTTTTGACCATGTTACTGACCTTGAATATTATGGTAACTATATTTTTCAGATCCGCACTTTTAATTTACAACAATGCACCTTTTCTTGTGTCATGGTTCCTCCATATTTCGGTGTTCAGTATGACACCATTGTTCATGAAAGACGGATTGATGCTTCAATATTTTGTCACAAGATATATGTTTATGCTAATTACTTATGTCGGAAACAAGGATTCATTGAAGCCAAGTTCCAGTATGATTAAAACTGCTCGATTTCTTAGTTGCAATATTGTGTCATCTTCAATGGTTTCAGCCATTTTACAGTTCAAGGTATGTGCTGTCCTGTGCAACAGGGGTGTGCAACCTTAATTACAAGAGGGCCAAATACAAGTAAATGGGAGAAGCCACGGGCCGCACCTACAAACTCTACCTACGAAAAATCCAACTTCTGAAAATTCTTCTTATAAAAATATTGATTTGGCTAACCTAAGATTTTCTACACACGAAAAGCCAAAAATAGAAAACTCAAAAAATGCATTTAGTGATATCTGTTTATTCAAGGGTAATTTAATGCAGGGATGTCCAATTTAATATTCGAATATCGTTTTTCGTGTTAAATAAATACCGAATATGGCGCACATATCTTAGCAGTTTGCACACTCCTGTTTTAAAGCTTTGTTTTTTAAGTTTTTACTCACAACTTCACTAGATGTATTTTTTGTTCTCTCTCTTTTTCTATCCTATATTGTTCAAATTGTGAGTGTAATCTTAGATGTGAGTATAAGTATCATAAACAAAACGAAATGGGATTTATGAAACGGGAGGGAAAAGTGAACATCTTCGTAATATCATTGATAGTTGATGTTATCACACAATAATTATTTATGTAGTATAAGACAGGTGGAGTAGTATTGGGATAAACTACAGGTTACTCAATAATATTGATCGCACATTTACAATTGTAGGAGGAATAACAATCATTTCTTGAATGCATTAGACTCATAGATTAGATAATTTCAGGGTAAAAAAACAACGCAAAGACTTGAAGTTCAGGAAAGTTACCAAAATTTCAAATACTTTTGAAGTTACCGAATTCTGCTAGATTTTTGTTTCTAAACTTATTCTCGTTTGAAAATATTGCATTGATATTACGCATCCTGTCGTCCTCATTATTATTATTTTAACAAACTGCATCTATATTCACAATCAATATTATTTTTTCAGATGTTTTTCTCCACTGTCCTTGCTGATCTTCTAACGTTGTGCCTAATGTTTGTGGAGCCACCAGGAAGATTTCCTGATTTGTGGCCTGTTTGCATATCAATGTTTTCATGTTTGCACTTCTCAGGCTGTCTTGTATTTTTTACTTGTATGCAGCTCGTATGCAATTCCACAACTACGAAAATGAAAAAAATATCTTAGTCTAATAATATGAAATATTTTTTGGTCATAGAGGTGCTTTAGAAAGCCAAATCATAGCCATGAAAATCTGTAACGTAAAATTTCTTAAAATATGCACATATGAAAATATGCACAACGAACAAAAATAAATAACACAATGCTAAGCAAAGGACTTAACATCGTTAGTGTCAAATATTTTCTTGATTGCCTTAACTTGGGTTGGTTATTTGCAAGAGATGGGCTGCATAGTACGACTTCGCCACTCTAAATCAGGGGTCCGCAACTACGGGGTCGCGACCCAAATGTGGGTCGCGAAGCCCTCTGCTCTGGGTCGCAAAACAAGTTAAATTTGCCATAAATATGAGCATCGCGTATGTGTAGCGTATTTATGTATAATAACTTTATAAATCTCTGATTACAATTATGGATGCTTCCCCGAGTATGGATCTTTCCCCAACCTTTGACCCCCGAAAAATTCTTCCTATACCTTGCCATTGCGAAAATTTCAGGGCTTATTTTAGGAGTAATTTTGTTTCAAACTATCCTTATGATTCATCGCATACGCCATACAGCAATCTGTTTTTTAAAAGTACCGATAAAGAATTTTAGCCTAGTCCATCACAGCTATTTCTACACTAATTTTTTATTACTGCAATTATGCTCAAACTTCTGAGAGGACAGAGTGATCATTGATCTATCTGATGAAATCCTAAATTTCCGAAACGCAACTGAAAACTAACGAATAACGAACGAGTTCGAAAACGAGGTAATGTTTACGATCACGCCTGAGAATCTGTCCAAGCATACATATATACTACTACGGTCCAAGTGAAAAAAGTGTCCGAGCGGATGCGAAAAGGAAGCATTGTTACGTCACTTTTTGCATCTTGCTAATTGGCCAATGTCACAAGGAAGTCGATGCCCGGGGGAAAGGTAGAAAATACACTTATTTTCTGAGCTAAACGATTTTCTCGAAGAAAACGAGTTCAGTCAAAACACTGTGAAACAATCCATAATCAGTCATCTTCATGATCTTTCGCAGTGGTTTAATAGCAACACAACTGGATACTATCACCGTTCACTGTATCAAATATAGTATACAACATCTATCATCAGATTTGATTGAAGCATTGGATGACCTGTCAAGTGATCGCGGGTTGAGGATCGCATTTGATGGCAAAAGAAGTTTTAGCTGAATTTTGGATTTCAGTTGCAAAAGAATATCCGGAGCTATGAGCTGCTGCAATGAATGTTCTGTTGCCGTTTGGAACTACCTACCCAAAGTGAAAAGACCTTTTCTACGTGTTCATACATAAAAAACAAATACAGATCAAGGCTAAAAGTAGAAAAAAATTCTCGAGTTGCTGTCTTCCAGATTAAACCTCGAATTGATCTATATGTTGTGTTTAAAAATCAAAACTGAGAATTCGCATTATTACACGCTACTATTCACGATTTTTTGTGCTAAGTTACATATAATGTTGTGCAAGAAAATTGCTAGTGTCAACAATAGTCTCAAAATCGATAATTATTATAATGTTATGTTTAATTGTTATAATTATATGTTTACCAAATGATTGGGTCGCGAGAAATTAGAAAAAAAAAATTGGGTCGCACTGAAAAGTAGTTGCGGACCCCTGCTCTAAATGTCTGCAGTAATGGGCGCCTGCAAAAATGCGATTCTGTTGGAATGGAAATTTCAGAATTCTGAAGCGATTCGGATTCGTCTTTTCGTTTATTTTATTGCGTTTACAGCTTCTCCCACGCGGTAGCAATCCTGTAGTTGCTATCATTTTATAAGAGGGTTTCATAGGCGCCTATGGTTTTATTCAATTTCATTCAGCTACCTAAAATGTTCAAGAGAGGGTGAAACAAATATCAAAATATATCGGTCAATACGTATTATTACCAATATAACATTGCAATACCATTATTCCTGATCAAATATACCTATGTAAAGTTACTCTCTAAGCTCAATAATCATAGAACAAACCATACCAGTTGTAAGCCACATTTCTCTGGCGTATATATATATATGAGATAGGGCACACAAGATGAATTCTAAAATAAAATGATCGCCGTACACTCGACACCTTTGCCTACAGATGGAAATGTGATTCATTTTTAATTCATTATCATTCGATCGCAAAATAATCTGGTGTTATTTTTTCAATTTAATCAAAGTTAAAAAGAATGTGTGGTGTTTTAATGAACAGATTCGGTTTAAATATTCGAATAGTAATCTTCTTATTAGAAAATAAAATATTAGGAAATGTTGATGTGCGAGATGAATGGCGGTCCCGTTCGAAATGTTTTACCCAATTGTCGGTCACCGTTTACGTTAATTTATTCTCGACTATCCAGTTAATGCTGAAAAATAGTTATCGGACGAAACTAACTTTTTTCAAGTCGCACTGGAAAAAGGGTACTCCTGAAGTATGCGCATCAAGATGTCGCATAACGCAAGGCTTCCCAAACTAGGGGCCGTGGCCCTGGAAGGGGCCGCGAAACGAATTTTAGGGGCCGCAAAGAGAGCAACAGCTTTACACAAAGTACTATATCTAGTGTACTTTTCCAGACTCTTGATTCGAAATACAATTATTAAAAATAATGTGAAACAAAAATTTCACAATTCCTAATGAACACATCATCATACTGTGTAAATAAGACAGTGTCTTCAATTTTATTTCGAAAATAACACTAGAGCTTATTTTGTGGGGATGTAGAGAATAACGAGATTTTTTATTATGCCAAATATGAATACCAATTTCCATTACTTATAAATAGCACGTCTTCATTTAAAATAACTGCTACATATATATTATCAACCATTTAAAAAGTAGAAAGAGTAGAAATTTCCTGAGTATAAGTTTCTTGCGATCGACTAGGACTCAGTCGTTCTCGAACTTCATTGTATTGTGACGCCCTCCAAAATATGCTCAAGTTACGCCTACCCGTGAAAATACGTATTGATAGTTGATACCTTTCAATAAAAGACTTTTTTTTGCAATGAGTTTCATATAATAGAAAAAAAAACATAGCGACAGTCAGTGAAATCATATTTTATGGACCTTGGTAGAAAAATCTGCTTTATATAAAAACGAAATCGCAAAGGAAATAGGAGTCCGCAACGCTTTTTGAACCAAGAAAAATAATCTTTATCTACAAAAAACCGAATTTTCAGAATTAAACTTTTTTACTGTAACACCATCACAGGTAAGATCGATATAATCTTCCCTTTATTCTGTAAAAGTAGAAGATATGAGTTGTTTGAAAGGTTCACGAATCACGAAATTTTGCGACGTCCTAGCAAAATTGAAACGACGCACTTCCACGGGATTAGGTCAAAAAAATTTGCGCTATCGACTAAGTCTTTTTTAAAGGGGAGCGCTTATATTAAAATAATTTCTAAAATTCAGGCTTGGTTTTATTTTCGGGGAAACGCAGTAGAATCATCGCGCTTGCATAACAATGCATATTCTGATCGTAAGACCCGATTTGCGTGTGCTTGCATAACAATGCCAGCTTTAATAATCGTTAAGCTAGCGGTTCCCGAAGGCGATTTGCTAAGTGCGCCTCGAAATATGTTACATATTTTATTTCTAAATGTTTTATTGTTTCTCATTGTTGCAAATGATGTGTATACGAATCAATTTCATTTTACTGTTCTATGTTGTGTATGCTCTGTTACGTCGTGTATCTTACCTGCTGCAATTTCGTAGGCTGCAGTTTAATCATTTGCTGAACATGAGTGATTTTTTTAGCATTTTGAAGAAAACCAGATAAGGACCATGCCGTCGGTGGCCAGACATCGTAATTCATCATTTAGGTCTGCATAATCAAACATCGAGCCAAGGCTGGACTTGCTATGCAGCAAAAAGTATTCGCACCCATTACACTGAATAATTGAGTAATGTTAATCTGAAAAAATATGTGCTTGTTTCTGTAATTGAGTAGGCCTACTGAAATTTGAGAATTAGCTGTGTCAATAAAACATCAAAAATGCAAATTTCGAGCTGTTTAGCATTATTAGCGCGAACAAGTGCCGCGGAAAATTTTAATATATTAAAAGGGGCCGCGAGCTCAAAAGTTAGGGAAGCCCTGGCAAAACGTAATCTGGTACACAACCTGAGTTCAGGTTGTGCGCCATCTTGGTGCGCATACTTCAGGAGGTCCGAAAAAAGACCTGCATGCATAAACTAGGTGGCAGAATTTGCAGCATGCGCCGCTGGCATGAAAAATCATATTAGACCCAAATTATGATGGCGAAACGTTTTTGTTCGGTACCATGACGAGTGTCGGATGTTGTTTCGAACGGTAAGTTTGAAAAAAAAACTATTATGTTACTGTACTCTGGGGAAGTTCAATAGGACAATACGAGGAATTATCAGAATAAATGACTATTGAGCTATTACCGCTTGCATCGACGTTCTTGTGCGAATCGGGCTTTTCTGACATACAGGCAAGCTTGAAAATCTGAGTAAGAAAGCCAGTGAGCGACTGAAAAAGTTTTGAGTTCTAGAGTTGTATGACATGTTATGGCGTGCTAAGTGCTACGGATACAAACAAGAAATCGGTCTTACCCTTCCATCGACGTATGTTCAAATTCACTGTTTATTCTGGACTAAGTTTTGTAAATTAGTTGACAAATGGCACTGAAACGTAGAAAACCAACTGATTGTGATAGTTTATCGGTTTTCAATATTTCGGGAGAGTCAGGTGGACAATGGAGCACACAATCCACTTCCGAACATAAGTATACATACATAAGTATAATTACCTAAACAATCGTTTGTTTTTAATAAGAATTCGAATTAATAAGCGTAACGAACCTAAACTGATCGTATGATTTTACTGACGCTGTGGAATATAATCAGCTGCGAAATATAATCAGATTTGGTCCAATTAATGTCATTTACCTCCTTCCAGAAATTTGTCAAAGGATTTGAGAACACGGCACATCTGAACTCAAATAAATACATCACTAATCTGGACTATAACCAAGGAGAGGATAAAAGTTAAATGAGTCAGGACGTAGAAATGTACTCATTAGGCGCATTCATTTGATTTTCAAATAGAAACGATTCCAAATGGCACATACAAAAATGATTCAAGACAAGGATACAAATACATATATATATAAGTTCGGATGCATTTTTGAGACATAATGTACCGCGTGGGTTTTGAACCGTATTTCTGTCATTAAAAATTTATTTTTTTACTTCTATGAAATTTTACATTTCATAAAAACGTTAATTAAGGCTTTTTTTGTTATTAACACGCATAATAGCATGAGCTGTTACGGAAAATGAAAGGTGATTTTACCTAAAACCTCAATTGACTTTCGGGCAAAACAGTTTGATACAGTGTTCATAGAAGATGCTTTACTATATGCCTGTCTGACGCGATATTCTATGACCACAAAACTGTTATTTAAAAAAATAGGTATATCAAAATTTTATGCGAGAATCGGGGAACCTCGTTTTTTCGAGTAAGACGTTATACACCTGCTGTTCCAGGTAGTTGATTTTATCGATAAAAGCTTGCTGTTTACATCTCAGATTGATTATCACGCGCGGATCAAAGATGGACGCAGCGTCAAGAATAAACGTTGTGTCGTCATACTGGACTGAACATGCCCAAATTTTAAAAAGACAGCAGCTGGCAACGGAGAAACGCTTACTAAAAATTGTTGAAATACGACACCACGCCTTCGATACGCGTTTGTTGAAGTAATCGTCTGTTCTCAATAGCGTTTAAATACCGCCGCGTCGCCGTTTGTATTGGCAAAATTCACGTGGGATCTCTCGAAATCGGCGGGAAAATTCGGTAAATAAACGGCGCGCGGTCTAGCATATATCGGACCATGTTCAGTATACAGTATATGTTTGCTGGTTAGATGTCGCGGCGCGAAACGACACCGATCTTGCAACTGTCAACAATGACCGGGAAAAAAGCCTGCGTTGTTTTCGCGCTGTTTGGCACGTGGCGGCAATATATTGTACTTATTTGTGTATTCGGAAACTAGTTGCATGTTAGAACTCTTACTGTGTTAACATGCAAAAAGGACTTGGTTACACTGCTGCATGGCCGTCTAATATGAATATCAGAATATTATGAGACTCTAAATCACAATTAGGGTTAAAATCGAGTCAATCTGAAATTAGAATAAAAGCGTGAATTTTTTTGGATCATGAAAGTTCCTCCTTTAGCCTATATTGTTATTTTTATATTTCGCTCTACCCTCGAATAGTCCAAGAAATGATTACTGTATTAGTCAGATAACAGTTTATCAGTTATCACAGTAACAGTTAGATCAAATTTAAGAAATCTCCAGAATGATAAAAGTTATCAGTGTATACAGATATATGATCTGATCAATGTGTCAATTTACAGGATTATTAAAGCCAATTCCATAGTGGCTGATAGTGTGTCATAATGTCCTATGCAATGCCTGTTCTGTATCCACCATTGCGGCCATCCATTTGGGACAGATCTGTTACTATTGATTCTCCACCAATTTCAGCAGTACATTCCCCCATTACTGGGATTGAATCCAGAGGTAATAACTTATCCATATTATTGTTTTAGTATTACATTATATTGCTGTATTGTTAGATTAAAGCCTTGAAAATGATTTTTGTATCTCATATCAAAATATCCTGATGCATAATACTGTAGTGACACTTTTTTGACAATCAAAAGCTATCATTCTAACACCAGCGTAAATTGAGGAATTGTAGCTAGTTATGCTACCAAAATGCTATGAAATTAATAATTTTATTTCATAAAATTTTTTTTTGGTCATTATTCATTCATTAGACATAATCTGACTTCAGGGGTTTGTAGTTTCTGAGTTTTTTTATATTTCAATAAATTTAATGATATCAATTAATTTTAATATTTTATTTAAGATTCAAGTGTTCATTCACCTTGGAGCAGCTGGGTTAACTCACCAACAACAAGAAGAATCGTGTCATCACCGATAGCAACAAATCAATATCCCTATCAATTTAGGGGATTTGTGAGTGCAAATATTTCTCCAACCGGTCCTGTGACATCGACAAGATGCATATTGCCTATGTCTGAATGTGGTACACCAAGGTCTCACATTGCAGAATCTTCCATCTCATCTAATAATGACTCATTTTCATGTTTAACACCAAAGGGAATCACTGTGACTCCTACAAGGTACATCAGAAATGATTAAATTTTATAAATCAAGCACTTCATTTTATAAGCTTTCAAGATAGTTTATATATAAATCATTCAGTCATTAGATAAATTTTTTTTCTCATTCTTCAAACTCATCCCTTGATTTTCTGAATGGGCATTATGTGATATCTACAATAGTTCTTGTAGGCAAATGCCTACTTTGACTCAGGAAATGATGGTTGGCCATGGCTTGTTTGTTGCATGGCAACAGAGATATGAGCACAATTACTTGTACATAGATTTAGTGTAATATTCTTGCTAAAATTGTCATCTTCATAAATTATACTACGCAACGCAATACATTTTTCAAAATTTTCAACAGTTCAAAAAGAGGAAGGCCTAGGGCAGATGTTATATCAACACTACAATATGTTGGGTCAAACTCCAACTGCACAATTCGCTGTCGAATATGTCATCGTGTTTTTCCTAGAGAGAAATCATTGCAAGCTCATTTAAGAACACATACTGGAGAGAGACCATACAGGTATGCAAATCAGTTTGCGATAAAAAGTCAAATGAATGTTCGATTGGGCCATATTCTGTTATTCTTGATTTTATTTGTCCTTTATTGAGTTTGTTGCATAACATTGAGTAAGAAAGATACATGTAATATTTGTAGATACCTAATACAGCATGGCTGTCTCAAGTGTATATTGAGTTTAAGTATTTAAGGACCGGTGTTACAAGTATCAGCCTTGTCAGTTATGTTTTAATATTGTTTGAATTAGGCGCCACTTGAATATGAATATATTTTTCAAGTGTGCTATTGACGCTAGCGCGGGAGATTCGAAACTTCAATTATCGATTTCTAGAAGTATGGTCTACTAAGCACACAGTTTAGGATGTTTTATTTGAATCATTGATACAGTATTCTTTCATTAATAATTTTCTTAATAATTATATTAATTCCATTTAGATGTGATTATCCGAGTTGCACAAAGTCTTTTGTCCAAAGTGGACAGCTAAAAACTCATCAAAGGTTACATTCTGGAGAAAAACCATTCAAATGCTCCGAAGAAGGTAGGGAAACATTATTCATCATTAATTTTGATTTGACCACTTTTATTTTGTAAGTTATGAGTGTATATGATATTGTTTTATTTTAGGATGTTCTGTACGATTTACACATGCAAATAGACATTGCACCGAGCACATTCATGCAAAATTAATGAGAGATGATGAAGGTGCATTAAAGCAGTTGATGTCACAATCATCTCATCAAGATCAAACTGTAGCAATTTGGCTTGACAAATATATCAAGACCAGGTAATGCATCCTAATACTGATTCAACATGCACCCGCCTCGAGCATACATCCCAAATTTTAAAGTAGAATTCTTGTGTCAATAATGGTTAGCTGTCCTGCTACATTTGTAATTTTAATTTTTCTGATATTTGAAAAATCTGTATAATCGTTTCTTTATGATATTTCATACGGCTGATTTCTGCGCTTACTACAACAAAGGTACATTGTTCTTGTTGTTCTACTCATAAATATTGGTCCCTTCACTTTGACAGATTGGACCGCAATGTGAATGGTCAAAAATCAGCGTCAAAACGTGAAAGTTCTGAGGGAAGCGCTAGTTCTGATGAAGATACATCATGCAATGCTGAAAATTCAAAGGTATGCATTAAAATAGGAACTTGAAAAATGCTTTTTCCGATCTTTTTGTTTTATATAAGATTTTTGCAATAATCATGACAATATTGTTATCCAGATAACAAATAACACTGAATCTAAGCTTCCTGTGAAACGTCAATTATTACAACCAATGAAAGATGGTGGGGTTTCTCTTACAAAAATTCCAGTCGCAACTGATAGCATCCTTTCGCTATCAACTGATTCAAAAAGTGTTCGTAAAGTACTCTCACCAAGAAATGACAAAAGAGTGTCACCATGTCAACCTGTAAAAAAGCGTATATTAGCATATAGCAAGAAGTTACTCGAATTTGAAGGACAAGAAAATGTTGGCAACTCTGACAGTGCTGTTGACATTGCACTTCCTCCAGTGTCTTGTCTTTCTACAAAGCACAGACCAACGCATAACAGTGTTCCAAATGTTGTTGAATTCCCTTATTTGAAAAATGTTGAAGGATATAGTTTTATGAAAGACTTGGAGTCGGCAAGCCCTGGAAATATCACTGATAATATAAATTCACCTGTTAATCGCCAAAGTGTCATTGTGCGTAGACCCTTGCCCAAAATAGTTGAAGATAAAGTTGTGGGTAGTAATGAAACTAAAGCAAATGATGAACCTTTAGAGGAAAGAAGCAGATGGAACAGTGCATTGGCACTCATTCAGTTAGCGAGCAGCCCTCCCGGAAAAAGTGCATTGCGCTAATATTCTGTTAATGTTTTTTTTTTCATTTCAAGTTCCACACAAAGCTTCATATTTGTAAATTTCTAAAATATAACATTGATTTCTTTTTGCTGCTAAAAATTTTGATGTAACACATTTGATATTTTCTACAATCATTTAAAACTCTTTACCAAAGTATTTGTTTACTCGACTCTAAAACTACGTTATTTGTCACCATTGGATACTGTTAGTTGTAACTAATTTGGAAAATCATTGTTCTGTGATTCATCAGTCACTGGCCAAAGATAAATTTGTGCTAGTGATTGAATATAGATAATAGATCGAGCTTGTCGCATCGTTAAAAATCAATCACTGGTTGGTTACGATTCCTATAGCTAAACGAGACTAGACAAGCCTTAGCAAGATTTAAAATTTTTGTGTGATAAGTATCGCCTTTCTTTGTTTACAAAATTGAGCCGCCGTAGTAACGTAGTGTTTAATTGTTGAAATTCAATTCATGGGAAATGTGAGTAATCTTCATTGAAATTCAATCTAGTTGTTGAACTATCGAATTCCAAACTGGCCTAATGTTTATAGATTAGCCATCGTTGCTATGCTCGCTAATATTTTTTATCACTAGTGATTCAGCGCTATTTAAATTTTTATGTGTATTTTTAAAGCCATGTAGTGGTGCACATATAATAACGGTAATTAATGTGAAATACCATGCTTATGGTGTCATGTAGATATAAGATGTCGCATTCAAAATGTTCATGAATTTTATATTGAAATTACGACCTGTTTTCCAAAATTTCTAATTCCTTGCCAAACATGAAATGCTGTTGGCCATATTGTGATCTAGTCATTAACCTTTATATGATTTCTAATCTCTTTATTCCTTGTATAAGATTGCACAAGAGCTATTTTTACTGCCAAAAATTTGCTAAGGAAGAACCGTCAACAAGGTTTTTTGTAAATAGTAACCAGTCCAAAATTGATCAACATTTTTATGGTTTTAAATGCTGCTACAAATGCATAATGTTGCTGATAGAACAAAGTTTACTATTATTTCGTTTGTATCTTTTATTTTTTGTTGTGTTCCATGTTTAAGGTTTTGAGAGTGTATTTGTGAATATTAGTAATGAGATGTTGTATTCAGTGTTCTTATCATAGATTTCAAATAATTATTGATCATGATTTATGCACTATTCAATAAAATTGCACAAAATCTGTTAATTGAAATGATTGCATACCTATCATGCTTAGTGATCAGACATTGAGGGTGACATTGTCACCAATGGGTTAGGAAATTCCTTCTATTAGATTGACAGATAATTTACTATCATGACTTGAAACATCAGAGTGGTTTTGAGCGCAAGGCATACAGGACGTTTATTAAATCTGAAACAATAACAACCTCAAAAGGTCCGATGTGCAGTTATGATATTAGGTTGTGCTTTTGGTGCCAATGCAGCATATACTCAAGAATGTGAGATGTCATCAAATCTTGTTCTTCTTGTGTGGAGGGGAAATGAGTGCAAGTTTGAAGGATGACACAACACCACAGTGACAATAATATTTATCCAATACCATTCTTTACTGAGTTAAGTCAGCTCAATAAGTTTAAAATATATCTCAAGTACATGGATGAAATATTTTCAGGGGAGCTAAGTTCAGTATAAATATTTTATTGGTAAGTTTGTAATATGCCTCTTCTGATAGACACTCTAAGTGTTCGTGATTGTTACATCTTGAGTGATTTTCTTGCCAGAAAATTAGCAATTGATGAGGAACTGATAAGAGATTTCTTAGGCAAGGAATTGAAGGCAAGGCAAGGAATTGAATAAAACTTTAAAAGGCAAGCCATGTGCTAAGTATGGAAATGTGTTTACTATTGCAACAATGAAAACTTTACATGTGTTTGAATCTCATGACGATTGATTATACTCCAGACCAGAGGTTTGCTTGCTTCCTCACAGACACATGATGGTTCAGGTAACCACAGGTAAATTACGATTTCCTCCACAATCTAAGTCAATATATTTTGAACAAAGGCTGGGCTAGCTATCCCCATACCAGACATAGACCGGTATTAGATGAGACACCATTGTGCGCTATATGAACGGGCCATCTAATTGTTATTGACTTTACTCTCCCTATGATGAATATCTTACAAACATTGAGTCACTATCGGCTATGCTATCACCCTTCACGAATAGAATGAAGCCATCATCAAAACATAAAATATATATTTTTAATAAACCAACTCATCTAATATGCAATTTTTGAACATGTTCACGAAAAATCAGTATTGACAAAACAGTGTCAATAGGCAGGACGACCAAGAACGTGAATAAAATCGAGAAAAGTGCCAATTTGGTGATATTTCCTATACCAGAGGAAGTCATCTCTTGAGCTATAAAGATTAAACTTACAGAACAACATACTATACCAGCAAACAATATAATTGATACAAAGTGAAAAAATAACTGGCAAGACCTAGTAGTAACTGGCAAGTGAGTATATAGATATTTGTGTTGTAGTTTCTTCTCCGATTCCTCACCATGACAACAGATATTATCATCAGCAACATTTGGATTCTCTTTTTTCACATCTAATAAATCATATTTTCCTGACGGGTAAGGCACAGTGTTTTGTGAATATGAAAAAGATGTTTTTATTGGTTCACTTCCAGATTCATCGTCTGAAGAAATACTAATACTAGATTTAAGCAAAAATGAAGAGTGAGAGTTAGCTTTATCGCTATCAACTGTTGACAAGCTTGGCTTTTTCATCAAATCTTTTGAAATTCTATCTCCTTTTCCATGTCTATATGTAGTGATGTCATTTTCAGAGCCATACACAGAATCTTCATCTTGACTTGTGACATTCACAATAATATAATCGCCATCTGAATCATTTTCTTTCTTAGAACTTGAGATTGCACTGGTGGATGTTATCTTATTTTCATTGGTTGAATTGTTATGAGAATCATTTGATTTACTTGTGCTGTTTTCGTAATGATCAGAGGATGATATTTTTCTAGTCATCTCCAGAATCTCACAGGATTTTTTCGATATTTTCGACTCAGATTTATTGCTGCTAGAATTGTCATCATCTGAAGAATTATTTGCTGAAGATAATGTGTGATGAGACAAGCTTGAAACTGAAGTTATATCACTAATAGTACTCTTTTCTTTTACAGTACCCGTGGAGAGTGTGTCATCATCCACACTGCTTGTGTCATTACTACTATCACCAGATGTAGATGTGGTGGCTAGCACTTCACTCTGTGTGGCATCATAGCTTGTATCAGATTTACTTTCATAAACAGTGGATTCCAACGAAGAAGAATCAGCATCATATGAATCTGTTGTCAGCTCAGATATTGTCTCTGAATCTATTGTGTCGGACGGAACTAGCACAGTCTCAGATAAATTTGAGTCACTCTCAATTTTAAAAAACAGTGGTTTATACCCGAGCCGAGTACATTCAGTCGCTAAACCAAATTGTTTCATTTCTTCTGTATTTGTCAAACCTTCAATTTCATCTTGTGGTTCAGCATCCACACCAATAATTTTTATGAAGTTATCAAGACCACTAAAGTCAAGCACATCTTTATTAGGATCATCTTCAACTTTCAATACCTGCATATCAGCAATAGCACTCATTTGTTTTTGTACTTCATCAATGTTCGCAAGGGTGTTTGGTTGGACCTCTACACATGCTATATTTTTATATGATGAGCTTCTTTTTTCACCGAGAGACAGTGCCGTGCAGGATGCAATTTGTTGAGCTTCAAAGGGCTCTAATGGACTTCTTCTAGGAATAGCTGATTCCGACCATCTTCTTGACAAAATTTTATCTGAATTCGTTTTTGAGTAATCATGAACCAAGAACTCAAATTTTGAAAGCATTGACATTGATGTAGAAGCATTAACTTTATTGCTTGGCAAAAGACCATAAAATGCTTTTAATGGTGTTTGCAACGCTGGAGCAAAAGAATGCTTAGATTGTTTCAAATCTAGTATGTCATGGATGAAGTACCTTCCGACGCCTTCACTAGAAAGAGGTATCTTTGTAATACGCCAACATACAAAAAATAAAGATCTTAAAAGCAATGGAATTGGAAGTAAAATAATTGTACCAATCACAGAAATTAGCACATCTCCTCCAATGAATTTACCAATGCTATGGGGTTCATTTGGGTCTTGCATGCTAACAAATAGCTGTAAGTAAAGAGATGAAAGACATCCACCTACCAATATGAGCATAAGACAAAGGAATCGTTCAAGACGACTGATAATTGATCCGGGCGGAGGTTTCAACAATGAGAATAACAGGTTACATCGTAGAAACCTGAAATGGCGACTGTTTAACATGACATGAGTTTCTGATTCTTCAATTTTTTCTAAGACTAAATTTGCTGGCGTAAGCTGCTGCAGTTGTATAAAATTTTCATCATCATTCATTGATAATAGCTTCGTTACAGAGTATTTATGTTTACGATCGTCAAGCTGTTTCACATTTATATTTGTAAGCTTCACTGAATCCTCTGATTTTAATATATCTTTTCCATCAGTTGATTGTACAGCAGAAACAGGTCCGATCCAAGACAGCAAGCGAATTCTTTGTATTTCACCAAACTTTTCCTTCTTCATAGAGAAACAGACAATGTTTTTATAATTTTCTCTCATAAGTTGAGGACAGAAGTCTCTTCTTATCCATATTATTGGACCTTCTGCTTTGGTACCAATTACTTGCAAAAATATTTTACATTTAGCGTTCACAGTTTTTAATGTTTCGAAATTTATCTGATAAAAGGTGCAACCCTTGTTTTTCGAGGGGTTTGGAGGAGTGAATATCATAGTTCTTCTTGTGTAATTTCGGTCAAGCAAATATAAAATAGGGCTCATTAGACACAACAGTGCAACAAAAATGATCATTAAATGAAGACCAGATGTTATATCAACAGGATATATCCATTCCCACTCTACTTCAGAAGCAAAAAATCCAATTTCTCTGACGACAGGAACAAAACCATCGTTCAATGAGCGTAAAATAATATGCATCCATAATATTTCTTCTGATATTTCATTAAAAACAAAAGCATTGGCAATAGAACTATAGTTGAGATGAAATTTTGTGTCGACAGAACCAGATGTTCCTTCATCACCATACACCTGAAATCAGTTCATGTTATATGGGCTGCTAAAATTTAAAATCCGATAACAAAAATTTTTTGAGAAACCAATTAGGAAATAATGATTGTACTGGGCTCACTATTTTATAATTTGGACAAGCAGATTCATATCAGATAATGTGAAGTGCTATGGAGAAAAAATAAATTTTAAACATAAACATTCTTTCAATATTTTGGCATAAAAAAAGAAATACTCTTTTAGAGCAACATCAAACAAACTGAAATGGTTTTATTTTAACTGCAATATTGCAGCATATTTTACATGGAAAAATTTAAAAGTTATATTTGCAATGAACATCTTTATTTTATAGCTACCTTGAATGGCCCAATTTCTTTTACTTCTTTATCTTCACTCGCAAATATAATTGAAAAATCTGAAACATCCGAAATCGAGTCGTCGGCACACATTATCATCATTCCAAGGACCGCTCTGGGTCGACCAAGATATATATCTATAATCCATTCATTTTCCAAAGAAAAAGCATTCTTAGAACCAACCCAGAATGTTAAAGGATTTGCATCCCACATGAATCTAAAGCCAAATCAAAAAATGTATAAAAATTCACTCAAAATCAGACTTTTAATAATAAACCTGAGCATAACATATGACAACTTAATGTAAGGTTATGATGAAAATTTGACTGGAATCACATATGAGGCCAGTTGTCACACAGTAATCAGTAGTTTATTTTATCACCCTACGTGTAATACACAAAATGAATAGATAATGTAAAAAAGCAAAAACGGTAATTCGGGGTGAAAGGAGTCGCGAGAAACCAATACTGGTTATCGAGCGGCGTCACCTGTGATAAAATCTAACAGTAATTGAAATACAATGAAGAAGTCAAACAATGATTGAAAAAATATAAGAAGAAATAGCAATCGAGAAGACCTGAAAATCCAGGAGACGCCCGATACACAGAAAAACAAAAAACCTCCAAGCACATATGTGCGAGTAACCAGGGGAACGACAGCAAGAATGCAGGGCGAAAACAGAATATCAATATCACAGTGTTAGGGCATTATGGAACTGATAGGTATTTGAACAGGAATTTAAATATATCCCAGGAGGGGAATTACAATGCCGATAGGACGGCGTATTCACAGTCAAAAATGTTTGCCAGTAAGATTGCATAAAGACAACTGCAAGTGCTGGTGTAAGGTGCTTCGGTGACGAAATCGTCATAAATGCGATATAAATTAGAAGCGTTATAACATTCTACAACTATATCTTTTAGTCTTGATGTGGTAATTTGTTGAAATAACTTACTTAATATCTCGATGGCTTCTAACTGTCAAATTTTTTAATTTCTCCTCAGTGAATATTGCAGAAAGCCCATCAGATATTGTCATCGTGTCGGGTTCAAACTTCAACCATTCTTTATCAAGACGTTCAGAAAGTTGTTTAACACCAGAACCCTCTTCATTGTCTTTTGATTTTCCTTCAAACGAGTAAAAATAGTAGTTATATCTTGTTATGCTTTATTAAATCTGGCTCGGCGGTTGGCTTATCATGCTGGGCATAGGCTTGCCATCGCCCATAGGCTTGCCATCACCCCTCGCTTAGTCTACATGGGTTTACAGGTTTAAATCCTGTGGGGGATAATTATGTGTCCGAACTCTTCACCAATACTGGTTGGTTATGGCTTCTTCCACCATCAAGTCTAAGCATCTGGATGTCTAATCCCTGACATAGACTGGAAACTGGATGAGATTAGCCATAAGATAAAGCCGTCTCATTACCTTTCGCTCCTCTTGGATAAATGTGTAAATCCTGATCATACACCTAATATAAATTAAACAGATATACCTTCCTGAAATCTTTCCAGGAAAATAGAAATCTTAAGCAATTAATTTACAACCATATTCTCAATAAAGATCTGTTATGAAGTCAAAACATTATTTCCTCAATAAATGTTATATTTTTCAAATTTGTCAAGTAAAATTAGATAAATCATATACCGTATACATTATTTAAATCTACTACAGAGAACAGTATACAAATAATGATATTTAATAAATAGTCCAAGTGTTATACCTGCTGTTGTAGGCTGAGCATCATATAATGAAATACATTTGAAATCTGGTTCAGGAAACCATTGACCATCATTTTTACATACAATGTTGAATTCTTTTTGACCTGTGTTGATATTAGAATAAAAATAATGTTTAATTCAAGACATGATTATTCAAGGTAGCAGTAATTTTTGAATAAATTATTCCACTTTTTTGTCAAAACATTTGAATCAATGGTCGCAATATTTATTAGAAATGAAAAAACAGATTACCAGTTATAATCCAATTATCATCTTTCAATCTGGCAATCCATTTCATCGGATGACAAACATAAGTAAACACATTATCAAACCATGGTTTATCTCCGAATATATTTGCTGAAGCAACTGCTGGTGGGGATGGACAAATTATCCTGAGATAAAGTATAAATTAATCTTAGTTTTCTTGAATATAATACATTGGTCTAATTTCTGTGATTTCAAAAATATTTTTACGTCGGATAGAATAGGATATACATTATTTAAATTATTCTGATATGCGATGCATTGAAAAATAAATGAAAAAAATAAAGGAAGAATTTCAACAATATAACATACAATTGAAACAGGTTCCGCAGCAAATGAAAACGTAATGTTACGGCCGAAACAGATGACAGAAAACACAAGAAATGATGCATGCAATATGCATGTGTTCAATTAAAACTACCCTAACGGCGGCATCAGGGATGTGCGCATAAATTGATATTCTTGTGAACACCTTAAACGATATTCGAAAGTTATGGTATTCGACTATTTGATTTGAGCATCCCTGCAGTGAAACACAAATATTCACATCCAAATAGTACATTTTCACTTTTTTTTCAGTTTCAATGCGATTTTTGTGAGTTGAGTTAAGTGTGTACTTTTATTCAGAACTATAGCATTGAATAGCCTCTTCTATTTAAACAAAAATCCATCCGTTACCAATTAAATCATTCACTAGTGTTTGCTACATTATTACAGGCAATGTCAAATACAAAATATATTATTTAGTTCAAAAAGTGTAGTCTCGAGTTTTTCTCGTAATTTTTAATTTTAATGACCTTTCCTGTCTGTTTCATTTGTATTAAATATTTAGATTTTTCCACAAATGGTTAATACTGGACTGATGTCTAGAAATCTTTCATTTTCAAGAAATTTTTAATATTATTCTAGTTCATCCAAAATTAATTAGCTATCATGCACCATGCATCACTAACCAGATTGAACCAGATTACCTAATGCATGAAACAAATGCAAATGGTTCCCAGGAAGCCATTAACGAACAAACTTCTTCAACTTCATATGGATTTCCTTTATGTTGAGGACCAAGCCAAAATCCTTTATTGCAAGTATATTTCACGACTGAATTGAAACTTGTGCTGTTTCCTTCTTGAATTGCATTCTGAGATTTTGGTGGTGTTGGACAAACAATAATCACACATTTGTATGCCTCCTAAAATTGAAAAAATCATTTAAAATTGATAAATTACATTTTAGAAGTTGATCACAATATTCAAAAAACTTACATCTGTGAAGTTAGCAGACCATATTCCATCTCTACCACAAGTAGCTGTAGTAGAATGTTTGTTGCTACTAATCCAATATCCATATTTGCATTGCAGATAAGCTTTACCTCCTATGGAAAATAAAGTACAAATGGTGATCATTATAAAATTTACTTCAATGATGAAAACATTCTTTTTTACTCGTAGTATCTTGACAGGAAATCATGGCTTTATTTTCTCCATACGAATGACTGTCATCTATTATTCACAACCGGTTAAATTGTTTGCAAATTCTTTATTAATATCAGCTCATATATAATAGCTAAGCTAACCAATATAACCAATATATTGAACGTTTGTAGTAGTGTAATATAAATGGTCCAATGCTTAAAGTCAATCTCTAACAAAATCATTCTGCATTAATCTGATCTTCGCCGCCAAACCACAAATAAAAAAATTTCGGACATTACCATCACACCATAAATATATTTTGCCAACACCAATAAGAGAGTGAAAGCAGCCGATTTCCAACCAATTTAAACCCTACCTGAGCATAATGAAAAAACACGCCCAGACATTAGTAAAATTAAGGTAACATCTTCTTGACATTATTTACTGACTACGCTTAAAAACAGTAATACACATATCCTGTAACTCCAGATAAAAAAGAATTACCAAGTAATACCAAGAGTATCATCTCATCATTACTTCATTAACATATTATTTTTATGCAATTGATTAATGCTGCTGACTTACCATAATTGAAATCCCCATAGACTGTAGCATTAGGAAGATGATCAGGAGGATCACAGGGAATAGGTGAACAAGACAACAAATCAACTGAAGGTTCAAATTTTCCATCCTCGACACAATTGATTTTTGACTTTATTGTTGCTTTATCAGCATCAACTAATTGATATCCATCATCACAGTATACTTCAATTTCATCTCCATATTCAATATTTTTAGACTTGAAAAAAACGAGATTAACAAAATTTGAGACAAAATTTTTTTTCTAGTTATCAGGACAACATGACATAATGCTTTTCTGGAACGGAAATTTGAAATAAAACAAATTTTCCATATTGATAAATATGAGACTTGCTTCCGCATATTCTGTTTTTGTTCACGTAAAGTGTTTGTATAATTTGAGAAAAATATGATTTACGACTCAAATTATTTATCAGTTGGGACTAAAAAAGACTAGCTTCCTTACCTTCCTCTATGTCTCTGCGCTCTTGGATTTGTATGCGTATAATGCAAGAATGGAGTAAAGGAATAAAGATGACTATATTATGTAATTCAATAGCTTTGGTGGATAAAAATAATTTACATACCGGTAGTTATCCTGGGAAAGTGGAAAACTGAGCCAGTTTTTTGTTTTCGGAAGCATGGACTTCATGGCGGAGGAAGCTGTCCACCAAAGGTTACGTGAACCACCCTACGCAATGAGGAGTCCAGCAATCTTCTTACACATAACCATCGTGCATGGGATTCCAATCTACGAACCCACGCAGAGTAATCAGAGATGCGGTGGCAAGCGTATTCCTAACACTTAGCATGATGGGATTTCCTTGTGTGATCCTATTTTATTCCGCTGTTTTATTCACATTCCTTAAACTAGAATAGTTATGAAACTGTATGCTATCTGGGATATTAATGAATCACTAAACAATAAAACAATGTCATGTCTGATATTGGATTTGTAAAATTAACATGATTAGTTAGCAGACTACTAAACTCAAATAAACTTTGTTGCTTTACATTTTTAAAATGAAGGTTTGCATATTGTGGAAGCTGGCATGTAGATTTCACACAATGATGATTTTGTACATTCGGATCCCACTTTCCGTCAGGACCACAGGTATATTTGTATTCTGTCATTCCTCTCTCAAACCAATACCCTGAGTGACATCTGTCGAGGAAATTTTAGTTGTTGTTTACTTGAAAAGATACAAAAGACAAATAATTCATTACAGATTTATCTGCGGTAATACCATATTTCTTAGTGGTTATCAATTATGAACATCATGAACTCTCTATACTACGTGCATTATATTTAAATATATAGAAATGGTTGTAAAATATGCAAAACCAATAGAATGAATACATATTATTATTTCCCGATCGAAATTAAAAAATTCTGGACGATAGGTCCCAAATATTACCAGTGAGCTAATTATTAATGCTAAATTAAGCTATCTTGCCTATTATAAAATTTTGAAAACAAGAACAAGCGACTGCATAACACACAGTTCTAGTTTTGTAATTGAACTTTTATGAATACCTGTAAGATGCAGAATCATAGATATCGAGTCCTGTTTTTGAATAAAGATCTGCATGTGGCATCATATATTCATCGCATGTTGTATTAGTACAATTTAACGTCAAAGGATCTGGTATAAATACACCTTCAGGTCCACATCTAGACTGTAACAGAAATACATCTTCAGATAATGAATCATGTTTCATGGAAAAATCTCACTAAATCAACAAGATTTCGAAAAGTACTTTCGAATAGTTTTGATATGCACATTTTTTTTGAATGATTTTGGTTAGGACAAAAAGTAAACATATGGAATAATAAGTGAATATACAATAAATTTTGTAGTTAACACAGGTTCAAATAGGTTGCAGAGATAAATACCTCATGGTGTACATCTACTTTTTTGCTGTCATGATTTTGAGATATTATCATTTTAATAATTTACACATTGGAACTATAGATGTGATGGTGCAATGTTGGACTTGATTATATTGACCTTGTAGGCTTGAGTTCTTCACTTTGACACCCATGCCAACTTTAGGTGCATTGAATTGAATAGGCATTGCGGACTGGTAAAATTTTCAGTCCTTCTATAAATTGTTGCTTTTGATGTATTAGTGGCTGAGTGTTTGAAACTTTGTTCAACATGATGTTAAGTCATGTATAAAATATTCACATCACATATTCACATATAAACACACATAAGCAATAATGAAAACTGAAGGTTAATAAAAATAATACAGTATCTTGAAAAAAACATTTTTGTATAACAGCTTTCATTGAGTAAATTACAAATTGAAATATTATAAGGTTTTTACCTCAACTTGATGTTCTTTCAAATGAGCAACAAACATTTCTTCAGGACAATCATATCGAACCGTGGTGTTGAACCAATATTGTTTACTGGCAAGTTCTCCATGTATTGTTATATTTTCAACCTGTGATAGTAGAAAAAGTTATTCTCATAATTTATGAAACACTTGTTGAAAAAGGACAGTAATAGATTCAGAAGTTTTCTGGATGACTGAAAATTCATAGCATAATATATCTGTTGATATTGTTCCATCATTATTGTGTAAAGATCAAGGAAATCCAACAAATATAGGCAGTGTTTCCATCAGACCAAAACCAAAAACCTAGATATAAGACTAAGATAATCCTCTATCCATTTTCTCAAATTTGGTATGAGTTGAAGGTGTGTAGTCTTATAGAATCATGCTAGGCATATGAGCAGAATGCCTGCTAAGGTCATATTATGAACGTTTTGATCATCGTTAGGCATTTGGTCACTAATGTAATTTAGACAAATAGATTCAAATTTAAACATGAAATGTTATGTTACTCAATACGCACTTTTACAAGTAGAGGTACCCATTCACACCTGACCTTAACTTCATGATGCAGAATCTGATTGAACATTCTGACATTATAAAATACCTAAAATGACAAAAACTGCTGAAATAAAGCACCTTGGGTGGAGGATCACAAGTCACTGTTGTACATTTGATCAGATTTGCAGGATTTGGATTCCATTCTCTATCATCAGTGCAAGTTGTTGTTTTTTCATATATTTTATCAGGCATTCCCCAGAATCCTTCCATACATTGATATGTCAACTTTGAATTAACCTTTAAATCATATTCTGTTCCAGTGAACAATTCTGTAGCAAGGAGAAGATATAAAAATCATAAATGATTCTGATTGAGAACTAGGTCATTGCTTATAAAATACAGAATGAATATTAAGGAAAGATCAATAATTTCAAATACAGTGCAGGAGACTTCAAAACAAACCAATTACCACAGGACTGGAAGAAATTTTCATGAATCATTCAATTTGAATTCCTTTTCATTAGCTGTTTGGGCATCCGAGGACAATAAAATTAAGATAAGATATATTTAAATTCGGTCTATTTGTCAGCTGCTAACTTACAATAGCAGCACAAATAAAACTGAAAACAAAAACAATCAAAATTACCACAGTGTGAGTAAACACTTTGAGACAAGAACAACATGGCCTTAAGGTGGTGGTGCAGGGAAATTCAATATGCTCTTTTGAATCAGGAATTCCCATGTATACTATTTTGATGCAATGCTGTTCTGGTAGTTTTAGCTTATATGTTTTAAAGAGGGATCATAAGGAGGAAATTGAACAATACTTCCAAGGTTAGGACCACATGTTAATAAGGGAAGTTAGAGAGTAATAGACATGAACCAACCAGTAATGGCAGCAAAAGTGAAAAAGATTCATAAATGAAAAGATACAGTAGACAAATGCAACATTTATGTTTCTGAGACACTGGATACATAAAAGTATATTATACCAGAATAGGCCATACATATTTCTGAAGAATATGAAGAGACTAAGTGATTGCATAACTAAAGTTTGAAATTTGGATGATAAGTCAAATTTTTAATCCTACACTTTTACATCTAGAGATGAGAAGAGACACTTGAGATAATGGTCGGGTATGATGCATGAGCACAAAAGACTTGTGCTGTGAAATAATTGTCAAATCTCATGACAACAAATCTGAGGAGTGAATTGGTGCATTAGACTTTTGCAACCTTTTAAACGTAATTCTTTAAACTTGAGTGTGTTTTATGCTTTGCAAATGATTGGTACAATTAGTACGAAATGGAGAATTACATAATATTCTTAGGGCTTCATTTTGTAAAATATCTACTTTTTTTGACAATTTGCTAGTAACTGATTATCCCCATGCAACCAAATCGTACTAAATATAAGACTGAAAGATGGCAAAATAAATCATACACAGAACTTGAGTAGGCAGGTGTTTGCAAACTTATTTAAAATTTCAACATCTTATGATAATTTTTATAGCAAATCAGCCACATGTTAATGACAGTTTAGATTTTGATCATTACATACGCTTATTATCATTACATACTTAGGTATGAATAATAGCCTATCCTCTCACAATGAATTTTCAATTGTGACTTCAGAAGCTGTAGATTAGGATTGCTTGTTTGAATAAGTAAATCAATTTGCTTTAGTGTTTAGCAACAATGTATTACTGGACAATTTTAAACTTTGATGAATGCAAAATGTATATTCACAAAAAGGTTTGTCAGCAGATCTGAAGTATTGAGAAGGTCATTTACATATAAAAGAAAATATAAAACTCCAAGAATTGAGCCCTGAAGGACATCACAGAACGTTCTGATAATTTTGTGTCATGTAATAGTGGTCGATTGGTCAAATAACTCACGCAGAGTTTAGAATATCTAAAAATATAGCAAATTCATCACAGCGTTGTTTTGAATTGCCAATAGATAACATTTAATATTTGCTATGCGCTTGAGAAAAAAATTGGTATGTCATATAAAGTCTTTATAGACCCAACATTTTTAGGTCACTCATTGCAATGGAAACTGATCGTTGAAGGTTCAAGAAATGAGTTTTGAGCATAGATACACCATGAACAATTCTGATGTTGATTTGAGTAGGCGCCAATTTGCTACCAGTATCAGCAATTATTACACCATAAATGTCAGTCAGTTAATTTATCTTTAGTGGGCTTTTCTTATATTATTTTATTCACAATTTAATTTATTATTTCCATGTTGCACAATGATTTCCATTTTTTGCTAGTAAAGACTGGTAGTGTAGTTAATGAAAGTAAAATAAATTGAAAACTGCAAGAAATGCAAATAAAAAACTATAAATTATTTTTTTCAATAAAATATGGCACACTTTTTAAAAAAACTTGAACCTTAAACAAATTCTAACTGTGTTAAAAGTCAGGTCTTATTTGATATACCAAATTTCCAATTTAGAAAAATTTGGCAGTATCTTCACATACTGTAATACTTAAAAAAATATGATCAATAACAAATACGTTGAGAAACAGTTGAACAGCGGAATAGAATTACATTATATAAAAGTCAAAACAGACACCATTCACACTTCCACATTTTCGAGCTTAGGCTATTGAACTATGCCTTTGGTAATATCGTTTCAAAATTGGAATTACAAATCACAAAAATAAAGAATGTATTAGAGAAAAGTACATTATACTAACCAGAAGGAGCTAACTCTTTTTCATCTTCATCAAGAACTTTTACATGTGGAGGAATGTAGTGTGGGAGATCACATGAATATGGATGACATTTCATAATGGAATAAAACGGAGGAATCCAAACTCCTAAACCTTTATCTGAAAGAAAAATCTCAACCATGTGAAGGCAGATAAAATTTAAATATTATATGATCATAATGAATCCACATCTTTTGACAAAAATCCAAGTTATTACATTTATCTTTGTCAGCGACATCTCATTTAGCTGTATCTCAGATAAGTTATACTAGAAGTGTTCTACTTCAGTAGTTCCCAACCTTTCCACCCTGGCGGATCGGTAAAATTAAATAAAATGTACTCACGGACGGGCAAAAAATTGAAATGACCGGAACAGAAAAGAATAACATATATGTGCGTAATATAATGCAATGTCGGTCACTCAATATGCTTCTAGACAAAATAAGAACGTTTCAAAATATTTCACACGAAGAAAATCTAGCAAATAACGTGCTGGCCAAAAAATTGGAATGGGTGAAACATAAAATAATACCATATATTTGCGTAATAAAATGCAGTGCTGGGCAGCCATTATGCGTAAGAAAGGCACTCACAAAACATCTCACATAAAAGACATGTACATGCCAAATCATGTACAAACCCAATTTACTCTAGTGAGAATTTTGCTGCTGTTTCGTTTTCAATACAGGATTGCAAATGAGGTCTCAAGGAAGTTTCTGCAACACGTAGCTCCGCAGCGGCATGCAGCCAATTTCTTTGCTTCAATTTAATTGAAGCTAGTGATGAAAATGTTTTTTTTGCATAACGCAGTAACTTGTTGAAAATACGAACAACAGTTCGATTGCTCGATTATATGGCAATGGTATTCGCTATCAAAAAAATATCCAAAATTGTGACAGTGTTTCTTTTTTATATCTGTTCAAAATCCTACTGTGTCTGCTCAAAATACTGGAAAAGATCTCTGCGACCCAGGCTTTTTTGCGCGTCTCTTGATCACCTGCAGGGTCACAACAAGTTTATATCTTACTGAAGTATTATACTGTCCTAGACTATTTTCTGGTTTAAACAAAGAAATATAACGTTTTATATGGATGGTCATATTAATCCAGAAAAGCATGCCGAACTGAAAGAGCACGCGTGTCGATTTTTAGGTTTCTGAATCTTGTGAGATTTGATGGAGCGCATTCGCGATAAATCGGAGCTGAAAAAGCAAAAATTGTGATTACTCGGTGCCAAGATGTCGCGAAAGAAGTCGCAATATGACGACAGAAGATAAATTGCGTAATAAACCAATGCAACTTCGTCTTCCGTGAAGCGATTGAGACGGCATAAGAATAACAAAATTTCTCGGCGGTTGGGAACCACTGTTCTATGTCATAATGTGGTTGACTATCTTAGGTGCTTCAAGCTAACAAAGTAATTTTTGATCAAATAAACCTAAAATAAGGTACCATCTAGAATCAAAACAAACACAGCATTGAAACCCAGACCAAAAGATTGCCTCTGGTCCACAATGACAGAAGATCAGAAAAGTCTATTTCTGAAAATTGTGACAGAAGGTTTCACAGCAGCGATGTATTGATTGATATTAATAGTACCTTCATCACATCCATAAATCCATATGTAACCCTGGGAACATTAGTGGCAAAAATCTCTATTAGTATACTATTATTATGTCCTACATTATAAAATAGCAGCCTACATTCAAGAGTAAGTGATTACATACCCTTCTTAACACATTCCATTTTAACATTATTCATGTTATGTTTAATTTCATATCCATCATTACAAGTATATTTCCATGTAGATCCTAATTCTTTATCACCCGTACCTTGAGCATTATCCATTTTTGGTGGTTCAGCACATCTAAAGTAGAAAGTATTAAAATGTATTATCATGTTGCAAAAACTTTCCAGAATCTTAAATTTTTATTTTTGTTTATTATTCTATTCAAAATTTCATAGTTTCAAATAACAACATATATACACTTCTCTAATCTGGATAATGATCTGAATATCGGTATTCAAATCATAGACATCAATATTCGAATCCAAAATTCAAATTTCTCCGTAGATATAAATGTTACGAATGAAATATACAGATTTTCTGAATTGAGGGGACTAGTTGTTAGTGAGTTCGATACAAAAAAGAAACCATTCTTAACATTTTGAATATCACCACTGGTTATACCTAGGTTCTAATACGAGCATAATTTGAACCCTTTAGCTAAATTAGCATACAACATCGAGATGAAACACAAATGTATTCATTGCTCTATGATTAAGTTGACATGCTGAAGATTCAATAAAATTAAAAAAATTCACAGTCTTAATTAATTCATGAAGTTAAAACATGCTCCCAATAGCATAATAATTAGATTACTTGACTTCAGCACAAGATAATTTCATCTCAGGTTCCCATTTCCCAAACCATGTGCAAGTTTGTATGAATTGTAAGTGATCTTTTGATTTACATTGATGTTTGATTATGTCACCATACTCTTGTCTGATTGGTTCAGACAAAAACTCATTGTTATGCTTGAACGCTCTTTGAATTTCATCACTGCAGAAGCAAAACAAGAAATATATTTGTTTAGTGCTTGGCTCTTTGATTGGCAGATCATGCTAAGTGTTAGGACACGCTTTTCATCCCTGTGTAGTTTTGCAGGTTCTAATCCTATAGGAATAATTTTGTGCGATAGAATTGCTAGACTCCTCGCTGCCCTAGGGTGGTTCAAATTCTGTCCATGCTAATGTGTTTGTTATAACGGAGATGAAAAAATGTTTATTTTAATCGCAGCGACCGATGCAATTGCTTACTAGCCAATTAATTAGCTCAATTAGCTCCTATCATTTTATCATTCAACATTGTCGGGATTTAATACATAACTGGAAATTGAAGCAAACAAAATGAAATTTTGAAAGTAGAATCCCCAATTCACTCATCTGGTTAATAATAACTCAGACTACCAATATCAATAACGAGAAAATATTTGCTATTTACATTGTTGGTTCAAGTGGACATTTAACTTTTCTACATTGCGCTTCAGTAACATTATCAGCATTCAGTACCCATGTACCATTTTCAGAACAAGTATAATTAAATGATTTTACACCAGATGGTGTCTCATATCCTGTCAGACATCGATACAATGCAGTTGACTAGAAAAAATAAAACACAAACATTATTTGAATTGAAAAACATTTATAAGGCATCTTATTTCTGCTGATGCAATATAAAAATTTAGCATTTTAATTAAACTTAAAATTTTTTACTTGAATGAGCGGGGGATAATTTGGGGTTTGTGAAGCACTTTCACAAGGTATGCGGAAGTCATGCTGCTCATTAGTTGATAATTTTTGTAGTATTGCTATACTTTGTACAAACTATGCTCACATTTGCAGATGTCCAAATTCATCTTGTGAGACTTGAAACTAGCAACACGTTGAGTTCTGTTGCAATTTGTGTTGTATTTTTTCTACACAAATTTAACATCTTATGCAAGTCTGCGTTAGTTTGAGACAGTTTGATTTTTATTTTCTGACTAAACGTACTACAGGAATTTTGTTAATACTGTATTATTGTTATGTCACGTTAATGTGAGTTTTTGCTCACCCCTGTCATCTCCTTATGTTCAAAACATCAATTTTTTGCTAGCAAAATCTCAAATATATGTTACCCTAAAAAACTATCCCCTATTTCAGATTTCAAAAAGGCAATGGCAAACAATTTAAAAAAAAACTATGTTGCAGGATAAAATATGGATACATACTTTATAAAAGTTTCCAGCAAAAAGAACAGAATGTGAGTTAGTAATTGGGGGTGGAATCTTGGTGCAAGTTGTTGGTTCGCACCTCACATGTCTGATATCAGTAGGATTGTCAGGAGATCCAAATGTCCAATAACCATCAGTATTACAGGAAGCTTGATGGAAAAATGAAAAAAAAAATCATTACTGCTATCTAAGATGATGCATGGCAATTGTTTATAAATGGGTAAGCATATATCAATAAGTCTATGAGTAATATTTGCAAGATTGAATTAATGGAAATGCTGCATCGAGTTACTGCTATAATATCAATAATTGGTGATTTATATTCTAAACTGGAAATCTAACAATCAACATGAAACTTTATCGACTTTTGATAACAATCATGATATTTGTTAATAATGATTTTCCAATGCTACGAATCGAGTATTAATTCAAAACATATATTTTGAGTTACATTTAAAATAATTCAATCTATTTACCAGTAATTAATAACTTGATGTCAGTTTCTCACCATTTGCTGAATTTTGTTGTTGTCCATCGACGCTAAGAATATATCCACCATGACACAAATAACTTGCCGTTGCTCCATATTGTGTATCATTATATTTTACTTCGCCATAGGGAATTTGCAATGGCTCAGAGCAACCAACCATAACGCAAACATATTGTGAAGGATCAGGACGCCATAAGGCACTGTTTATGCAAGTAATTGTCAACTTTTTATATATTCCTGGGCTGTTGAAATTAAAGCCATCATTGCATTGGTAAGATGCCTAAAAATAATAGAAAATTAAAAGAAGACAATAAAACAATTTCACCACATGGGAGAACACAACCTTTCAATAGCTTAACATTCCAGGTAAGGCTCGTTTTTTTGAAATGCAATTGTTATTGTGTTTATATAAATGTATTATGTGATATTGTGTCTATATAATGTGATGCTTTTATTAAAAAAAAAAAAAAAAAAAAAAAAAAAAAAAAAACATTCCAGGTAAGGCATGTAAATTGCTATCCAGTTAAAAGTTTCAGTGCAAGTCAGAAAATGTTGGAAGCGCAGCACCATTCTGTTGAGGAAAGTTCAGTGATCCATTTTTACATATTAAATAAACCCAGACTTCAGGCCTGCAAATTCTGGACAGTGTAGTATGTTAAATAACAGCAGTGTGTTTACAATAAGTCGGACAATGACTCATTCGATGTAGAATATAAAATTTTTAAATTATGCCACATCCAATCAAATACTAACTTTTCTACCTTACTATTGAAAGCCAAGTTATTATAGTTGAGTTCCGCATTCGATATTGCAGGGGGTGGAGTACAAACAATAGGTTTGCAAATCAACGTTTCTGTATCTGGTTTCCATTGTCCATCCAACATACATTTGATAGTAACTTCTGAAGTGCCGTTTGTTACTTCGTAACCAGCCTGGCATCTCACTATCAATTCACTTCCAATACTGTAAGAGTCTCCTAAATATTACATATTGAAATTTGAGGCAAATATGAATAAAGGTTATATGATAACACAACTTGTTGGGATCTTAAAATATCATTAACTTAAAAATATTCAAGCTGGAGATCATGAAAAAGCTTCAATTATATTCGACATGGGCAAACTACGGCCCGGGGGCTAAATCCGGCCCATTGAGTAATTCAATTTGGCCTGCCTGATGCTGACACAACCAAACTGAAACCAAATTTTGATGTTTTAGCTAAAAAACTCCCAAGGAATTTGTTGAGATTGCGATTAAATTCATTTCATGGCACGAGGCTTATTGTTTTGTAACACTGCAAATATTGTTTATGAAATGTAACTTTTACGTCACCCTCACGTGGACGGCCAGTCTAGGTGGGCAACATTTTTGGCCCCTGGTTTAAAAACTGTGTCCACCCCTGATCTATATGATATGCTAAATTGTTTGTGGGGCATTTATCAATATGTAGGAAAAGAAATATGAGATGTTAGTGGTATTTTATCAAGATCAATGTCCAAGTGCAGATATTCTCAAACTTTTCAAACTCACGACACATTCATTTTTTGTATTACAACAAACCATAGAACATTCGAAAAAACGGACTGAACATTAAATTACGGCACAGAAACTTTTTCGAATATACATTTATTTATTGTGGTTCAAGAGCTCCCCCAAAATGACTCAATCCATTGATTAATTAAGCCTTTTTTTGAAAATCAAGGAAATCAGGAAAGTTTCTTTTATACAATAACTACATTCAGTATGTGCAATGAATCAGTAGTATGCTTCAAATTTTTAAAAGAAAATAAAGATACGTATAGAACCAATATTTATTCTGTTATTATTATTTTTTATATACTTAACAGGACTTACCAATCAAGTCTGTTTTATCAACTTCTTTCGGTAAACCACAATAAATTGTTTCATTAGAGACACATTTAATTTGTGTGTAATCTGGTTTCCATTCTCCAAAATCTAAATCATGGTACAAAATAAAGTGATCAGCGTAAACTAATAGTGGCTGACTTACACATGCCATTTATTGAGTATGTATAAACATGTGTGAAGATTTTCAAAAGGAAAAAGACAATTCGAAATGGTAGTTTCAAACTATTAGTGACATAAATGGATCAAGTCGAGTTAGCTTTTCCCAACCAGACAAAATACATTTTACTGAGGGAGGGAATCTGCAGGAAACTAAAGCTAGTTTAAAACCCAGGGTACAGACATCTATTTAAAAATGAACTATTGTTGTTATTTTCGAGTTTTTGTATGGTTTTGGCAAATTATCCAACTAAAATTGCTACAGACAGATATTTATTATAGAATATATTAGAAGCCATCAGGCCCACACATTGACGGGGTACTCCCCACTCCCCAAAACCAGTTGATAAAGCTCTTCAAAAATTGAAATCAGTGAGCAATGAAGTCCGGCAGTAAGGAATTCAACGAATTGGTAGTTGAAACTTCAAGATAGTGCACCTCAGTTTAGATAAAACAAAAACTATACCAGAACAAGTTAAATTAACTGAATCCTGTCCAAGTGTGATTGCATACTCTTCTTCGCAGTACAAAGTCACATTGGAATCGCGAGGATAAGTCGTCTCATTTTGACTTTTATCAACAAATAAATGTTCAGGAAGTTTTATTGGCAGGTCACAATCAGCAGGCACAAAAGTTAATAATGCATCAAGTAAATTGTTGACTCGTACTGATGATGCGTTTGAACTAATATATCTGAATAAACCAATAACAACAATAATATAAATGAAAGGAATACAAGTAAATATGTTGGCAATATTCAGGGTTTGCACGAGTTCATGTAATCCTGTTTTTAGAACGTTGTGATAATCAATGAACCATTTTCGTTTTATTAGATCGAACGTTGAACAAATGAGTATTGTGCACCGAATATGACGACTATATTGGTTTCGAAAGTTATGTATTAGATTTATGTTAAGTTTGTCATGTTAATGTAGCTTACATAGTGACGTCCATAATACATTTGACGAACCGGTACTAAGTTTGCCATGGTTTTCTGAAGTGAGGGAACCTGTTGTTAGTGAGTTCAATACAAATTTTGTATCCCATCACTGGATAAACAGATGATCGAAATAATCATAACAGATCAAGAAAAAGACCACGATAACCCATTACTGAAATTATGACTAATTTAAGCTATTGATTTCATTTGGCATGTAGCGCCAACATCAAATGCTAAAAATTTTAATAATATTGCAAAATATTGCATTTTTGTATTGTTTTGAAATCGTAATTGTAATTTCGTAAAACATCCATGATAAGATATTCATTTTATATAAAAAAATATTCTTCACTAAAATTTGATTAGAGATTTACAAATTTTTTAATTAAAAGTAGAATCTCAAGTATAGTGCTACGTTGGGTTGAAATAAATATTTATTTAGGGTTTTTATTCAAGACTAAATGAAAATACAAAAATACCTTTTCTTTCTTGATAATGTTGAGTTTGGGTCAGAATAACTTGTATTGGGTTCAGTAAAATTTATGTTTTGATCAAAGTAGGTCATGTTAAGATCAATAAAATCTGCAACTGGAGATTGGTGGGTTACAGCAGGTGCTTGTTCATCCATTGTGTCCTTTTCTTTAATCCATTTTCCACCGGATGAACAAATTAAAACTACAATCGTTTTCTTTGATAGTGCAGATCTATATCCGGGTAAAGCATGATAAATGATACGATATCCAACACCAAACCCAGTCACGTTCTTAACAGAATTATTTCTCGTTCCTGGATCAGGACAAGCAAGAGGTATGCAACTTGGTGGATTATCATAAAGATCAACTGGGGTCCATCGACCTGTAGAATCATAATGAAGTTAGTTCATCATATTGTAACACAACCCAACAACTTGAAATTAGTAAAAAATTTTCAAATATTGAAATAACTAAAACTAAAAAATTAAGGTTTTAATAAAGACTTGGAGTCCGGCATAAGATTAAGAAGTGATGTGTCGATATAAATATAAATTTGAAAAGATATTCAAATTATTTATCACTTTCAACAGCTACTTCAATAAAAAAAATCAAATTTGAATAAGAATGTTCAGCACACAATTCACATTGGTGAATGATCAGCTCATGCAATATGAAAAAAAAGCATGATATCTGACAACGCAGTACAAAAACATTGCAGCCTATCTTCCTAGTAAGCTCCAAATCTTAACGGGATTGTGCTGACAGCTTTCTTGAAGTGATCGTCACACATAATGATATATACCTAACAGGGCAAATTAAAATGGACATCCTCACCTAAAAAAGTATGACAAATTCTTTCACTTCCAAATAAATAAGCAAATCTACATAATTAATTAATAAAACAAACCTGTGTTGGAACACTGAAATTGAGAAGATCTAGTACTGGTTACTGATAGAACAAATCCTTCTTTACATATTATAGAAATATAAGCTGATACAGGAAATTCACTTGGTTCTGACAAAGAATAAGATTTTCAATTACAAAAAGTTCAAATACGATACACTAATAAAGGAGAAAATGTTCAATGACAAGTCAAAATGAAACATTTGAAAATAAATTGTGTAACTACATAAAGAAGTGGGTCCGATAATAGCAAATCAGTTGTTCAATACAGCAAAACCTTTCTCCATTAGCAAGCATCAGACACACTCAATGAAAACCAGATTCCAATTCTTTTTTATATAATGCCAAAAAAAATCCCCCTAAAAGTGAGCCGGCACTGATAGGTGAGTAGCTATTTTGGAGAAAAACCGAAATTTTTCCTTTATAGCACTGCCTACCCAATTTATTACAACTCGGGTGAGACGGTGGGGATTAGATTCAAACCAGATATGTGTAACCTGTGATGCCAATACAGTAACATCTAATGCTTCAACTGCTAGGCTATGGCGCTCGGGATATGAATTAATGTAAAACATATCTTATTAAATATGATAGAATATCAAATTTTAATACAATATTCACTACATATGCTTGACATCATGTCTATATCAAAGAAGACATTTTATAACACAACTTAATGTACTGTATAGATCGGGTAATGACATTTTTTGTACAAGGATAATAGGATAAAACAAACTAAAGATGGAAATGACAGTTCGAAAATTTTGCATAAATAAAAACTTTATCGCGAATAGAAGAGGCACCTGAAATTCATCACCTCTCTAATATATGGCATGTTCTAACCAAACATCTGAACATCAAGTTTAGGATTTACCTGGATTGATATTGGTTAGTAGAACTGCATCAGATATGATACCAGGATGTATACAATGTATTATTTCACATACAAATGAATCTGTATCAACTGTCCAACTTCCATCTTCGGTGCATTCAATCATTATTTCTTGTTCACCCCTGAAGTTGAAAAATTTTTCAAATAAAAAAGTTAAAAGTTTTTGGTGTTTTCATTTGCATAGTATTTACATAAAACAACTGTTTTCATAAAAGCAAAATCTCAAATCAGATTATAAAATCAAATTAATATTGAAATCCATTCAATGAAATTCGTCAAATTGGGAAATGAACAGAAATACCCATTAAGTGATAATCAACTATTTTGAATATATACTGAAATAACATGTACAAGTTTGATTTTTAGCAGAATCATAATATAATAAATATCACATTTTCAATTCATATTTGGCATCTATAGGCATAAATAGCAAACAAATGCAGTTTACTTCAAGCTTAAATGAAATTGAAAACTTTGATTTGATTTACAACATTTGACCTTAAAACCTTGACTGACCTTAAAATAAAATAAGTGTACTATAGTTTTGGGTTACATTGCTCAGTATATACGAATCCTATGCATTGTATTTAAAACAAGTAGCAATAGCAGTTACCGTGCGGATTTTTCTATTCCAACAAGCCAGTATTTATCAGGACACGACAATGATATCTGATCATTATAGTAATATGATGAATTATATCTTCGATTTGTATTGATCTCTATCATAGTATTTATATCAGGAGCATCACATTGTATTGGTTCGCAAACTAATGACTGAGGGTCTGGAATCCATAATCCTAGTTTTCCACATTGTATATTAACATTTAATTCATTAGTTTCAAGAAATTTGTATCCAATATTGCAAAAATATGTTGCAATGTCTTCATACTTTGTGCCATTAACAACTAATGCGGCATTTTCAATCAAACCTAAAAAAAGAAGAAATTGGTCAAAATGTTCTCCTAATTACTGGTTCAAACATATTCAACAAATTGAAATGTGAAATAGAGTTTTTAAGATTTTCATGTCTGTGCTTGCAAGTCAAGCTTTCACTTGTAAACTTGTTAATACTGAAATCTTGAAAAAAATTCTATTTGAACATATTGCAAAATAACAATAGATTTTAAAGCTGATCATTTCACAAATTTCATACCTCAATTAGTTTTCAATTAAAATTTCATAAAAAAGTTAATAATACCGCTTTATTACTGGTTCAAAGGCAAATATCAAATTTTGTCCCGCCAATTTGGGATACAAATGCAAAAGATGAAATAATAAAAAATGTCATTCCAACCAGGTTTAGATATATATTAGTTGTAAAATGCAAAATCTATACAAACAATGTAAAAGGATAAATATTTAAATTTGGGTTTTTTAATAAAATTTGGCTTCTTGTTGCAATAGGTTCAAAAAAATAATGCCTACTAAATCTATTCATAGTGTGAAGCAATATTCAATAAAAAGTTACAGTGGAAGTTACATTTTTCTTCTTTTCACAAAAGGGCGTTTCCAAGTTTAGGCCCTTTAAGTTAAAGACTCGACTCGCAGAGACGGATACACAAATTACATAGAAGTTTCACAAATATTAATGTAAAAATCGTTCTATATTTTTAATATATTCTTTATAAAACTTTACCTGGGTGGGGACAAGATGATATATTGCAGGTAATATCAGTCATATCTGGATACCAATACGATTCATAAACTCTTTTTATATTTTCACGATCAGTTTCTACTTCATTTCGGACAACAGGAACTGTTGCATTCAATTTACAAGTCACATCTAACATAAAATCATCAGAACCTCTAAGAGTAGATCCATGTGGACATACATAGTACACATGATCATCAATATGATATTGAATTCTTGAATCTAACAAACGCAAGTTTGCCACAACAGGAGGAGGATGACATATAGCTACAATGCAGTGAAATAATCCAAGTTCAGATTCATCTCCGGGAACCCATTCTCCTTGTAAATCACATTTGAATTTGATTTCAGTTGTTCTGGCATCGATTTGATATCCAGATTTACATCTCATTGTGACTTCATCCCCTGCAGTAAACTTTTCTTTATATTTCTGGAATTGAAATTATTTTTTCACAAGGAGAGGGAAATTAATAAGGAAGTCTAACATCTTTGATATAAGAACATGAGGCAATGTTTATGTTTGTGGGAATGCTTAGATAAATATGTATCTATCACTATCTATTATATATGCTACATCAGAAGGTAACTTGATAGGATTCTTCAACACTCCAAATTAAAAAGAAATGCGTAGAGAGGAAAGTTGATAAGATGGTTTAGTCATGTGGTGAACCACAGCCTCTCTCCTGGTTACCAGTCCATGTTGGGTACAGAGGAATAGTTAAGTAGGTTTTTGTTCCAGATGCATGGACTTGATGGCGAAAGTCGAACTTAAGCAGAGTAATCAGCACTATGGTGTCAAAGGTTTTTCAAACGCTTAGCACAATGCGCAAAACGACGAGATGCGACTCCTTCCATCAATTTTTGAAATATGCTGTTGATTGTTTCGCATTATTATTGAACCTATTTCATATATCGATACCATTACAAGCTGCTATGTATATGTCGATTGAAAACTAAAGTTGATACAAACCTTGGTTTCATTGTAAAAATAGGCATGTGCCATCTGAGGTAAAAGACCGCATTCCACTCGGTCACATCTTATGGAGAAAGGTGGAGGAAACCATCGACCATCTCCCATACATTTGACCCTTCGTTCTGATAACTTGTTTCCAATTTTAAAACCTTCATTGCATTGATATAAGACCTAAGATAATACAACTGTGATTGAGTCTAAGGGTCTAATAAGAATATTCCACATTGCAAGAGATTTCTGAAACAAAATATAGCAAAAAATTCCTCTATCAAAGAAACTCTTGAATCCTGATAACTCCCTGTTAAATCTGATGTTAAGTCTTGAAGGAAAACTTACTTCTTCATGTACAGAATAATTTTCTCCAACTTTGATGCCGTCAACAACTGTACCAGGATCACCACAAGAAACTGGGACACATTTAAGTTGAGCAGGGTCAGGATGCCATAAACCTGTCTCATTACAACGAATCTCAGAATAAGTTCGAGATACTGTAAACCAAAATCCCTAAAAAACATTGAGGTCATTAAACAACAATGAACTGATCTGAACCGTTATTTGGTTAACTGGAAAAGTAATTACAGGTAAACAAAAACAATGTTGGAGTACTGGCAATGATTTCAGATATTATTCCGCTCACTAAAAAGGTTTTAATATTTACAGATATATCAAGACAAGACTTGACTTATAATAGAAAAATGTTACTGTTAACAATAAACTGATAAGGAATTCTGAAATATCAGAAAAATAAACAATCCTAATGATATCAGCAAAATTGTATCGCATTTACTACTGTTGAAATGTACAACAGTGAATTTGATATGAAACTTTGTCATTTACAATAAGAGCTTTTCTGATATTTGCCACTGATAAAAAACTTTTGTCACAATGTTCACCAGTCCACACATTCATTATGTTCAAATCCACAGATTGTCAGGAAATTTGTTATGACAGTGCTTTTAATTCAGTGATTCAAAAACTTTAAAATCATAGTATGATATACTGTATACATATAAAACAAACAAAGAGAAATTTTAAAAGGGTTTATGACAATACTTACCATATCACACTGATACTGCACAATACTATTGTATCCAAACAACTTCAATTCATCATTCGTCCCATTATAAACCAGTGATGTACTGTTAACATTTTTCGATGAATTTGTATTGATGTCACCAGTATTATTGAGATTGGTGGCATTAATTGGTGATGTTTCGTTTACTTGATCCATTACTAATACTGTGTCACTAACACGCGCACTATTTGCGATCTGACCAGGATCATGACAGTGTAAAGGTACACAAGATAATGCATCATGAATATTTGGCAAACTCCAGGAACCATTCCAGAGACATTGAGATTTGAGAATATTACTCCCATCCATGTCACTAAAATGGTAAAAAAAATATGCTTTTTGAATCTTGTTCAAAAATGAAGTGAAAGGACAACATTTCAAGTTTTAAGGCTTGCAAAATTTCAACAAATTCGTTCAGGATGAGCTTCCTATTACACAAAAATGAACAATAGACGAAACAAAATATTTACATTATTAATAAAAAGTATCATTAAAATCTGATAGCATATGTTCCTGTGTAAAATTTTGCTCTATGAATAAAGCACCACAAACTACCGTAGTATTCATCAGTTTGGGTACCCGGACTTCACTAGTAGCTAGCAACATCATCTTATGATCAAAATAGCTACCTTTGTATAAATTGATTTCTATCTGTTTCATCTGAAAGAGAATCACGTTCAATCCAAAATCCAGGCAGGCAGACTAATTTGATATGGTCAGAATACATTGGAATGTATGATACATTCAATTTATATCCAAAAACAATGTCACCTCTGTATGGTGGAATAGAACTTGGAGTTTCCAGCATTTGCATTACCTATAAAAAGTTTGATACTCCATGGTTTTGTGAAATATGTCTGCAAAGTTGCTCACATAAAAGTCTTATTAATATTCAATGAGCGATTAAAAGGGATAAATTCAGTGAAATTGGCACTTGTTCTACATTAAAAATTGAACATGAACAAAACAATGAAATGAACAAAAAACAGTGATGTTGTAATTGTTCAAAGCCATGAGTTTGATACACATAATCTATATATTTGATATCGTTTATGTGCAATGCTTGTATGTACACTGAATGGTAGCTAATGAAGCCATACAAACATAATATTACCAAGAACAGAGAATTCAAATAAATTTTTCAAATTATTTCATCTTCAAAGTTGAACAGTAGTTTCATAAGCAGCCAACTCATTGTTTAAGCTTTGAATCAATAAAACAATGTCTACAATAATTCAACAAACCTCTTCCTTTGTATACAACAAAGGATCTTTGGTGTCTAACACTTTTTGAATTATTGCTTTGGAATGAGATGTGACATTGGGAGAAGGGCAAGTCACAGGCAGGCAAGCCATATTATAAGGATCTGGGTCCCAAAGACTGTTATCCAAGCATGTTATTGAAAAAGAATAAATTCCCGGTACAATCCAGAACCCAGTTTTACACTTGTATTTAACTCGTGCACCAACATCATAATTTGTTTCCACATGAGAGAATACATCAAAGAAACGATCTTCAAAAACAAACATAGGATTGAAGTGTGTGAGAAGTTAACAAGAAGATTTTTTTGGCAGCAACAACCAGCAAAATATTCATAAGCAAATATGCATTCCACTGACTATTTTAAATATAAACTCACAAGCTATATATATCCTTCTGATTTAAAATAAAAAATGGGACTGTTTTGGCTTTGGTATTTGCATGCTCATAACTTTTAAAATATTTAGTTTCTTTTAAAATATATGGCTTACATCTCTAAATGTGTTTGTCAACCCTGCTGTACTCTTTTAAGTCAGCGCCAATTGAAAAACAAGTCATCATAAAGTTTTGGAGTAAAATCCACATATTGCATCATTTCACTGAGCAAATATATTCATTTAGAATAATCAAGAATGGTTGTAATTATTCATAAGAAATAGCATATAAACATCACCAGGTTTAACCGTAAATCTAATAAGACTACAACCACATGAAGAATGGGAGATAATATTCATAATAGTAAAGAAATATATTCAAACCAATTACTTTTTGCATCGTCTGGTATAGATTCTGTATTTTTTCAACAGAAAATGCACAGTATTTCGTACTTCTATTTTAGAAAATGCTTACGAGAATCTGGTTGACTATCTTCATGAACATCGTCAAATTCATCCCACACATCAGCATTTATTATTTCAATAGGTTCACCACAGCTAACAACAGAACATTCAATATCATGTGGATCAGGATACCATTCACCAAAGCTTCAAACAAAATATAAAAAAAGAACTTTCATGATATCAATATTTTAAAACCGTTCATGTTAGACATTTCAGATTAGTGGACATTCTAATAGAATAAATGTTACTCTAAAGAGAATGTCCCAATGTTCATCACAATGAACCATGTTAACTACACTCTAATTCACCTGTTACAAACGGATTCCTCATAAAATTGTCCTTCTTTCATTATACAGATATTCATTCCAATATCATTACTTCCATATATCTTCCAATAACTCTCAACATTAGTAGCTTCATGATCACCTAAATAAAATATTGATAGAGGTCTATCATTTAATTTATAATCTCTGAATACAATTTAATAACAATTTATATATGCATAGCTATCGATAGGTTCCATTGAAGCCACGAGAATTTCGTACAAAAATAAGTTACCAGATTCATATCACAGAATAACATAATAAACAGGTAAGTGAATAAATTAATCAAAGTCAGTATAAGAATGAGCTATTGACAGGAATTGACTAACAAATTTTCTATTCTGTTTTACCTGTTACTAAAGGAATGACTTTACCCTGTCCAGACCAATATGCTTTATCATCAGTTACAGTTGTTAGATAGCCGCCTCTGCCAGAACCTCGTAATACTATTAACCATTCATTCGTATGACCTGATGAGCATGTCCACATTTGAAAAACATTTCCTTCATCACAAGGTTCAGCACGCAATGGCACAACATCATCCTAGAAAACCCTTCATTTTGTTAATGTTTCACAAAACCGCTAACTAATCAATGACACGAAAGAAACATCTTAAAGTATTGAAAGCTGAACAGTTTATTAGTTCATTTGTCTAACAAATATTAATATGCTATCTCTTAAACCAAGTATATTAAAATTCCAAGAAAAGTGTTTATCTACAAGAAGATTTGTTGTCCAATTCATTTCAACTATTTCTATAGTATCCTAAACTGCTATCTATTCCAGAGACTGTGAATAACCATTCCAGATATGTTTGCGTATTTTTTAGAATGTTTCTCGCAGTATGGATTTGACATAAACAACCACACTGTGTTTTATATGTGTAAGTAAGCAAGTGGATGCGTTTTTCATTTCATTTTTCAGTGTTTATTTTCTGTCGCTTCTATTTTACAATACACAACAAAAGGTTGCTTGTTGTTTTGATTTTTTCCTGACACATCAACCATGCTTTTATTCTTTTTTTTATATTGTTTTTTATACTGTTTTTATATTGCATGTACTATCTATTATAATATATTCCTTTGACCAAATAACAATCCAGATTCTATAAGTTACCTTTAAATTTGGAATCGCTGCAGCAGTCAAGCATCTGTCAGTAGCATGATTTTTCAAGTGAAACGACCATTGCCAAACCCACCAATGGTACGGCGTATCACGTCCATCACAATTGTTATCGAGGGTAACATCAACCACATCCGTGCTTTCTGTTGGAGCGATCTCTGATCTGACAGCCCCATGCAATCTCAAACATAATCCCCAGTGTGGGCTATGTATTTTAAATTGCCTTCTGATCCAATTTCTTCGAGCACAATAGTACCTATGAAGATAGAAGAATCTGGCATCAGCTATTAGATATAAAAATATTGACCATGCATTAAAATAATTACAACAGCAGTTAAACTGGATCATAAAAATTTTAAATAATATGAATAAATAGTCAAGTCCAGATAAGTTTGGTAATTATATTTTTAGTTTGATATATTACAAGAGAACATATGGATACAGTATGCTAATTAATTTGCATTTTAAACTCTCTATATTAATAGGCTACTAAAAAAACCAACAATTATCAATCGACTGAATTTACCATAATTTCTTTATGCCTGGGAATTTTTCAGCAGAGCGTAGAGAGTCAATGTCTTCTTGCAGATGCTTTCAAATTGTCGGTAAGTAACAAAACTATTTTTATTTCATTTCTGATTAATTAGTAACAACCACCAGTCATAGCAGTCTGGCGACAAGCCTCTAACTTTACAGAACTGTTTTAATTTGGTATTTATCAGAGTATATTTATTTTTTTCAAGTATTTGCTTGAGGCTTTAGCACGCCATACAAAAATTCTTCATGGGCCACTTTATTTTGTTGAATTTAACAAGCAAGTTGAGACTGAGTTACTTGATCCAAGTATATAACTTTTGCTGACAATAAAATTGTTTATCACCTCACCTTACATGACTCCCAGATGCATAATCAGTTCCAAATCTCGCAGCTCCCGCCACATCATCAGGTTGCTTGCAATAAATTCTTTCACATTGTACATTATCAGGTGGAGAAGGATTCCATAATCCATCTTCATTACAAGTGAAATTCAAAGAAAAGGAATCTTTATCAAACCAATAACCTGAACAAAAATGTAGGACTAGATAAGAATTACCGTAGATCAGTGTTAACTCTAAGCAAATTATGAGTGCGAAAGTGCTTCGCAGTCGAAAAAAAAAGTGCGAAAGTGCTTTTGCCGATTTTCACAAGTTATGTGCCCTAGCCTTTCATATAACCCATTTAAAACGGCATAGATACTCGAAAAAGCGCTCCTCCGGTTAATATTATGAATTAAAGAGAAGCCTTTTCGTTAACCGAGTTCCCTTTAAGCGAATTCATGTTTAATTAAAACAAGTAGGCTTGCACTTAATTTACAAATTTACGGAATTATTTCGAATTACGCAAGCGAAGTCACCAATTACGTAAAGTCGTAATTATTGGTCGAGCGCTTTCGCGATTGAAACGAGCTCTCTTCAGAGCAGTCAATTTCGTCGATTGTAAAAAATTAAAGTTTAAGTAAAAGAAGTTAGAGTTCCGGTATTCGCAGCCGTTTTTCTCTCTCTTGTTAGGCAGATGGGGAGGGCATAACGCGTCATTTACTAACCTATTATCAACTTATCTAAGATGGCCAATGTACATATTAACCGTAAATAAGGAATAGAATTGTGTCGAGACCGATGGACGCCAACACACCTGGTTTCAACTTCTTCGGGTGAAATGAGTGAAGAATGTAAGAGATCAACTTATAAAACATGGTCTATTTGTAAATGTCGTGATAATTAATGCCGCGCTTATCAAACAGCAAGAGACGGAAGAGAAATTGCGTAATGAACCAACGCAACTTAGTCCTTTCGGCATCGGTGAAGCGATTGAGACGGCAGAGAAACAACATTACGACGGGATTTCCCGTGTTTATTCTGCGCGAAATCCATTTTCTATTACAAAATCTTGATGTTCTGTTACCGGTTTTATCGTTATATATCTGTCCGGACTTGGCATTGCTCAATATGTTTTTCACAATGCCTCGCAAATCGCAATATGTCGGCCAAATATGATTACCTGTCTTTACCAAATGCGGCAACTTATTTTGATTTATCGTCGACCTGAATACCACCGGCACTCGACCAAACTTGTGTCAATCTTGGCAAATAGGATTGTCGACTTGAGTTAGAAAAATAAATTAATATTTTCATGAGTGCAAAATAAATGTCACAAAATGCATTGTTTTGCGATATAACTTTGTATTTTCGGAGAAGGCATGTCATATAAGTACGGTATTTTAAATAATGCGCAAATAATTAATATTTGATCTAAATTTATCGTAAATAATGTTATAACATTTAGGCCGCGAAATGATTTAATGTAAAATGAAGCATGGAATTCGGAATATCGTCAATAAGTCGGCATCAATAATTATTATAAAATGCTAACTAAGTAGTAAAGTCGGATATTGTAAAAAACGGTGAAATAACAAGTCTTCGTCGCGAGGCAAGCGAAAGTATAATCAAACGAGAGAATACGCTTGTAGTTGATTAATAAATTAGCAACCCGGAATTTTTATTCAATACGAAAGTCGTATTAATACGTCAATACGATTTTAAAAAAGTGAACTATCGTTTCTTAAATATATTACCAGTGTTGGTAATGATAAAATTGATCGCATAAAATTTGGTGATAAAGTTGATAAAGGAAAATCAAAGCTAATACAAAAGATAAAAATCAGAATAAAATTATTTTGAATTCACTCCTTGATATTTGTCTTTAACATCTGTCTCCGGCGTGTGGTACTGCCGGGAATATGAAAACCAAACTTCGATGTCCCATTCGGAATAGAAGTGGATTAAATTGGTTGGTATGCTAGGTTTAAATGTGTGAAAAAATATCGCAATTACGGGGTCATTACGTAATCGATTTGGCCGTAATTACGGAATTGATTTTTGTCAATCACGTGCAAGCCCAAAAACAAGCGAATTCATCGGCAACGAAATAACATCTGCTAACAACTGCCTGGACAAAACTTTCATGCAATGTATCACGGTGTCAGTTGCTTACTCGCCTAAACAGCAAAGACTTTCACATTTGTTACTCCTTCCATCTAACAGACACGAGGCAGGCTGGAAACCATATTAGTTACAGGGTGGATCGGTTGTACAAATCCCGTGCAAAATAATCCCCCAAATATAAATAGCCTAATTAGGGTTAGGTGCGCTGGAAATTCAACTTTTCGATTTATCCCTAAACCTTATCTGATAATTATTAATTTTTGATTTTGAACCACTTTGAAAGTCGCCACCCGCTGTTTTAAAAGATAGGTTAACCTACGTTCCCTCCGAAATATTACGCAGGATACTCCCCTGTTTTAGGAGATAGGTTGACCTACTTTCCTTTCAAACTTTTTTCTCCGAAATATTACACAAGATCACTTTGAAAATCCTCCCGTTTCGTGAGCTAGCGTGACCTAATTCCTCATTTACATTTATATTATACTATTTCAGAGCTTACCCAAAGACAAGTAATTTTTAAATGTCGACATGCCTTGGTTTGCGTGCGAGTTAGTTTAAATCGGGCAGAAAATATCATATATTGGCAAAATGTTCAGTAATGTCATGTACTTTCAACATTCATAAATAGCACTATTTGAAATGCTGCTGACCTAGTATCAAATATTCGCATCACAATGCCACTTGCGAGGTTTCCATATATTTCAATTACACTAATAGGAACGATGACACCAAAGAGTTTTCTTTTGCGAAGGTACACTAAATATAAGGAGGGTGATTCTTGAGAAAAACATGAATAAAAAAAATAAACGAATGATATGATAGTGGATCCCAAATAATTTTGACAGTGTCTCGAAATACCAATCCATTTGATAAATAATTTTTATTCGACCACATGAACGCTGATATTCTGAAAATTAATGTTGAAAGAGAATTACGCATTCTCAGATATCGGACATCCAGTCGCGATATTCAATCGTTCATATGCACAAATCTCACATTAATAGTAATTGCTACCCAATTTTGTAAAATTTAGAAACCAACAAACAGAAAATAACTTATCCTAAAACACAATTAAAATTCAGTCGGCAATAAATTCATCGCCAAGACGATGCCATACAAAACAAAAGAGATTTGGTCGCGAGAGTTACGTGAGATGCTGCCGTTGATTTTTAAGCAGAATGAAAAATAATTTATAATTAATAAACGGGAGTTACGACGCCCTTTACACATCGTGTGTATTGAACTTCCCTGGTAAGTACTTTGGTAAGTACTAATATTATTGTACTTATACACCTGTTGGGAGTATTTCGGACAATTTCGAATTTAAAATAAATGAAAACCCGACATATAATAAAGACGCAAAAGTAAAATGAACATTTATTGAAAAAGTTATTATTTAAGAAAGACAACATGATCGTACAATTCCGCCAAAACCGCGATGTTCGCAAGTGAGATGATAAATAAATACTTCCCTGTATTCGATCAATTAACTTTAGCGTATCGTTGTTCTGCCAACAAACAAACAGCCGGGTGCAAAATATTTCAGTCCTATGATATGCTCACAAATATTCTCGATATTAATATCATACCCTCGCGTATGTACTTTCTATTAGCTCTTTAGTGATCCCTTCCATCCTTGGCCAAGTCATGTTTCGAATATGTGAACATTTTATTCGACCATACATGGCCGGCGGGATGTTAAAATTGTAAACAAGAGAGAGGTAAAATCAATCGCGAATTTCGTTATAACGGCTCGTTTACGAATTGTTGCGCCTGTTATCGTCGAAAATGATTACATTTGTTGTATTTTGAGGCATTTAAGCAGAAATAATTAGGGCATGACATCATCAAAATCGTCAAGTGAGATCTTGAAATTGCAAATTCCGTAAATAAAATTGTGAATTATTCGGTAACGAATTCAGCTTTAATGACCGTCAGGGTATTGTTTTGTTGAAAATTATTATTAATGTGAGAGCGCCAAAAACATACAGTCCATACCGATGCGACTGCAATTTATATGGTCGCAATTGGTGTGGTGCGTTTATTAATAGTGTAAAAAAAATTTAACGAATATCAATTATAACCAAGCCTGTCAGCGTGTTTATTTTCTGTGGGCAGGAATCGTAAAATACCATCTTGAGACAAATTCACTTCTATCATAAAATCTTAATCGTAATATATCGTATAATAAAATCGTAAAAAACCGCCCCCACACTCGTCCAAACGTGTGTCGAGCTTGAACGACAGGAAAAGATTCATCGACGACCTTAATTAGGGAAAATATGTATTTTATTGGGAATGCAGAATAAATGTAACAAAACGCATTTTTTGTGATATAACTTTGTATTTTCGGAAACGGGTTGCCGTGAAAGGAAAAATTTGATCTAAATTAATCGCAAAAATGTTTTATTTTAAATGTAACAAAACACATTTTGCGATATAACCTTGTATTTTCGAAAACGGGTGTCCTGAAAAGTAAAATATGATCTAAATTAATCGCAAAAATGTTTTATTTTAAATGTAACAAAACACATTTTTCGAGATACAACTGTATTTTCGGATACCGGGTGTCATGAAGAGTAAAATATGATCTGAATTAACGGTAAATAATGTTTCATTCCAAATGTATCATAACGCTTTTTTGCGATATAACTTTGTATTTTCGAAAACGGGGCGTCACGATAATTAATAATCTAATGTTTTATCTATCGTCTAACTAACGTCTGGAACACATCATTTTCGGGGAGAACTCTAGCCCGCGAAACGTCATTTAATTTAAAATAAAAAATGTTTCACGCATTTCAAAACGGAAAATCACCAGTAAGTGGACAGGGATTCAACCCTCCGGATTCAGTATTCTATATCCCCGTGTCAGAATTTCTGAAGAATAGAACAAAGAACCCGTCAAACCGCCGCAGAAGAATGGGAGTATTTTTTGCACTAATACTTAGGGCATGACAATATCAAAATCGTCAAGAAACTGGTGAATTTGCAAATTCCATAAATAAAATTGTGAATTGCTGGGTAACATTTTAGCTATAATTATCGCCGGGGTATTGTTTTGTTGAAAACACGTTGAAACTTGAGGGAATTAGTTACAATTAGCGCCTGACCTCTATTAGGCACTCGAGCACTCGGAAAAAAAAGCACTCGAGCCCAATCTTTTTAGCATTAAGTCGCATACGTAAAATATCCTGTAAAAGAAGTGCTGTTCATTAACGCCATCTCGTCTTATGACCACGCAGAAATGCCTTTATTGCAGAATTTTTCAATCACTAGTTTAAATCAACATTCAGGATTGGCACAATTTCAGGTTTGCGAAGTTTATCACCATAGAATACATGACAAAGTTAATTATCGTCTTAATAAATATCTGCATCACGGTATGGACAATAATATTACCATTCCCATAAAATTGGGACGGTAAATTTACAAATCTTGATAGGTAATATTAAAGCCAACGCAAATGTTAATTTGAGTCCTCAATGTCTTCAACAGCTGTTGCCTATGTGAACGAACGGGTAAACCCGAAATATAAAACTTTGATGACCGCCGACCCACAAGAATTCATATTTGTAAAAAGGAGAGGGCGGGAATATAGATTACCCAAAACCTGGATATCGCCGCCAAAACGATCGGTGACAAGAACAATTAGCCATTACAACGGAATTAACCAGTAAAAAGGCTTTATTGCCGATTTTTTAATGTTTCCACCACGTTTATTCGGTACTCCTTAAAAATATTCGATTCAAAAAAATATTGAATTTTGCCCACCTGTCCTCGCATATCAATGAGGAATAGTTGTGTAAATATCGTAAAATTCCGGAAAATGCCACGTCCTTTCAACATTGTGATTACAATAAAATGGCACTTAATGGTATTTTGTGAATTTGGTGATTTTGCAAATCTGTGACATGCTGCTAAAATCGTGCAGTTTGGTCACAATTCATCCAAAGTGACTATAACACGTTACTAACACTTTTATATTCATTTTGAATTCATCGATATCATTGATAGTCACATGACCTTCAAAGAAACGCACTGCCTAGTATTCCAACATCTGGTTTCAAACACCCGGGAGCGTTTTTTGCGGGAGAAGCGGAATCGGTGTGCTTGTATAATAATCATATTATAAACAAGAATTTTGCCGTTAATGCAAAAGCTTTATCTCCTTTGTCTGCATCTCATAGGTTAGAATTCCGATAAATATCGTTATGATATGCAGAATTGAGTTACAAAAGTACTAGTATGTTACTTATTTGTCAACTTAATACTCGAAAATATTGGTTAACTTTGAATTTTTATTCCATTCAAAATCGGAAAAAAGTGCTTTTTCTCTTCAAAATCGGAAAAAAGTGCTATTTCGCAGTCCCTAAAAAAAGTTGCGAAAGTGTTTCGCAATTTTCGCAAAAAAGTGCGCTAATAGTGAACACTGCCGTAGATATTTATTCTTGGAGAAACAAAAACTATTAAGATAGCTAAATCATATGACAAACCAAAGCCTCTCGTCCAGTTACCAGTCCATGTTAGGTATGGAAATAGTTAACCAGCTATTTGATTCGAGATTCATAGATATAATGGTGGATGAAGCCGTAACAAACCAGGGGTTTCGTGAAACACACTACGGTGACAAGAAGTCAACAATCCTGTTGCACATGATTTTCTCCACAGAATTCGAACCTGAGAACCCATGCAGGGTAATCAGAGGTGTGATGATAAGCATATTCCTAATACTTGCACCAACTGGCGAGTAACTAAACACTTTTACCTTAACAGCATCTGCTATTTTATCATTCAACAAATTGCAGACAAGGATCAAAGTTCATGACACTTGCATAATGACATATTTATGAAAAAACATATTTTACTTTTTTATGATTGACACCAACCTCTTGATGGCATAATTAGGTGGCAGTACATGGCATCTTGAAATGAGTTGCATAGAGAGTTGCATATGAGAGTTGCAAGAGAGTTGCATTATTTTTATCCTAAAACGATCATTTCAAAATGCCATGTACGGCAAAATCCCATATTTTAACAATAAGAAATGAAATCAAATCAGCATACCAGGTTCGCATCGGAGTGTCAAAATATTTTTGTAGCCATATATGGTTTGCTCATCTATTTGCATTATCTTTGCATCTGATAATGTTGACGATGAAAGAGTATAACATGATATTGGAACACATGTTGTATTCTGTTTTATGTGATCAGGTATCCATCTGGAATTTATAGAGTCTATGTACTAATTTTGATATCCAGTAAGTTTATTTTGACTATATAATCACCATAAAGATAATACTTGAATGATAAAAACAAGGATAAAAGCATTGGTAAAAGTGTAAACTATTGAAATATTACCACCCTTTAGAACAGATGTCTGGAATACTGAAATTATCACTTTATCCATCATAATTCATTTTGACCTCATAATCGTTATGCTACAATTATAGCTACAATTTTCTGTTGGGTACCATTATTGTATATTTAAAAATAATCAATTTCAAAGAGACCTACGATATTCATTTCTAATATACTTTATTACGATAGGTAGAAAGAGTTAGACAGCCATATAACCATGACAAAGCGTGAAGTTGAACAAAAAATGATTTTTGATGATTTGTAGAATATTTTTTAATAAGAAAAATAAGAAGTTAGAAATCCTAAGTGATATATTTTCAGTTACATCTCACCGTCCATCTTTACTGCAATAACTAAAAACAATGCTGTGATCTCTTGAATACCAGAATCCTTTATTACATTTGTAGGTCAATCGTGAATTGTAAACATTTCCATCATACGTCATGTTCGCATTTTCTATCGGTTGAGGGTCGGGACACGTCACCTGCAGATTATATTATAAATTAAGATGCTTATATATTACCAATCAAAATGTACAAATTTTCAGTGAATAATAAAGCATTTAATATTGCTTTTAAATACAAAATAAAAATTAAATTCTTGTTGGAAAAGCTTTTGATTTTTTATTCCTCATCATTGCATTTGTATGTTTATAAGTATAAATTTCGACTCCATAAAGAGCATGACAGACGATATAGTAATTGAAAAAAGCGAATCAAACTGATCAAGAAAGCAAACAAAACCTTGGGTAGGATTTAAAATGTGTGTGTAGAATTCAAATAAGAAAATTATTTATTGAAATATATATCCAAGATGAATATTGTTGAAGTCTACTGACTTCGAACATTCCCAAATTTTCCATATATCATATACAGTATGTACAATGAATATATCAGTATCACGGATATTTAATGTAGAGCAATGGACAGGTCCTCAAGTGCATAACTTTTACCATAACAGCGTTGAATGATATGACAAAATTCATGTGCATAAAACCATGAAAAATACTCATATTCGTTTTTTATCATCTCAACCAAGTATTCTACATGTGAACTACTGTTGAAATATTTCACAAACCGATTTGCATAATTCTTTATCCCCAGGCAATGGTTGCCACACACCATCAGACATGCATGTTGCATTGTGTTGTAGTTTAGTGGCGCTGAGCCATGTGCCACTTAGACATTCATAGGATGCCACTGACGTATAAATGTAGGATTCATCTGAACAGAGAAAGTTAAACTGTCAGAAAAGACATAGAAAGCAACGAAAATTACTATATGGCTTAGCAGCTCGACTATGCCAGTATTTTATATCATAAAAAGTTCCAAAATAACCAATTTATCCAAAAGAAAAATGTACCACAAAAATGAGAATGCCTTGTCAAAACCATATGGACCAGAAAGTTACAGACTGAACCAATATAGAGATAACTAGTAAAATCACAGAATCTACAGCAAATGAAAGTAAATGGCATATACCTGTTACACTGACAAGATTCATTCCCATAATTTTGGGAGGTTTTTCACACTTAATTTTCGTACATCTAATGTCATTCACTGCTTCTTCTCTGTTTACTCTATTATCAATAAAGTTCTCCACATCTCCCTCGCGTATTTTTCTTGGCTTCACTTCCCAGTGTAAAAATTTGTTACAAACAATTGTCATGCTATACATGGAATATGATTCAAGCCAATATCCATCTTTACATGTGATTTCAACTTCAGAACCATATTTAAATTGCATATTGCTTGTGTCGTTTGTTTCAAAAACTGATATTGAGTTTTTAGGTTCAATTGGTATTGGGCATGCCCATCTACGTGAAAAAGAGTGTTGTATTAAAAAGAGAAGTTGGTATGTTTGGAGATTGTTAGAAATTATTCAAAAGAAATTTAGTATCAAATAATCATATTAATACAAATAACACTATAAATATCATTCGCTACATACCGTTGAAATAAATTTTACCTATAAATATATTTGTGGCTCGACGGTTGGCACATCGTAAGCATTAGGAATATTACCCAGCATGGGTTCACAGGTGCAAATCCTGTGGGGGAATAACTATGTGTAAAAAGATTGCTGGACTGCTCGCCAAAGTAGGGGTGGTCCCAGAACACCATCTGAAACTCCACGCATCCGAAACAAATAATTAGACTAATTCCATACCCAACATCGACCGATAACTGGACGAAAGGTGTGGTACGCCATGTGATTAGCCATCTTGTTGTCTTCAATTTCCCCCAGGATAAATATAAATATGAAACAGCAAAATAACATTTATATTTTTATCATTTATCATAGAATTTACTGCTGCAATTTCATTTTTGAAGTTAAGCCAAAATCTTCACTTACTGAGCTGGTTCTTCACAAATGAAACCAGGCAGCATTGTATCACATTGTCGTACCTCGAATTTTACATCATCTTTTCTTGGTACAGAAATACTCACGCACATCTCAGGTCTTGTTCTGTGTTCTGGATTACTTTTATTTGAACGTTGACATAGTGAATCAGCAAAAGTTTGCGACTTGAACAAAAACGATAAAATTTGAGAATTGTGTGATAGAAATCATTCATATGTTGGTTTACTAGTTTGCTTAGTTTATATATGGTATTCTTCTATAGTGAATTTCAAGTAATGGAGATCAATCAAACTCTTAAGCCTCAACGAATTTAAAACATATGAAAAAACACAAGTGCCTTCTTTTGACTGCTTTATGTTCATCATGATATGAAAAATTCTTATCCTGTATTTTCAATGTTTTTGCCGTGTTGCGATGTTAAACTGGCCAATGCTGAAACCACTGTGCCATTGCATAATATCATTTGTAGGTTGAAAATGATGCCATTACTTTTGCAGATGAAACACATCGAAACAAATAATATTATAGAATTATCACTCACTTTACATTCTTTCAGTTCACTACTACCAGGATCAGACGAGAGTCCTGGTGACAAACAAGACTCCAGACTGTTTGGCATACGATTCAGTTTCTCACCATTTTCATCATAAATAAAGGCGCAAGCACACCAATCCAATGCTGAAACACAAAATGGATATCCAACTCCAGGTATTTATCCATGATATGGAAGAAACTTAATAAAACGTTCTAGATATAAATTATTTTACATTAAGTGCCAATTGCCAATTTTATATACACCTGCCAGCCAGCAGTGGTTGTCATAAATTCTATCTAATGCAGGCGAATGTGAGGAAAACTCAAAAATAGCATACGCTCAGTGTTCATGTATTCAGAAACCCGAGTTGTACTGGCTAGAGTTGCTCCAGTCATATTGACTCGGCATGGATCATCATCTTCTCTGAAAAAACTATTAAAATTTGGAGAAGAATCTTTATGCACCAAGAATATTGAATCTAAAAATAAAAGTTATCAATGGTCTTACACTTTTTATAAGCTGAAAAAATAAATTCTCTGACCTGAAGTTGGATAGCGAGAAGCATTCAGAAACAGTTGTCAATGACACTGAAAGGATACAGTTAGAACTAACTAATTCTTAGTTCGTATGTTGCTCTGAGAATATTAGGTAATAACAACAGCAGATAATCTGGAAGAAATCGTTATACAAAATCTGATTCCTAAGTTTCAAAAATTTGGGTTTGCAAATCCCAAAAAAGCTTCCAATACAAGTTTTGTTTTTGTTGGTTGTAGTTCAGAGCCTACATAACTAAGCTATCTTTCAAAATATAATCACTCCATAAAGTGACAGGGCACAATCATAATAGAAAATCAAACACAAATGCAAACAATCATATTACCAGGTTGCTTGAAATTCCAATGACATAAATAATAAAAGTCAGGGAAGGTGTGCCACATTGCCAAGTTTCCTCTAGCTTTGTGTGAACCTATACGAATTTCACCATTTGGATGTGATTGCTCTAACACAATATAAGATTTCGGATTATGCCTGCAAAAATAAGAATTTTAATAAAATCAAATACTATCACTGTTAACATATACCGTGATACATGTAATAGTAATTTGAACAGTATGTTAACGTTTTTGATGACATATTTCTTGTTACCATGTATGTATATTCACATTTATACCCATTACCTGTTGTAAGCATTTTAGGCCACAGATCCCCGATAATTATGAATACACATATTTATAGACCATTTCAGCATGGACTCGCATTTTCTTTAAAGAACTGGTTCAATCAAAGAGTCTATTGCACTTTCAAAATACATTCTTATTCAGAGCAGGTGAAACTTCAAATGAAGAAAATGATAACAAACATACATTTTGAGCGCCACTGACAAGGTAATTAAATTTAATTATTTAATTTATCAACAAATTTATGAACAAACACTTAAAAAATCAAAAATGCTCTTTGGCAGTTTTGATGGTCATTTTTCTACTCTTTTATTGGAAAAAACAGCAAACGCAACTTTCGAGCAAACTGAAGATGTTGAATGAATCATTAAATGGTACTTTGGTATCATATTCCCGTCAAACTAGCCCTTCTGGCTTGAGTAATCTTTTCCGTAATTATCAAAATTAGTTTTGAATAAATAATGAACTTGAATAACTGTATATGAGGTAGACAATGTTGATTATTGAAGAACTTTAGATAATGTTATAATAAATCACTGAAGCAAAATACTGTTTAGTTTAAAAATTGCAGCGACAAAGCTGATAATTTCTCACAGTACACTAGTGTGCCACAGAACACAGTTTGAGAAATACAGCGTTACCACAACTGCTCTTGTTTTCATTTTAAAAAATTTCCATTTAATAAACTTTGAACAAAAACAGATCATGCAATATACTAATTGCAGTTGTAAATGCTGATTTATTGAAAATATAATTATTAGGTAATAAATAAATTCACCTAACAGTAAACAAAAACATCTCATGATTATTTGATTCACTCATTAACACACCTTAATCTCAATAAATAACCGTTCTCAGGTCCGCAAGTAAACATTTGTGATTTATTATACATATCACATTCTGATAGAAGCACAGAATCTGGAATTGTTTCGTCTGAATCTCCTGGATGTTCTTCAGAAGTAAGACACAAACCTAAAATATCAATTTCAAAATAAAAGAAAACAATAGGTAAACCATTCATATGCATATTCATATCAAAATGGAAGTGAAAAAAATTTAGTGAACTATCAAAAGATAAAAGAATTTTCATCAATTAAAATAGGTTAAATAATTTCAGTGAGATAATAATCAGTCAAGGAAAATTCGGACACCGTAATGGTAAGTTGTCGAGTTGTCACTGGCAGACATTTTTTTATGTAATGAAACATTGCTTGTGCTACTTTAACGATAATATAGCAACAAAAACATAAAAAATTCATTGAATGAAGCTTCGGCTAAAATACATCCTCTTTTTAACAAGCCAATCATTCTTCCAACTGATAGAAACAGCAATACGGATACTGTTTACTTGCAGGATCACTAGGAATCATGAACACAGATTTAAACTTTCCATTGCTCCCCTGTTATATTGCATTATTTATGCTGAACTTCAGTTAGACAATTACGTCATCAACCACTGGTAAGTAGTTGAAAACTGTCCATTTTATTCTCTTGAATGAGAAGAAACCACAGAGTGTTTCTAACTTTTACTGAAAATTCAGATTTAAAACTGAGGAAAAAATTAGCCCCTTCCTCTTCTTAAATAATGATTTAAACATGACAGTGTACAAAATTTTGTAGCATTTGATATAAAAAAATAAATGTCTATCAAACCATTTGTTTAGTAAAATTACCAAATGGTTTCCTTCAGAATTCGTGATAGGATTACATTACCACATTCTTAATATATGATGATCAATTGAACTCCAATACTCCATCCATATTATCAACTTATTAATTATGAGTGAGTGTACCGTAAATGACTTTCTGCCAGAACAATACCTGCGTCAAGATTGTATAGATGTTGATGAGTTGCCCACATCCATTTCATTCCTACACCTTCATTATACATACATGACTGACTAAATACTTTTTTACTTTCAGGATCACCGTACATGCATCTGAAAAAAAGTGAAATTAAAAAATTTGATTTCCAAAATATGAAGTGTATACTGAACAGAATAAACTAGATTAAAATGACCTGTCGTTATGGGAAACAACTTTCTCTTTTTCCATAGTAACAGCAAAACTTTGAATCATAAATGTTTGATTTTGTAGCATATCAACGTATATTTGATCTTCTTTTAAAGTTTCACCGATTCCATCTCCCACCCAACTTCTGTGAACCATACTTCCCTTGAAATCAGCCAGACTGTTGTCTCTAATTCCAACCCAGTAATGTTTATCTGTTATATTCAATTGAACACAAAAGTAGTTTATTTAAACACAAAACTGCATAGTTACATAATCCAGAATTTTTTTGAATGAGCAGTCATCACCTTCTCATTGTTTTATCAAATTGGAAACATTCGAAAGTTCCATTTTTAAGTTTTATAAAAAAACTGAACTAGCTTGGTGTAAATCAACAAAGTGCATTAAAATTTGCATAAGTTTTAAACTTTTATCTTGTGTAGATAGAATTCACTGATCTAAACAAAACGATCATCCAAAATTGGTGTAACTAAAGTCAAGACAAGCTTGGCCAAAACAACAATATTGACCTAAATATAATATTTTAAATAACATTTTGTAACAAATAACATTCAAAAAACACTTGTATTTTAATATGACATTTTCATATACAAATCTGTTTGTAAACAAATGCAATCACACAAAATAACAATAAAACATCAAATGTAAATATAAGGATTCACTTGAATATCCAAGAGTTGAAACTTTGAGATCTCTGAGAAAATTGTATTCAACTTCTGTCCTAGGAACTGCTAGTCCACATTTTTTACTTTTGCATTGCTCAAAGGATGAATGATAGTTTTTAAAATATTTTCTGTGATGAAACAGTTTATAACAACCTGAAAACAAAAAAGGAAAAAAAGATTAAGCAAGCACAATACTGTGTGCAATATTATAATGCATAATATAAATCAAATAAAAAAAGACTGGTAATGGTCCAATGCACATGGAATCGAAATATGCGTAAAGTTTTTTCACACCTATTGCAATTTCATTTAGGACAGCAAACATACCGGTAATGGAAATACTTCCGTTTCTATATTCAATAACTTTACACCAATTTGGGGAAAAATCCAGAATGAATTGATTAAGTTAAATTGATTATATAGTATATTTAGTAAATGGAAGAAAAACCTTAAATTAGATTTAACCTGGTATAAGTTAATTGCATTTTAAACATAACTCAAATTAGTGTTGATGATGAGCTTAGCAATAAGATTTCAATGCAAACTAAATTCGAAACTTACTCAAATTGAATGATGTCCAACCCTCTTTACAAGCAGGTAAACATTCAAACAATGGACTAGACCAAGTACCATTTTGTCTACAAGTAATTTCTATTAAAGTTCTGCTCGGCTCAATCATATATCCAGGTTTACATTGGTATGCAACAACTGCACCATAGGTAAACAATGTTTTCCTAGTTATAAGAATTGCATTATCAACCGATGCAGGTGGATTGCAAAAGATTTTTCTACACGACACTGGTTTGGGTTCCCATACACCTGAAATAAGTTGCATGCATCAATGTGCTGAATGATTATCCAGGTTCTATGAAAGTTTGCCGCAGGAAATTTCGCCGCATAGGAAAATCTCCACATAAAAAATCTCCTTTTTTAAAAAAGATTCGTTATTTAGGAATTTTATGTGGCCAAAATTTCTACGGCGGAATTCCCTGCGACGAATTTTTAGGACAGTGGATTGATTATCTCTACTGATCACACGGTTTGCTTTAACTGCTCTCTGCTTTAACCAGAGAATGAATTCTAACTTAACATTTCTCTCGAATAGGATGAGAGTGTTTGACAACACCAAACTATTAGTTGAATTTAACGATAAAAAATTTGTTTGAAATGTAAAGATTGACTTACAAGATCAGAACATGGTTTTAAAATATGCAAACGGAAATTACAAAAAATAAAACCACCTCTCAAGTCTCAACAACAATTGTGATATGAAATAAAAATGACAAGTGCTGTTTATAAAATACTAAATCATTAAAATAAGGTCAGTATATTAGTCGACACAAATGTTTAGAAAGCCAAAACTACAAACTTCAATCTGCAAGTAATAAAATACTATTAGTGTTTTTAATTGTTAATTCTATCTTTCCAATCTGCATAAAATGCTACAGAAAATGAATTAAAGAAAAATGCCTACATCTTAGGGGATTTCTATAGTACATATCATTATTATAATATGTCATTAACGTAATATGTTACCATCATCTGTGCAATTCCATATCTGATCAATGCGATCAGTGTTAGTCAAATTATAACCTTTCTTGCAAGCTACTTGAACAGAACTTTTTGGCATGTACAATTTAGAAGGACTTGCATATGATATGCTGAGAAGATACATGCTGAAAAGATATTATCATAGATTTAACTCGTTTTCAACCAAATCAAGACAAAATGCAATATTTAACACAGGTAGGTATATATACGATTTTACTTTATATCAGGTGAAGTAATATGCGATAAAACACCTTTTTTGTCCCAATTGCAATACTAAATATGTTGAAATATGAATGAACACCACTTATTCAATTCAATATACAGCAAAAACATTATGCATGCCAAAGTTTATTAATTATTATGCTATGCAAATAATTCATGAATAGGCATCTTCCATTTACTTTGGAATGGTGAAGTACACAAACTTTTGAATATATTAAAATTTACAATATCATTTAAATCTGAATTCCAAGATATCCCTATATGTTGTATGAAATTCAATTATTTATTCTAGCTATGGAAAATATCTATACTGCAATATTTCACAGATCTTCGACTAAAATTTTGGGAATTTTATTGATTTATATCAAATATCCAAAAATTATTTAAGAAAAAAAGAGATCCAGGGTTCAACAACCATCAACACAAAAAGCACCAAAGCTCCATTTCAAAGTACAAACAAACAAAAAAACAAATGATAACACATACTTTCTCATAAGAGGAGTAGGATCAGGACATCTGATAGGACAAGGTTCAGTTAAATCACAATATTGAGCAACTCCTTTCCTAACCCAGCACCATGGTTTCAATGTATCATTGTTCCAGTTCATACATCTTGCATGATCAGGCCAGTTTTTATCGCCATTGTTATATTCTCTCCAGTTCAAACAATGTCCTCGACCAGTATGTTCGTAATAACCTAATATCAACAAATAAAATGTAATTTTCCTATTTAAATAAGATGGAATTTTCATATTTATCCCAGGGAAGAGGGAATATGGCAAGAAAGCGTAATAATATGGCGTGCTACGAACACCTGTCCTGTTACCACTTACGTGCTTCAGATGCCTCATCCTGATGGTGAAGGGAACCATACTGCGGCAAGGAGTCCAGCAATCTCATTATTCCCCAAATCATTCAAACCTGTAAGCCTCCTCAGGATAATCAGAGATGCTATGGCAAGCGTATTTCTAACGATGGGCAGATATAGAATAAATTATGAGCAAAATGTGAAGAGCATTAATGTAATGGAGTGACGGTATAATTTTAGACAACATGAAAGAACCTTGCATGAAACGAGCACGTTCATCGCTTATAAACAAATCAAGCATTAGCCCAGCTATGAGAAGAGGAGTATAAGAAAAGGGAGTGATTCTCTAGCACAGAAATAAACTTTTGCAAATCTATGCGAAGAGTGATCATGTGAATCATTTACTTATAAACCGATTTTACCTGAATAATCAGCACCGTTACCAATATAACATTCTGGTAGTGATTGACATGTAAATGGAAGAGGAGTTTTTCCATCACTTGGATGCCACAATCCAGAATTTGAATCAAGTACAACTGTTGTAATTGGACATCTGAAAGAGAATGACTATGTGAGATTGATGGTCATGCTGTGAACAAAGTTTGCTGTTGTTCATGTTAATGCATCCGGGGGAACAAAACTGCTTTCATCTTTATCTACTGAATCAATTGATTTATTTTCACTAGTTAAAAATGGAAGCCTCTCCTAGAAGGTTTCATATAACCTTTTTCAAATTTTAGTTTTCAAATTTTCACCATATTTCCCCCAATTTGCATGGTTTTGAAATAATTTTACCAGCTCATGAGGGCACACCGATTTAAGTATGTTCTCGTCCAGATTGGTTTTGACAAACTGATCGCTCATGTATTACATAAAGATACAGACTGAGCTTTAATTATTGATATCGGTATTCAAAACAACAAAATCTATATAACAGAATGTGCCAATAGTGAAATATAAAATCTTCAAGAAAGTATTTTTTTAATATTTCTGCCAAAGTGTTGAATTGCAGGATTCAATATTCGATAAACAATGTCATCATATACATATTTCCAAGTTTAGGTATAATAATATCAACAATTTGGGGAAATATCAAATATATATCAGTGTTGTAATAAAAGGTATCAGAACAGAACATTTATAGCGGTTTACAAGTAGAAATTTCAAGGAAAAGTTCAGTGATTACTTAGTTACTGAACATTCTTGCCATGGCTGAGATGACTTTACTGTTATACACCATGGTAAATCTATTTCATCTTTTTTCAACTGGTCTGTAGGAAAACCTTCTGGACGTCGACAATAATTTTGTCTTAGATCGGCAGTTGGATGAGTAATATTGGTAAATGGATGTTTGTGTGGATATTGCAGATTCCAGTATTGACAATGTACTCCATCTTTGGTGAATGATCTGAAAATATGAAAGTGTTCTCTTTTGCATTACAAAAAATGAAAGAAAAAGGCTTAGATTAATATGAAAATGTCTAAATATTAATATCAAAATTTTAAACAAACAAAGTATAAATGATTATGATTTTTATCAAAACAGAAATGTCTAAAATACTTTGAACAATAATGTTCAATGGATAAAAAAAAGGATGAATGAGGTGTACAAAGTTAGAATTCCCTCATGTTGCAAGGTAAGATGGCTCATGCAATTTTGATGTTGTTTGAACTCCGTTAGACCTCGAAATATATCATCTGCCATGATATAAAATAACATAAATAAATATTGTTTTACCTAAAAATATTGCAATGTTTACTAATTCGAGGGTTTCAAGACTAAATGGAAAATTTTAAAATTTTGAAAATATTCTTAATCATAGTTTGAAGCAATATCCACCAAAGTATTTCGATTAAAAGCTGCAGAAGTTTGAAATCAAAAGTATATTGTGGCTCATTTATGCAAAACAACTTTTTAAAAAATCACATTTTTGGTCTAATGCTCTCGAATAATAGTGACAATGACAAAGTTTTTCTATATACTGAGTTTTTCATTGTTAGTCATTCCCTACCTTGTTCCTCTGTAATCTTTCATTAGATCCCAAGGTTGAGCACAATCCTTCAACTTTTCCAGAGGAATATGATGACCAGGTCCTGTTACTGCTATCCAATCTTGTGATTTTGTTTTGAGACTAACAACTAACAAATCATCACTGTCACCAAAGCCTCCATCCGATTCTATGTTTAGGCAAACACTGTGATTGCTTGAGAGACAAATGAAATCACCTGGCATTCCATCAGAATCACGAGGTGTTGGACCAGGAAGAAATATCCAAGACTGAGATGTGAGCGACTCAAATGAACAAGCAGCTAAAATGGAAAATATTCAAATAATAAGAAAGTAAACAATTTGTTTAAAATAACAGTACAATTGTAGAAGTAGAAATTGTGTCACACTTTTCCATGCTTTATTCGTAATTCGTGTATTCCCCTCATTTGTCATTCTATTTATAGATTACACTGAGAGAATAAACCAAATTAGAGAAAAATAAGATTGAGATGTTTTCAGATAAAGTTTGAGTTAATTGGAATCCTTTGATTTAACAACTACATGTTAGTCAAAATCTCAAAAGTGCCAATCATATGTATCTCACTCCATATCAATACTCTAAACTACTCCCAAGGTAATAAATCTATTCTAACCAAGATAATAGTATGAATCTCACTTCATAGGCTTTCTTTAAGCATTTGCCCCATAATATATATCCACCTTACCTCAGAAGTGTGGTAAGGTGGGACAGGTGTGTTAAAGATGAAAAAGTGTGAGATAAATGGGAGATTGCTTTTGTCATACATCATACCAATAAAATAAAAGCTCAATATCAATAACACTAAATTTGTGTCTGGAAACTCACAACAATGAGTTGAATTTAGGACAAAGAATGAAAAATAGAAAAATAAAATCAATTTTCCCTAAAATGTACTATTTATTTAATAATATTTTTTTATTTCTGTATTTCCCGGCGAATAAGTCGCTTTTCTAGACCCAAATTTTTGGCCTGATTTTGGGGGGTCGTCTTATTAGGTTATTTGAGATTCCGATGTTGATGCGATTTTACTACCCCGACTTATTGGCAGGTTGTATGCATAAACCCATTCATCAGGCTTAAAAACGGGCCTCGTCTTATTGGCCAAGTAGTCTTATTCGCCCGGAAATACGGTAATTAAAATGCAATGTTTCACAGTAATCATAACTACCGGTAGCTATAAACAGTCTTGCAGAATGACAGTACTTTCAACTATCACACATCACAATCAATGAGAGTATATTCCAATTTACCCAATAAAAGAGAAGGATTCATGTTATCATAAGCCTTATTGCTCTTCAATGGAATTTGAGCCTCTAAACAAAGTCCTAAAGCTCTATGTTTAATCTGAGATCCACCCTCTGAAAACCACCACAGTAGTCCTTTGTCTTCTAATTTGCAGGTTGTCATTACAGCAACAAACATGGCATCTGTAAAGAATACAAAAGATGTTCCAATGAAATAAATGCTGCATGACGAAACATTGAAAGAATATGTACTGCTTGCTCTTGTTCGAAAAAATCAAAAACTCAATGTTCAATATGTTTTTTGTTAACACAAGTTACTTAATTAATCATCCATGGATCGGCGGTTGGGGCATCATGCTAAGCAAGCGTTATTTATATGCTTGCCACTACACCTCTGATGACCCTGCGTGGGTTCACAGGTTCGAATCCTGTGGGGGGTGACAGTGGTTCACGAAACCGCTGGTCGGTTACGCCTTTCTCTACCTCCAATCCACACACCTGAAACAACTGGTTGATTATTTTTATACTCGACATGGACTGGTAACTAGTTTGCTACATAAATAAACTAACTTATCAGCTTTCCTTTCCCCAGGACAACTATGACTTCCTAACCGTCTTATTCTATCCTATTGACGTATGCGAATATAAAGATGACTAGAAGTACTGGTAAGCACAGCCCACAAAAATATCGTTCGAACCAGACAGTGTTGAAACAGTGTCTATCTGAGCCCTTATTTCACAGTAATATCACACTCAAATATTACAGTGTACTGTAGATGAACAAACCTGGAGCACTTGACGGTTTCGCTGGTTTTGCACATCTTGTTAAGTTATAAGAAGAATGCAACATAAAAGGAAATCCTAAATCTTCTTTAAAATCTGGAATATTGAAGACGCTGAACAATTCATCATGAACAACCAAATCCCAAGCAACTTTCTCACTATTTTCTGGAGATAAACATACCTGGGTGTATCCTGCCATTTAAACAAAATTAAAACGCCATTAGATCAGTATAGCCTATATATCTAAATGATCATCTACCCCACGTACAGGTTTGTGTATTACAAATTCTGAATATGTGATAGACACTCCTTGCAGGGTAATGAAAATAACTACAGGTTGGCTATAGGTTCTTCCCCCACCTATCATGCCCACATATATTAAACGTTCAACTGGTCATGTATTTCTATGCCCCACTTAGTAATCAGATGGACATGACTAAGCCAGCTTTTCATTAAACCAAAAAAGCTTGAAAAATATTGCCTTTTTTTAAACTTAAACATCAACAGAGATGAACAGAGAAGTACACATTTCTACAACAGTACTTTAAAAGAATAAAATAGAATAAAGAATAAACGTCTCTAATAAATAAACACAAGTACCGGTATATCAAAATCAATTTGGCAAATACATTCATAGATGTATATCGACTTATAAATCACAGAAAATAAATGAACATTTATATTCAAGGCCATTCAAGATCAGCGCATTCCTCTAATATCCTATACTTAAGAATAAAATGAAACAAAACAACAATACCAATACATCCACAAGTAAGATAAAATCCACTTTCTGAATGGCGTAGGGTAAAATTTTCATCATCATTTTTCCGAAAAATCCATCGAATAGCAAGATTACTTATATCACAATCATCAAGTAAAACATAAAATCTCATACGATAGGATGACAAGCATAAACCAGTGGCAACATTCATCAATATATTTTCAGTTAGTTTTATCCATCTGTTAAGAATATGAAGAAATAAAATGAGCCAAAATTATTTTTAAAAAGAAAAGATACACTTAAAGACTATCCATTTATCCATACTGTTAACATAAAGACAATCCAACATGCTTGGAAAATGTTGTAACTGTTTCAGGAATTAAGTTGATCTCTTATTGAGCAACAAAGTACAGTAATGTTATATTACTATGTAAAATTAGAGTCAATACAAGTCAATCTTGTCATCGAACCTTTGGTTGCCCTGTGTGTGTTTGCGGGTTCGAATGTTGTGATTGTGAGGTATACTTATGTACAAGATGATTGTTAGACTCCTCAACACCACAAATAGCTTCATTTTACCATTGATCGTTTATGGCTTACTCCACCATCAGTTCCATGAATATGAAACAAAATAACTGGATAACTAATCCCATATTAGACATGGACTGGTAAACAAACAAGAGTCGGGGTTCACCATATGATCAAGTCGTCTATCGACTTTTCTCACCCCAGGACAAACATGAAAATCCTATTCTATTTTAATTGAACAACCATAGTATTGTGGCAGTAAACTAATAAAAGTAATATAGAACCAAACACCCAAATCTAATAACATATTTAGTTGATACTCTGTGAGTATTCTACAAAACAAAAATGAACACAATCGAAATATTCTAACAGCAACTAACAATGAGTTACTGTTTCAACAAAGAGCTATTTGGGGCCAATGTGCAAAAATACATGTCGAGACCTACACGATGACCTAATAAAACAGAACCCAGAATTTGTTTTAATCACTTCTACAAAAATAAAGAGAATTTATATAAAAAAGATATATACGGTAGTTAAAACACCTTTGATTTATATCTTGATGTGAGCATACGGAAGTTAACAGTTGTTTGGATTCAATGGTAGATGTTATGCACTCATCACATGCATGACCTCGCAATAAAAAGTAACTTCCTCCTGGAGTTTTACTCATTAAAGTTATCATTCGCACCATTCCAATGTCAGAATTCCATGCCGTAAACAGTTCTCTTCTAGTGTCTGACATTAAAACCTAACAAATTGAGCATGGATGACTGAATCTTTGAGGCATACCTATAATTTAACCACTGGTTGTGTATGCCTTCGAACAAAACACTAAAGAATTTGATATAAATCATGATTTTGCTGCAAAATATTGAAGAATCCATTATATTATTCAATATCATAATTTATTCAGATAATTTTTCAAAGTTATGTGTAAGGCAGAATTCTAGAATTTTGTATTTAGAACTAAGTATGGATGTGAAGAATGAGCTAATAACATACAAACCCTGCTACAATGCAGAAATTGGAAATTTTCTCACTTTTCTTTCCTTAGCATCGTGGGTCATTATATATAATGGTGGAAGCTTTTCTTCTGGACCGTGATCTGGGATCCATGACAATGACACCCTGGTGTTGTGAACACTCCAACCTTGATATGATTTAGAATGTCTCCTTGTGCATGTTTCTGCAATCAATTCGTCTCCATGTTGTGGAGGCAAAGATGTTACAGAAAGACATGTTCCAGTAGCTGCATTTACAAGAGATGTCCCAGCCCACCAATAAAAATTTTGTCTTTCATCTTTACAGTCACAAAGAGCTGTTACAACTTTGTTTGTACTCAACACAGCTATACACAATTTGCGATTCTCTGTAAGAGGTAAGATGAATGTACTTAGGTAGTATAACCATTTTGAATATACTTATTGTCTGGATGAGTGGTTTCTAACCAGGAGTTCATTGACTGCCAGAGGTCGTCAAAAAAATTTTGAGAATCATAAGATTTGCATGCATAAGGTGAACCCAAAATCTCAGAATGAAAGTTCAAGCCTTTGCTGTTCTGTTTGTAAAGAATGACAAATCAAAGGCAACTTCATGCATCATGCTACAGAGTATGACAAAATTTATTAGCCTAATATGTTTATTTCTTTCAAAAGATCATTAGGTTGTCATTTATTCAAGTTTGATGTTAAAAACTGGTTCAAGTACATGTAAGGAAAAGTTTCTGATAGAATACGTGATATATGGCTCCAAAATAAAGCAGTTCATGTCTATCTTCGAATGGAAACAATGTTTCAAGTAAGAGCTGCTTGAACATAACATTATAAACTGTTTTTATTGAAGGGGCCCAAAACTTTCAGAAAAATCATCAATATGATTCATGGCACTGAAATGGTTGTGAACCAATGATCTACATAGTAAAAGTAATTCCTCCGAGAGATCTATTAAATATAAATTGTTTAAACATGTGTGATTGAAGCATGTGCATGTGGAGTTTTCTATATTTTGCAAGTACTACAATTATCCATATTAGATTCATTAGTTTCATATTGTAGTGCCTTCTAATTGATCAAAATTGTATAATAAAAGGCTGACGACTCACTTGAATCAGGTTGCAAAGAATATATTATAAACTTGTCATTTTCATGAATTTCTGGCATGAATTTCCCTTTACTTGACGTTGACCCAATATCCAAGCAATCATCAACTTTGCAAGATTTACGCTGAAAGTCCTGCAGTGACCTAACTCTGCACCATGGTATATTAAAAGAAATATCTTCATTCCTACAAAAGTTGTTTCCATCTGTTTCTATTTCGCTATAAGGTGGAACAAGTAGAGTCAATGGATGAACAACATCAATATCTGGAATATCAGTAGCATTCCATATTTCACAAGTTTCACCATTCTCAGTAGTGGATACAGATCCATGATAAGTTGCACCAAAACCAATACTACATCCTCTGTATTCGTTACTGCCGCTATATTTGAACCATGGCTGAAATCCACCAACTGACTGACCATCTAGATTGTATCGCAATAGATGTGTATAAGGGGAATGTAGTGGAGTTGATAAATCCTCATACACTCCTAAAAAATAAATTCAAAAACAAAAGTGAACATTAAATCAACTTCAAAATTCACAACGCCCACATCAAAAAATCAGAGCAACTGTAACATCTATAATCTATATCAGGGGTTCCCAAACCATGGCCCGCGGGCCAAATACGACCTGCGTAACGATTTAAAATAACCCGCCGAGCTTACGTGAAATAGTGTTCAACAGATTTTATTTCTACCTTTTTGCGATCTAGATACCGCTAATTTATGTCATTATCAGAGTTCAAGCACGTGTTTATCGTAACAATTCAATTATACTAGTATATCAATTATAAGTACCATATCAGCCATATAGGAAAGCCACCAGTTATCAGCCATATAGGAAAGCTTAAAGATGTCAGAAATCAAACAAAAACTAGATTCAGAAAACTATCGTTTCTTGGATAAATGGCAGTGTTCGTATTTCTCCATTGAAAAGTATCAAACTTTGCAGATTTGTCTTCTTTGGCAACGAACTATTCCAGTTCTGAAGGAATACAACAATAAGCGCCCTTATGAGTCAAACAAACATGTTTCAAAAAAATGACAAATGAAAGTGAATCCACTTTTGGGCGCTACATTCTTCCGGCCCGCGAACATCTTTCCGATTCTAATTTTGGCCCGCGACCAATAAAGTTTGGGACCCCCTGATCTATATAATATATATATATATATGTAATAATAGGCCATACTGATATAAATAACTAGTTTAAAACAGTTTTAAATAACAATACCAATATAAGACTTCGGTGAATCCTCGAGCAAATCCATCAGAAAGTTATGGCTGCTAATTTCTTTATCTGCAGCTAAAGTCCAATTATTCGAAGCACAAAACTTCTGTGCATCTGAATATGAACGCGGATCATCAAATACCTGTTAAAATATTGTGACAAAAGACTCAGCTGTTGGATTCTCTTGTTTTCTCATACTTTTTATGTGAATAGCCATCTCCTATTGGCCATGACTCGATAATATAGAGGGGCCAATAAAAACCTCATTTTCTCATGACCATGTTGTTCAGGTATACTAATGAAGGTCTCTAGTTTTGAGTATCCCAAACTGGGGTTCGGGGGTCTGTGATGACTGAACAGGGGGTCCCACAACGATAATAAAAGAGTCTGATCGATCTTTAATGATTGATTTCGAACAAAAAGCATTTGCATTTTCTTGGTCGAGCGTTGCGGACGAATATCCATTACTTTCAAAAAATGGTAACTAAAATTTTATTGCCCTCTGCAACTACCTGCATATGGGAGGCAACATTTTTAGCTATACAGAGCGAGCAAACCTTGCCGTAGAGTCGAACCTACGAGTTTGCTTGTCACGAGGTACTCCAAGAATTGATAAATTGTGAAGTAAAAAGCAACCTCATCCATCACATTACTGTCGTTTGTGTTTTTGTGTTATAAATGAAACTAACTAAATGAAAAAAATTATCTATCTATGCTGGTTGGGCAGAGAAATTGAGGCATGTAATGGGGGTACGTCAAAACTGGGGGTCCGTCACGAACATGGGTTCGCAGCCAAAAAAGTTTGGGAAACCCTGCTCTAGTTTAAATAGATCTGTTATATAGTGGTCCTATACTGGTCAGACAAAGCTAAAATGTAAAGTTTTCAGTTTCTCCACACATGATAATTTTCTATGTATAAGTGCATTCTGATTTGGTGTAATATTGCTAAACAGACAATAAAAATGACATAGGCAGAGATGGGAGTTTCATTTCTGAGATCAGATAAGATTTGATTCAAATTCATATGTGTAATTTTATTAGGATATTCAATATCAAACAGTGCTCATTATGAATTGAATAAAAACAGGATTGGTGTTTGGAAATTATATTTCTACCCTGGAAGAATCTACATGCTAACATTGTAAATTGAAAGTAAAACAATGCACATAATGGCAAGCTATCTATATGACCTTGATGGTGCTAAAAATGCAATATCTAAACTATTTGCGATCAATTTAGAGCAAAATGTTCGCACGCATGAGAAATTACATAGGTGTCTGACTTTTTTCTGCAATAAATCTTCCAATTTAGTATTTTGAATTTGCAGAATACTATAACCCCTACATATGCCGTGTTAATGTTTTCTGGCAATTGTGATACTAAAATGATCTGTAGCTGTTGACTGACAATAGTAAGATGGAGCCAATTTCTAAAGTTAGGTATTTTATTTTCTCCTAGTATTGAATGAACATTTTCACAATTTCTCATGAATACGCTGTAAAGTTTAGGAAAATAGAATAAATGAACATACCTTGAAACAATTTATATCTTTTTCGTTATATTCAGAATAATGAGCTGAAAAGTCAGGAGGGCAGAGGATGGTACAAGGTTGCGTATTACATGCTTTTACTTCATACAATGAACCTCCACCACAATTCCTATCGCCATGAAATGCACAATTTCTTTTCTTTCGTTTAGTTCCTCCCCCACAAGTTTTGTCACAAAGTGTCCAGAAGGTCCAAGCAAAAGATCCTCCAGCTCCTGTATATATAAAAATGTAATAGGAATAAAAAATGTTGAACCATTTTCATGATAAAATTCTCCCAACTGGCAATGTACTGATTTCATGACAGAGTTGTGTGATAATAATCTCAATAGATAAACCGACAGTCTGACAAGCAACTGATTTCAGTATTCCAAATTTAATTTCATATTTTTATCTATAGTCTTTTTCAGAAACTTTTTACAGGCTTTTATATAACACTTTTATTCCCGCGTTTTGCTACAAAGAAGGCCCTGTATAAGCAATTACTGATATCCAACAATATGTAAGGAGTTTTTATTTTTAGAAAGAATCAGAATCTTCGTTTACAAAATATGATGAAAACGTTTCGTACTCAAACAGAAAGCTCATACATAGCACAGTCCTTGCTCATTGTTTTATAGTATACTTTCCTTTTCAATATTGTCTGATTATTTTTAACCTGGCGCATCAGTCAAACACAATCAAATGTGACATTTTAATCAGTCTTTGTGACATCATTATCCGAACTTGTAACACAATGGCACCTGAGATAGTTTTAAAGCGACTAACACAAAATTGAGACCTTATTCTCTCTGTGTTACAAATCTTACAGGCTCTATTCCAAATGCTATATCCACAGTGTTTTCTATTTGTATTAAAACCGTAAAAACATTCTCATTTTGTTTTTGCTCTTTCCTATATCGAACCACATCTCTGGCGTATACAGAAAATGAATATCTGGACATAGAATAGTATAAAAATATATTGTTCATGTATGCAGGTGATCATTAGCCATGGAAGTATGAATAAAGTATTCTTGTGACAACACCTGTAGACTTCTTCAAGTCACTTGTTATATCAAGTTTTGTATGCATCCTCATGTGTATGCCATGACAAGAAGTTACTGGTTTGAAATGCACTACAAACATCAAAAATATTTGGAAAAAAATTCAGCTCACCCCTTTTAGCACATATGTTCAACCTCTTGTTTGTTCCAAGCATATAAAATTTTGAATTGTCATCTGGTTTACTTGTCATTACCCAACGATTTCCTGGACCATCATCACTTACGTTAAGATACATGTCATCTCGATTTTCATCAGGAAGCACATCAAGAGGTGACAATAGTCGAACATAGTAACCAGTGCCTGGAAAATATTTGGAATTATAATTCGCAATCATGTGCACAATAACTAAGTCATTGTCTGGCTGGTAATCATCCAATCCCCTTTGACCAAACTTCTAAAATCACCATAAGGAGGCAGACTATAAGTGTTTGTTATAATTACATCATATAAGTACAAATTGTATAGAACCGATAATGTATCATGCAAGGTACTTGTCAGTGTGCAGCGCGGTTGTTAATTTAATATTCTGTACCAGTTTTGTTGTTTTTCAATTTTAGTTCATGTCTGACCAGTATATGTTATGCCATTGAAATGGCAATATTATATGTTTGAAGGGCGTCAAAACTTGATTTGTTGTAGCCGCATAAAGTACAAAAAGTACACATCGATTAAGCATCTCCTTTGAATCTATACATAAAACAACTAAGTATTTGAACCCATTACCCTTCGTTCAGAATGTGAATTCCATAGCTACAGGTCATAGAGTATAATGACATTGCCTTCTGAGTGGCAGTCAACATTAGGTTTTCACTTAAGCTTGTTCGGGTGCCTAGCTTGTAATAATTTCTCCATTTGCTAAACTTACACATCCAATGTTGAGTTGGGTCATTAAAATCACAATGTGTTAAAATGACTTCTAGTTCATTTGGTTTTGTTCCATTGAACGATGTTATATTCAATGCCAAACATCTATGGATTCCCTTGTGTATAATATTATGATAATCAGCCCAAGACCACATGAAATCGGTCCTTTCTTTGTTGTAAGGACCAGGACAACGACGATATATTCTGTATTGAAAGAAAAAATTATGATACAAAGATGAACAACAAGAAATTAACAAAATACCCAAGATATGTTTAGAGGGGCAAGGTGGATTGACCATTAATGACATATCTATTACTATCTCAATCTTATATTTTTAATTCATCTCACTTTAATTTAATAATGAACAAATTGAAAACTTACCGTGGAGTTGATCTGCCATCATCAGTTGTATTTGATTCAGCACACTTGTGGTATTTCCAATTTATGATGCCGAATATACCGTCATAGCGAAGACCCAATTCACATGTGTCTTCATCTGTATCAGGTGAACAATCAGCTTCTTCATTACATTGCTAGATGGAGATCATATTAAAGTATTATATTGAGTTTGTATTTTGTATGCATAGTAAAATGCTACATCATAAACGATGTTTAAATGTCTCATATTTGAACCCTATGACTTCATGATTGATAATGAACTGCTTTTCCAGTGCCTTATTCTAGAAATTAAAACACATCATGAATAATCCATACCAGAACTATCAGAATAACAAAGCAATGTTTTCTTTCTTGGGACTGAAGAACTTTGTTTGATCAATTGTGTGCCTCAAAACTATACTTAAAAGTGAAGTAATGATTTTTATTATGGCACTGGTGATACTCGAGTTTTGCTACTTACCGTAGATACTTGAAGAACAGAAATATTCATCACATAATTAATTTAGAATATTTATCTATTGAACATTTATCTGCAGATTCAATGATGTAGAATCTTTTTGAGTCAATACAAAATAGCTATATTACATAAACATCAAATAAATAATATTTCTGAATTGTGAAACAGTCATTTATAATCAAATATCAATGGACTAATTCTTCTACATTAAAAATACCTTTGCCAGATCATGGCATTGCTTAGACTGACTACACATGAATTCATCCTTTGTACATTTATCCTCTGGACTCTCTTCTTCGTAAGATTCAACCTCATACAGATTACGTCTAGGTTGTGGTAGCATTCGTCCCTGCAGAACCACTCTGCAACAAAACAGAGGTAGCCCATATTACTGCAATGTAAATTACCACTTTAAAATACCAATAAAAAAGTATGCTACATAAATATTGAATCCTTATTTAATAATATGAAAAACGTACAAATAATTTATACAAAGCAAATACAAATATAGTTCACCCTATCTAAGTAACACTTCATTTTCTAAGAATTAAGAAGGATCAGAAGATGTATTTTTATAAAGAAATCAGAGATGATTTTACTGTAGCACCTTGTAGCAAAACAAAACAATCGTATTTAGAATAACAAAACTGAAACAAATAATGAGTGTCAAACTTGAAACACAAAACTCATAGATATATATTTATTTCTTAACATACCTTCTGGTTTCAGCACAAAGTTCAGATTTACACCCTCTTAATTCTTCTGAGTTTCCTGGTGGACATGGCATATTACGACAAAGCCGAGTTCTGAACTCAACCCCAAATCCACAAGACACACTGCACTTGCTCCAGGGTGACCATTTCCCCCAACTAATATTACAACAAAAAGGGAATAATTAGGAAATGATAGGTAGATTGATTATACATATGATTCATATTTCCAAAGAAACAGAAAACAATCATCAGTTTTATGTAGTTGAGGAAGGATAGTATTTTAAATAATCAAATTTACATAACAACAAAGTATTTGGCAATATCATATTTGCAGATGTTGAAAAATACATGATATCCGATGCATAATTGGAGATAATGGCAGATAACATGCCACAGAGGTTATATGTCAGAAATAATTTTTAGAATTATTTATTATATACTATTGAATTCCCATAAAAAGGAAATTGTATTATGCTCTCTTATAGGAAAATAATCAGTCGATTTCTATTGCAACTGATTTAAATTTCTTATTCAGAATAGTAATATATGGTCATCCTGAGTGATATCTAAGCTTTTAAAGTCTTCTTATCTAAAATGTTATTCTGGGAGTATTTTCGATTATCAATTTATCATCTTGTGAAATCAAACATGATATCTAGATAAAGTGCTTATCCTAAAATGTTGTGACGGGTGTGTACCTTCCATATTCACAAACATTGCAAGTTCTTTGACACTGGCTACGTATAGTCGGCCAGTTGCATTGATTCATTGCTTTGTGTCTTGAACACACACCAACTCTTCGAATAGCATCATGACAAGTTGAGGGTAAACTATAAACATTTTCTAGTATGCTTCGACGAAATCTTTGCTTTTGATAAACTCCTGCTGGAAATTTTTAAATTAACAAGCAAAACATGCTGAGTTCAGAGAATAACTTTTTAAGATATAATACAAAAATAATATAAATAAAAATATACAAGTATAATATAAAACAACATGAATAAGTATTGTGCAGTTTTCACAGAACAATTACATTGCCACATGAATTGGTAGTTCATGATTGACAATAATTATGTCTCATATCAAGATATCATATCATACCAACAAATTGAGCGAATTGATAACACAGTCTCACCTTTATTCCCTTTCAGGACAGTTAAAATAACTTTCTATTTGTATTATTAAAGTATTCTGTATTATTCATATAAAGTCTATCACTAATAATCAAAAAAATATGTTAATACCAAAATATGATTCCACACTCAGTGAAAATTTCCTTTGTGGTCCTTTCAAGAATAGATTGAATGCTGATTCTTCAACAGTTCCTACATGTTTGAGTTCAAGTTTATCAACACAAAGAAAATTGGACGAATTTCCAAACTTATTTTGTTTGGTAACAACAAACTGATCACAACTTTCTTCTGAAGTTTCTCTGTAAAGAAAACTGAAAAAGTGAAAGCAAAGCGATTTCCTGAATGAACCTTCAGTCCGCAAAAACACATCATTGCACCAATTAGTTAATTAATTTGGTAATCAAATGGTTTTGACGCTACGTAATGAAAGTCAACATTTGTAAGTGAATAGGCGTAAACAGCACTCGTTTCAAACTTTTCCCAGGTTTTGCATCTTTCCGCCACCTTTGTGTGTGCTATTTATTTTTTGTTCCGGTTATAAAATATAGTGTAAATTATATAAAATTAAAAAATAGATTAATGGAAATGTGACACAGTTGACACGCAATTTGACAACAACCTATACTGGCCATCCCAGCTTTAAAATAAAACGAGTAATATTTCCTCGCTCAGCACCTGTTTTTAATATTGGTTTATATTCTGTAATACACAATGTTTGCAACTCTTGTGCTGGCATAAATTGCGTGAACCTATTTCAAGTTTCATTATTGATAATACGCATACACATTGTAAAAATAAAAAAAAACTTTAATTCTAATACTATCAAATGTTCATAAAATGGTTAAACACCAATAAACTCACTTTTGCTTGAACCACAATGTATATTTTAATTGATGTTCTGGTAAGGTGACAAATTTCCAATGTTTGTTGTGGAAACCATCATAGTTTCCTCGTGGATCGTCATCAGCAGTATAATTAAAACCTGGCTGAATAAAATTAATTTCAGGATATTCACAATATAGTCAATTGTAATATACTATTCGCAGCGATAGTGGATGAGAATAAAGAAACCCAAAAGTGGTATAAACCCAATCCAAGATATCTACAACTATTTCTATTCAGGGCATCTATGGTAATCATTTTCCTTCTATAAATCATGGAACTAGATGGACAAAACCTCGCCAAAGCTCAATCACTCAATAGCTTGTGATGTTGTCACGTCTACTCACCAATACCAGTATCGCATCTTCTTCATCAGAAAGTGAAATTCCTTCCACTGAAAACAAAGTAATGAATGTTTAACAAGTATATAATCTTACAACAGAACATTTCGAGCATTCATTGCAAACTTCAGCACATCCCATTATCATATGATTGATTCCATTAATTAGAATAGAAAAACAGTCTTTTGAATTGTCAGTATGATAAAGTAATGGTAATTTTGAAAAATTACTGTTCATTTATTATTTTATACTATGCTATATATGTTTCTAGCATTATGCCGGGGCGGAATACCTGCGTGGATGTGACCGACGCTTTGACGGTCGTTTAACGCTTATTTCAGATCATATGATTTGATCTGAACACTATTCGTTGTAACAAGATCATTGCGACTATTGAATTATCGGCCAATATCCTCACAAATTTCACTCATATTTGCGTTTTTTTTTGTTTATACTGAATTCATTGGCATGGCCTACGATTAACTTTTTTCATTAACGTCGCGCATAAGGCGTTATTGCGAACTGTCGATCATCGCTTCGAACATATATGTTGAAACATTTAGCCTTTCCTGATACTGTTATTAAATTATACATCACCATCTATAGATGATCGGGGTATGATGGTTCCAAATTCTCGTTTTCGCACGCCGTTCCGGACAAACTCGTTTCCGAAATATGGATTCGCTTTACTTTTTTCATTCGACGTATTTAGACGTCTTTAGCTCCGAACAAGGACATGCAAAGGCGGCCACTAATATTCAGAAAGCTGCTTTATTTAGGAAGGCCGGAATACTTCCGAATCGGCATTGCATACCTGGCTTATCATAACCTGAGTTTGTACATTTTGTATGTACGATGTGTATTTACGGTATAGTGAGAAAATAAAATACCGATAACTGGTCGGCATGGAATTCGATCTTTATAAGCGACGTCATCATAACTGAATCCCACGCTCCATTTATAAGCCATTGTACCAACACATATTTCATAGATGTCTCTTCCTTCGCACCAGCAAAGTTTTCTCGCGATATTTAGATTGGCGACCAGTTTTGATCACGGTTGAAGAACCCTCTTGTCACTGAACTAAATTTCTGTCTCGTGCAAACTCATTTAGTTAACCGCAGCGCAGCCGCTCCAATAAATAGATATTCTCCTTAGCCTTTAATTAATGTTTTTAGGGCTCGTGATATTGAGCAATCAAATATGAGACATATTTATCGGAAAGTTATCCCATTACTTTTCATATGCTAGCATGTTGCCTCATAGTCTACTATAAAATCGCTGAGCTCAAGATTTAGTTTGCAAACCATGCATAAATGCTAATATTTCGCTTTTCCATTGTGTATTTCGTGACGATGGGAATAGGTACACTCTTATTTACAGTGTCACAAAAAGCTCAATATGTTTTACGCTAGGCGTTTTTTTGTAGAATTTACCAATTCATAGCGTAGCAAGTACAAAAGAATAGATACTATGGATATTAACACTTTTAACCACGTATTATTAATTGCGCATTTTATTTGCCTGAAACAAGGTTGTTGCCCGATCCTATTTATCTACGATATTGATATATTTTTTATGCGAAGATGTTGATTGACGTATTTTCTGCTCTCATTGAAGAGTACGTTTAATAGTATTGAGAATATAAAGCGGGATGGCGACTTGCTTTCCTATAATAGCTGTTTCTCGCGCCAATCAGCGCTTCATGGGGCGAAATGTAGCCTGATAAATCGTAACTTTTTGTTTTAAAATAAGTTTATACTGTATACGCAGATAGGATATTGGTTAAGCATAAATGAAATATTACAACATAAAAGGACACTTCAGACAATCACTGATAAAATTTTATTGCTCTATCGACAATTCGAAAGTTGACTTTGATTATACGGATGGGAGTCCGTCAGCTCAGAGTGCTGAGAAAGGAACAAAAGAGTTTAAAACATTTTCCATCCGCGGTCGTAATCGCTTGAAAGGTTATCCCACTGCAGTAAACGGGCCAGACTTTGTATATATGAGCTTAATATATATATGTCATCTATATTTTCATATATTTCCAGACAAACAATCGTATATATTGCCACCAATTTTGCCATTCGTACTTTTGTTGTTTTCAATTCCTCGGACAAAATAAGTCTCAGTTCAATAATAATTTAATGTTTGTTTTGCTCAATCATAATATCCCGATGATAGTCCAAGATATTGAATATTTATTGCAGCATTGTGAACAACGCCTGGATTGCCATCAATATCATATTTCATTAATTAGCTGTATTATTGCATGAAGAATTTGAAATGTGGGAGGTTTTTGTCTCGCTTTGTATGTTCCGTATTTCGTCGGTCCTCGATCTCTCGTAAACAACTTTAGGTGAGGTAATTCCAAATGTCAGCAAAAAAAAAATTTTCAAAATTTAAGTATTGAATGTTTTTGTTATCGATCTACAAAAATTCGTACCTGGAGATAAAAGCGCAAACATCAGGAGCAGAGCTTTCGAAGTCAACAATAGCAGGTACATCCCTCGCCATAAATTTCGTTCAATAAATATGGAAGTTCAGAAATAGATCATAACGTAGGCAGAGAAGATATAAAACTTTCCTCCTTCATTTTCAAACACTACAGACCTTCAAAAGACATAGTACGCAAAGAGCATTAGAAACGCAGGTAGAATAAAATTGAAAATGTTAGACACCGATACAAAGCAACACATCATTTGTTTTTATCCAGTTGTGAGGAGTTTCTCCGCGAACGACTGAGATGTATAACACGCGATGTCTACATATTTAGAGATACACACCAACTACTGAAACATGACAACAATATGACGTGTAACTCAAAAATGACATTCTTGTAGTCTAAAAATAAGACCAAAACCAGGAAGTCACATAAACTTGGATCAGTCATTGATCTGCACAAAAATAAAATATTACGTGAGCTGGTAATATAATAACAAATGAAATTCTTCCACGAAGTTTTAAAATTATTACAATTTAGCCAGTCTGAGCAAGAAATTTGAACAGAAACGCGATGCCTATAATAAGCAGGATGGGATTTCTAAGGCAATATATCCAAATATATTCTATCTCGCACAAAGATTACGGTAGGCGCGCACAGGTTGGAACCCCGATGTTGCGGTTATCGAGTATACGTCGCGCTTGAAACTGAACTAAATCTAACTTATCGATGTCAAACAAACTTATGGGGTTAATGATATATCGTGGGTCGCCATAATGTTTTACTTGAATAAATATTTTGAGGTATTTTTTGTATTTTAATTCAAGAGTTCGAGCCTTATGAATCGCAAAGCCGTATTGGATTTGCAGATAAAAATTGTACATACATAAAAAGGTTTATTTGCGTTTGTCACATGTGTGAATCTGGAATTTTATGCAAGGAACACAATGTCAAACTGGCAACAATCTAACGTAAACAAGAATTTCACACCGGTATTACTTATCAATGACGTCACAAAGTTGTTCTATATGCGTCGATAGACCAACATATCTTGAAAGGCGAACGTAAGTCTATTATCTCCTTGTTCTTATTGGACACGTAGTGGACATAACGATCGTTTCAATATTATGTTGTTGTTGTTCTTGTTATCCTTGTTGTTGTTCTTGTTCTTTGACACGTTTTTAAAAAGTCGCTTTTCTCTTCGAATACTGGACCAATTGCTTTGAAATTTTCAGTGGTTGAAGATAAAATTTTTCTCCAGAAGGCTATTACTTTTTTTTTTCGCTATGACGTCATCAAAATTATTGCCATTGGGTGGCGCTACGTGTCCATATATTTGAGCATAGCTCTCTTGTATTTTATATGGGTTACAGCTTTAGAGGAAGCGATGGTTTCGCTCAATTTTTTTCAACCTATTCAAAATGTTAAGAAATTTTACAAATATGGCATTATATGAAAGTTTCTCTAAATTACCTAATGTGATGTCATTATAATACCAACATTATTTCTTATTAAAACATAGGAGTGCCATGCTTCCCTCGGTATAATTTGCTTTCTTCAAAATCACGGCGCAAGTGGGACTAACGCATATTTCACTGACGTTTATCATTTGGATGATTTTTGAAGATTAATTTTAAAAATGCTAAATTTTTAGAATACAGCCTGAATTCAGTTAGACTACGGTGCCTTCCTCATTAAATTTTGAATGAATACTTGTTAAGGACGCGCCGTAATAGAAAAAAATATGTTTTGTTAGATAGTGGTACATTCAGTTATATTTACTTATTACATAAATTAATGTTTGTTTCTTTTAAATGATGCATCTATTCAATGTGTTTTCTACTAGCTTTCATTCTTCAAGTTCAATATTGTTATTTAATCTTAATTTAGCTAAAGTTTTTCCAAATTTTAAGAAAGTTAACGATAATCTGATGTTATACTAAATAGAATCAGATTCGGAAATCTTCGAATCAGAACATTCCGACTCGGAATTCGAAAATAAAATATCCCAAACTTACACCCCTATTGGCACCCGAATATTGTTTATTAAGACGGTAAATGCTATTTTCGGCTGGCCACTGTACTGCTTCGTCGTCTTAATTAAAGTTGACCATTTCATTGACATATTTTGCCATGTCAATATCTTGATTTGGATTACCCCAATATATAAAGTTGAAAGTCTATAACTTTTTTCAACCTAATATGTGGGAGAATGACGGTGTATTCAAAATGTCGTGTACCACGTGTCCCACTTGTACCACGTTTCCCACTTGACAAGTGGGACACGACATTTTGGAGACACCCGCGTAGTTTTTGTCGGTTGTATATGTATTGTATAATATATATTTGTTTTGTTATTGGTCTGTCGGCGTTGGTTAGATGCCAGACACTTGTTGACAACAGATAAGGATAGGATAGAATTTACATATTTATCCCGGGGGAGAGGAAAGCCGATAAGACGGCTTATCCATATGGCGAACCACGGCCTCTCGTCCGGTTACCATTCCAAGTCGGGTATGGGATTAGTTTTTTACTGTATTTTTTTTTTTTTTTTGGAAGCATGGACTTGGTGGTGGAGGAAGCCGTAACCGACCAGCGGTTACGTGAACCACCCAGCGACGGCGAGGAGTCCAGCAATCCTCTCGCACATAACCATCCCTGCATGGGATTCGAACCTGCGAACCCACGCAGAGTAATTAGAGGTGCGGTGGCGAGCGTATTCCTAACGCTTAGCCCGTTGAGCCACACCGCCGCGCCAGATCCTGGTTTTCAGTGTTGGGAATACTGGCAGTATGGAACAACTTTCCAATTTCGAGAAGCTCGCTACTAGACTTGGTATTTATAGTTTATTTATACCAGTGGTCGGCAACCTTCTTCAAGTGACGGACCGGTGAAGCCTGACCATAATTTTGGCGGACCACTTTTATACGAACAAACATAGATACAGTTAAATGCATATTACGAGTAAGAAAATTCATTTGGCATATTCGAAAACAAAAGTGATGCTATATTTAATCGAGATCTGCATTTGTTTGCTGCCCATTGACTGTTCCCCATTGGAAGACATGGTCGATAGTGATACACGTAACATGTTACAGTGGCGTAGCAAGACTCTCGTGGGCCCCCCCGCAAAAATATTTTGTGAAAATGACCATAAAAACTCTCGGACATAAGCTAAAACAACGCTTTTTTTATTTCGTCAAAAAGCATAACATGTCGCTATAAAAAGGCAATGGTAACCTAAAATTTGCCGTTTATCTTGGTTACTTTAATTTTTTCACATGTTCTTCCTCTTCTGCCCCTTTTCTGCGTTTCTGTGCGCCACTGAGAGGTTTTGCTTTCGACATCATTCTGACAGCCTTCGTAATTTTGTCGGTGCGATCAAACCACAAGACGCCGAAAATCGACGACTCCTTGGCATTGTTACGTAACAAAACAATTTGAGCAGACCTAACATCAACGTTACAAGATGTGCATTACTTGTTTTGCACTGCAGCTTTTGGTTTGCGGCTTAAATTTCTAAATTCTAACCGCTTGGGCCCCTTTGCGCTGTGGGCCCTCCCGCGACCGCGGGGGTGGATGCTACGCCACTGGTTGCTTACGTCCTGCCTATTTCGGTGTTGACAAGACCATCCCATCGTTCAAAGAAGTTTCTAAGGATTCATTGCTTCATTTGAGAGCTTAGTATGACAAAGATCGCAAACTGGACAAATTTCGTTGCTGTCACGTACGGTTACAAATCCAACAGTCACGTTGTTAGCGAGAATCATCATTTTGTTTAAGCGTATATATTTACGGTTTAAGACATCTTATTTAGACTGATGTGAAACTTTTTCACGCAGAGGCAAAATTGATGCAGCATTATTGCGGCATATTGACGTAAAAATTATTTACGAAGTCAGACATGCTGCTCAGATGCATTGTATTTGTCTGTTTTGCTATTGGGTGATGTTTTTTTTTAGCTGTGGTTGTTAAATTGTTGAGGTGTTATTTGAGCCTTGTTCGTTTTTGTGTCAACCTTCTGCGGACTGGTAGTAACCTTTCCGCGGCCCGGTGGTTGCCGATCACTGGTTTATACGGTCCATCTGCTAAACCGGACCTCACCCGGTGAATAACATAAATAACTATCTGTCGCGATCTCCTCAATTTGGATGCGATGCATATTAGAACTGGCAATTGTCTTACATCGGCAAAATACCATCGGTGAAGTAGCAAATCAAAAAGTCTAACTAACAGTTGGAAAAATTGTTATTTTCATATTACAGTAGTTTGAAGTAAATTATTTCATTTACAATTAGATACATAGTTTATTTTTGTTAATTCATGTTAATGCAACTCACGTAAGGAAATATTAACATTTTTTTTAAATGATTGAACCTTTTGCTAGTGAGTTCGATACAAAAGAGAATCCGTCTGACTCCCAGCGTTAGTTATACCCAACCGCGCGCGTCGAAAAACTAGGTTTAAAAAGCCCCAAAAAAATTCTTTTTTGTTTTGATATCCCAGCCCTATATTTGTAAATTGAATAACCAAACACCAGCGATTTTATGAAAATTATCACTTTTAGAATTAAGGCGGAAGCAAGCTTTCTGCACCGTGTTTGCATCAAATGGCATACCCAATTTTACTATGATATTCAAGACCTCAGCGTGTACTTCAAATCAGAATATATATAATAAATAAGATGTTCGAATGAATCTTTGGGTAGAATTTGTTCACGAAAAACGAATCAAAAATTAATTATAATCGCGCAGTTTACCACACATTTTGTGTAAATTGCAGCGGTATTTTACAATAGTAATGCTAAGGTAAGTCGAGGCGCCAATGAGTTACGTTGAACAAAATTAAATTCCTGTACGTTACGGCATTTTAAATGCTGGTATCGGTCATGGATTTGAATATTTTACGCGATAGAAAATCATCCTAGCAAAAGCCGATACTTCTAACTATTATTATCCAACTTTTTTGGGGTCATGGTAACAATAACGGCTTAACATAATTTTCACTTTTTGGACGTAATGGAAATGAATGCATAAAAAAGAAGACATGCAAGGGAATGTCCGCAATGCCCATCACGCAACCGTGCAAATTTTCCCAACCAAATGCGGGGCACACTCGCACAGAAGATAACAAACAATCAAAGTGCCGATTATATTTCATCGACATTATAATACGTGAAAACGCGCAGAAAATCCGTTGAAGATTTCCGTCGAAACACCTAGCTGACAACGAAAAGTTACTATCATTCGGAGTTATTCGAAAATTTACCGAAAATATATTCGATTCGTTTTGGACAATACCGCCTCGATTTATTTTAGCATCTAAAAAAACGATATTAAAGGTGGTCCCGCAAAGTAACACTCTCCTTGAAAGTGGGCCGCGATATAAAAAAGGTTGAGAAGCGCTGAAATTTTGTGCACGATATTCGATATTCTTATACACACTAACAACGATATTCAAATGTCGTGATATTCGAATATTAAAATCGAATTGGACATCTCCGGTGTCAATATATTTGGGCATTGCTCTCTTGTTTGTGTTATTCTATTACAATTACGGGATGGTTATTATAGTTGGTGTTAAAGTTATTTCTGTTTTACTGCGCTCCTTCCGCTGTTCTTGTAATAAATTTATTTGATGTATGTTAGATAAGTTCTGCTATCTATTCTAGATGCCTGCGATGGATTAAGATCAGTAGAGGCTCGTTTCTCTTCTCATGTAACGCGACGGTGGCTATGTTTTCCAGGGAACGAGGATCAAAAACCAAACGAAGTTCCAAGGTCTTCTGTCAAATGCTTTTCTGATTTTGTTATCAGTTATTATTTATGTCTTTTTTTATCGCCTTTATGCTGACTATGGCATGGAGTCGAACCAAATAGACAAAACGTTTATTTCGTCGTGCAAGAAATAGCAACAAAAATTTACAACAGATAAAAAATTATGCATTACAGTAACGGATTTCATTGCAATTGACAGAAAGTCGCGAAGGACCAGAAATGGTCATCATAAGTCAGCGACACCTAGATTTAAGACGAGTCAAAAGTAAAAATTGCAATAAAAGGAAGCAATGGATAATAAGAGAAATTTAGTCATACAAAAAAACAGGGAATGATATATATAAATCTTCATATACGGTAGCATTTGTGAGAAAGAAAACAAAATTTAATTCGGGAAAATTCATTTAGTACATTTAAGTTTTAAAATTAGTTCACCACATTATATGATTTACACCTGAATGACATTACCTACGACCGAGCGCATCCAAACTTATAAAATCAAATAGCCAGGCAATTAAGAATGTTATCATCGTGGACCGTGGTCGTTGAACAGAAACATGCTCCCTGTGCCCTACCCATTGCCGAGCTAACCACAGGCGGCTTGAAAAGATTAGTAATTAAACCAGTGTATTACAACCCCTAGGCCACGGACCCAAATGAGTCTGTAGACATATTGGATACATTGATCATTTTTTATAAAAATAAACAATAATATTAAAAGTAATTAATATAAATAACAGCAATAAGAATCGCATTTCTCTTAATTTCCATCGTATCAGTTTGCAAAACCTCCATCATTTGTTTACAACAATTGACCTTCTTGAGTGCGCGCTGCTATTGTGCAATAACATAGGTTTATTCATGTACGTTTTACTGATCATCCCAATTTATCTCACATTATTATGTCCGCAGATTGCCGTGATATTTTATTGTAATGGTTTTATTTTGTCGTAAGTCGACGCAACCGCGAATTACGTTGAGTACAATTAAATTATTGAAGAACGACATTTTGAATTCTGGTAGTTGTCATGAATTGAATATCACGCGACAGAAAAAGTCATTGAACGCCGAAAACGTTTGATTGCAGCGACCGTTTCAGAAGCCATTGCATGGGAATTCCCGATTCCAGCATCTTGTGTGTCAGAGCACCAAACTGTAGTGAACCTTGAACTCCAGAAAGTTGATAATTGGCTCAGAGCAAATAAATTATCCCCGAATTATTCCAAAACAAAATCTATGTTGTTCTATATATAATATAAAACACCTTGTTACCAATTTTAGAGTAGGCGTTGGCAATAATACAATTTAACAAACTAAAATCATTAAATATTTGAGAGTCACAATTAATTGGGAAATGAGTTGGAAACCACACACAGCCCAGTTATTCAAGAAATTATCGCAAACTCTTGGAATATTTTACAGATTAAGGCACTCCAAAACACTTAATTAGTATATATATTTCAGTTTATTTTACTCTCGTTTACAATATGGCATACTTAGTTGGGGTTCAGCATCAAGGTCTCCCTTACAGTCAATACAAATTCTGCACGAGTTTTAGGATGAATGGCATTCGCAGAGAAAAGTCGTGTAACTAATTTGCAGCTTAACTATCAGTATGAAATCCTACAGCTGTCGGATATAGTGCTTAGTCTTTAAGGACTATTTCACCCCATTACAAAAAGCACCGTACAAGGTCTCAAATAAACGAAGATTATTTTACTCCGCAAGTGTCCACTGAGGTGAAAGAACGTCTTTGAAGTATATGAGTGTATAGGCTTGGGGCAATGTTCCATCTGAAACCCAATAAAGTTCTCCGCATGTTTTCAATAGGAAACTGAAATTTTTTTTCCACTGAAAAAGGCCTACCCAAATTTGTCTACTTAATTAATACTTTAATTATATTAATATGCTTTTATAGTAAATGTGCCGAACATTGTATTATAATACTATAAATTCAACTGCTTCGCATATTAAAACTGTATATTGAACGTCTTAATCCTCTTCCAACTTTTGTTATAAGTATAATTGAATGTTTTTTTTTTCGTCTTTTTTGACACATAACGATGTTTATTATTATTGTTTAATTCGAAAGCCATTGATAATAATACCTCCTATCTTTTTAATATTGGTAATCTGATTGCCTCGTTATTTTTCTCTTATATTTGAGTCGGTAGCTACTTGTCCAACAATATTTAATTCCAAAAACTAAATTAACAACCTATTATAAATATTTGTAAAATTTGAACTAAGCTCTTGATAATTGTCGAGACTCCAAAACTTCACGTGCCCAATTAACATCACGACTTGCATTATTAACTTTAATATATTTTATTGCTGCCTCAGTATATATTTACGCTACTATTTAGATGTACTGGTATAAGCGTTGGATTTCACTTTAGCGCCACTGGTGCACATCTGGGGACAATGAATGAATCAATGAATGAATCTGAGGACGCTCGTTGTTGCCAGTTTATTATATTTTATCTTTTGTTAAAATCAACCAAATAAGAAATATTAGTTAAGTATGAATTGTGTATATTAAAGTTACATTTAGAATTGTGACATTAATAATATTGAATTTCAAAGAACTGAGGAAATAGATAAATTATATATTTTCATTGATCTCTTTGATCATAATATGTATTCGAAGTTGGCAACATTATGTATCAATATTATTTTCGTTTTTCCCGCGTTACGATTTCCCGTTTAGAGATTCCGCTCTGGCGACAGTCCAGTCAGCTGTGCTTATTCCGCCGCTTTCCTTTCCAGTTTATTTTAAAGTTGTTGTTCTCATTTCACAAGCCTTGATATTGAAACGACGCATGCAATTGAACGATGGCTAAAGTTCAAATTGTGAACGTGGAGGTATTAGATAATCCATCGTTGTTTTTCAATCCTTTCCAATTTCAAATAACTTTCGATTGCATTGAAAATCTTTCTGATGGTGAGTATAAAACGTAGGTCTAATGTTTGATATTACTGTACCATGTACAGATGGATGACAATATTATTATTGCAAATGGCTGTATGATCTCGCTCTACTGCCAAATTGTCAATAACATATGGCTGTATGGTATCAGTCGATGGTTGGCAAGTTAGCGCACCTTGCAACCCTCAGACAATGTTTAACTCAAAATTTTGTGCATGCAGTTCGGGGATTGCTGAACTCGTTTTGTCATGGCTTTTGCAGGGTAGTAGGATAAGTTTTAAAAGACTCCTAGTGCAATAAGTCACTAGCACTACGGTACTATACAAATATTTTCTGCTTTCTATCACTGTTTGATGGTTTTGAAATTACCTGTTACGTCTGAACATATACTGCAGTACTGGCAGACTGGTATAAGAGGATAAGCTCCAACAAAAAAGTAGCCGGGAATTATTAAACAGGCTGCTCGGAGTGAAAGCTTCCTGATATATTTTCTTAATATTTCTATTCATAGATTTGGAGTGGAAAATCATATATGTGGGATCTGCTGAAAGTGAACAACATGACCAAGAGTTGGATTCTGTGCTAGTTGGTCCAGTCCCTAGCGGACGGCATAAGTTTGTTTTCCAGGTTTGCTATATATGTTATATACTAATATGATCGCTAGGTGAAATTAAAACATCCATCCACTAAAGAACATTGCCACATGTGAAATGTCAATTTGAGCTAGTTTATAGAACTATTAAAATGTCACTTACTACTATTATATGGTTACTGAATTAGGGAGCTACCTTTTGCTAACATTAACTAATTTTTACCAGGCCGATCCTCCAAAAACTGAATTGATACCAGTGCAGGATGCTGTGGGTGTGACGGTTGTAATAATAACTTGTACTTATCACAGTAAGGAATTTATTCGAGTTGGTTACTATGTAAACAATGAATATGATGACTTGGAGCTCCGAGAAAATCCCCCTGAGAGCCCAGACTTTAGCAAGGTAAGATTTCATCAACGGTCGTTGACGACATTCTGAGCATTGTTCTAAATGTTTCTCACTGTATATTCGAACAACGCTAATGAGTAATATGCCATATTTCAATAGTAATAAATATATATATTTTTTTCGCCAGCTCACAAGGAATATACTAGACAGCAAGCCCAGAGTAACAAGATTTAAAATAAACTGGGACAATAATGATGAAGAACTTGTCGCTGATGAGAATATTCCTCCAGATACAGACTTCGCTAACAGTTTAAATCACGATAATTCATCTGCATTATCGAGCTGCAATTCCAAAGCACCATTCGGACAGATATCAGGCAATGTGGCTGGCGAAGTTACGAGTAATGACAAATTTTGTAATCCCCCGTATGAAAATAGTACGGACTCCATGGACATGCGGATGTTTGTAGAATGAATCAAGTATATTGCACATTATTCCTTTCAATCGGGAGGTCGCTGCATGAAGAATCTAGATGGAGGATCATTTTGCGACCGCATGGACAAGAATGTGATGAATGTAGTCAAACTCGTATGTCCTGTCAATTTCTATGTCCGTTATCCGCAAGCCCGACACACCCTGTATAATAATTAGTTTTTGATATATTAACGATTTTCTATTTTTCTTTTGAAAGCACAAGATACTGTTGTAATAAAGTTACCATTCATTAGTCGCTCTGCTATTTCGTAACAGGACTTGTGTATTGGCAGTAATTGCAAAGTTTATTATTTACTGTTGCACATACCAGTAATCCTGGTGTTATAGGAAGTAGATCAAAATCGACCGAGGTCGAACACTTTGGTTCCAACTTCCTCAAATTAAATCCAGATATTCCCTTCCACAAAATATTTGTTTGATTCTTAAACGATACTGATAAATTTTTTGGTCTTTCACTGGGAATAGAAGTAAAACATCAGATATAAAAACTAGCTCAGGAGGCTATTATCCTCAGTAGTAACAAATTTTGATATTACTGACTATATCATTGCGACAAATGATGAAAAGTTCGTTATTGAAGTCAATTTTCACTGAACAACAACGGTGTTTTTGAAATTGGATATAAAGAACCAAAGAATGCAATTTTGACTTAGGATCTGTAATACCTCTTGGTGGTTCATCTATGACTATATGTGATGATCATATTGAAAATTAACATAACATACGGTAAATATGTCCAGTCGTGTGTAATTTTATAATAACAATTACAACATCAACTTACCTGCAATTAGTTACTTGACATGACATTTTGAATGAATCCATTGCCACAACTTCGCTTGGCACACTCTTCACATCTATCCTTATGTCAGAGTGGCTAATAGGCTGAAATAAAATCAGCATGTGAAGAATGAGACATATGTTATTTTACACCAAAACAGGAGGCTCCTTTTCTGAACTTGTTGTACCGTGGATTTGATCAAATATATCTCTTTTTTATTATTAATATTTAAAATTGAGGAAATAGCTAGGAGTTGTGAAAGATGGTGCATCGACCAGCACAGCTTAAAGAAAACTGCTCTTGGTCCTCCTAACCATGTATTATCGACTGAGCATTCTCACTTTCTAATTATTCATAAAACTTCCTACATTTGTTTTGTACATGTTCAACAAATCTCACCGGTCTTTGAAGTTGACTAGTTTGAAGTCTTCCTCTTTCGCCAAGTGCAGTCTTCCATACAATGTCAAGCTTGCCAATCGCTGATGGTGCCTTGTCAAAAGCTTTGGATATGCTACCAGGTTTCATAATGAGTTGATATAAATATTGCCTTGTGTCCTTCGGCTTGAGGTATGGTTGACTCTCATAGGTGCTGAAATATATGATAATTGCCATGTTGCAAGGGATTTTTAGAAGCGAGGTGATTAATTCAACTCTTCATAAGTATTCAATAATGAAAATATTGGGATTGAGGAAAAAACTTTTACCGAACCCTATAAAACACAGGGAACCATGACATGTTTTATGTTCCCCAGCTGAAAAGCACTGTGATATACATAATTTACATATCACATCAAATAAGCCCAGAAAGTTGTTGGCACAGAAAAAAAAATCTTACCTTTGATCGTCAATGGTGTTGAGAGGCATTGTAGTATAAAGAGATGATGGTTCAAAACTAACTTTCTCAATACACATTGCACTGTTTGTAATGTTCTGGATTTGAGCTTCAAGGAAAACTTCATGAGGCTAGCAATAAAATTTCAATAACAATATCATTTTTAATCTTGGTGAATTTTCTGTAATAGCTCAAATTCTTTTTATAGTACCAATGGAAGTTTTGGACATAATTAATCACTTTTAATTGAACAATATACACATCACTTCTGCTATATTTTTGTGAAACTAATATAAAAATATTATATTCAAACCTCAGTATTATAAAATTTTGTTTTGACATCCAATGGCTTCAATACTTGAAACTTGAAGAATTTTCGGAAAAAATTTTGCACACCTGCATTTTTATATGAAACACTGCAAACCAATCTGAAATAAATAGGATTTCATAATTCATCAGAATCAAATGATGTGTTTCGTTTAAATTCTTTTTCCATCTCTGTATATATTTCCTTTTTTGTACAAAAAAACAATCAACTATAGTACCAGAATCTCAGCAAATCCGTGAAATAAACTAAGTGTGTGTGGTATTTCAATATAGGGAATTAAATTCACAAAATTCCAGTACATGTGAGTTCCAAGCTCCTTTACTTCATGTCTCATGACATCATCAATGGAATTTTCAGGCGATAAAACGTCTCGTGAGGCAGGCTGCGTTAAGCTTATTCTCTGCGAGCCAGTTTGCAGATCTGCCTATAAAAAAACAACGATCAATTTGAATATTATCACAATTCAAATATTACTGAACAATGAACATCTTCGGAAAAATTCAAAACTATTGCCTTGAATTTTTGTAGTAAAGGGAGTACTTTAATTGAGGCAATATTATAATTCAGGTGAATTTTTTTGCTGCATACAATTCTCAAGGCAGATGGTTACTCCCTTTATTAATATATGAAGCCCTTAGGGTTATAAATGTATAATATATAAAAAACCTTGACAACGACATCTGTTGCTTCCTGTGTACTATCATTATGTACACTGATGTAACTGACGAATGTTTCACCCAGAAAAATATTTCCAAAGCTTTGTGGAAGTGACAACAGTTGTTCTGAAACAAAATTGCACTTGATGTGAATAATAAGCAAATGCACATCTACACAATGAGCCACTGACTGCCAAGAGTAAATAATATTGTTGACTGGCCTTTAAACAATGTACTATGCAACAAGAAAGATATTCCAGGGAGGAAGAAATAAATTTGCATAGAATATCAAATCAAGCATGCTTACCTGTGCATAATCCAGATCCCAAATCTCCAATCTTGTTTGATGAATTTGTATCTTCAACATGTGATAGTGAGATAGGCATCAACATTGAAGGTTTTGTCAACCTCATAACTGAAACATAACAAAATTTGACACATGATGAATTTCATAACAATAAATGAAAAATAGATAATAAAATGTAGCCACCTGAATTGGCTACTTTTTCTCAACTGTAAAGCCAACCCATGAGTGCCGCAAAACATGTCACATATTAGTTACTTAGAGATAATGAAGCTGAATACCTCGTCCAAAAGAAACAAATTTTGCACACAATACCAGAATATTATAAGTTTATACACGGCAAGTAAAAAAAGATCAGAAACCCTCTAGCTGGTTAAATTTCAAGAGATTGTGAGATTACACAGCTTATTTCTGTAGTTGGAGAAGCATTGAAAATTTTGTATTGATTGAAGGATTAAAGAAAGAATGCTTATATAGCTGTACAACTGGCGGCGGTGTGGCTCAACGGGCTAAGCGCTAGGAATCACTCGCCACCGCACCTCTAATTACAGAATTACTCTGCGTGGGTTCGCAGGTTCGAATCCCATGCGGGGATGTTTATGTGCGAGAGGATTGCTGGACTCCTCGCCGTCGTTGGGTGGTTCACATAACCGCTGGTCGGTTACGGCTACCTCCACCAGCAAGTCCAAAAACGAACAATATAACTAATCCCATACCAGACTTGGAATGGTAACCGGACGAGAGGCCATGGTTCGCCATATGGATAAGCCGTCTTATCGGCGTTCCTCTTCCCCGAGATAAATATGTAAACCCTAACTGTATATTGGGTAACACTTTCGCTGTTGGATGTTTATGAGACTGCTAGTCATGTTTGGCTGTACAGGTAAACTCGAGTATGATTAGATCACATATTGCTGTATTGGTTGACTTATGTACCAAATTATCCCCTGCACGGGATTCGAAACTGTAAACTCATGCATGATAATCTGAGGTGTAGTGGCAAAAAGTGTTGCGGTGCACCACACCGCTGTTCGAGTCAGCAAGTAGACTAGACAAGTTCTACTGCAGTACTGTGTTTCTTATCCTCCTTGCCGAGGCAACAACAATGCCCTTCTGTCAGTGGAAAGTAACGTGTAACAGTATCTAAACATTTTTGACTACCGATTCATAAAACCAGAAAAGTTCAGTCAACATTACCTCTCAGTGCCAGAATGTGTTCTTTATCCATTGCAACTTATCTGAGATAGGCTATCTCCCATCGGCTAAACGATCTGATTCCAAGTTTGCTACCAAACTGCACACCTTAGAATGAATCAGAGATGGAATTTACAACAGCCAATATGCTGATAAAACACTCAATTTTTTTTTTTTTTATAGATAAAATAATAATATAAATCATAACATACAGATGAGACAGTATAAATTCCATAACAAATATTGATCATTTGTATCCATATTGTAGCATATCCATTGTAAATCCCATTTGTTGTCATCATCAATTATATGTTCCATGATGCCATTTACCATTATTTTAATTAATGCATGAAAAAGAAAATCTTAAGAATTAGTTCCACTTCATTACGATAAACACTTCTAGTCATATTTATATATATTTGCATAATAAATCAAGTTCTTCACAATACTGCAATAATTAGGTAAATTTCTCAGTCCTGCAGTCGTTCTATATTTCTCCTACACTTTATTGAATTTCTTATATTATTGACTACATTATTCACTCTTGGCATTACATTTTCAAAAATCACTCAATTTAACATTCACTCTATTTTATTATTATATAAAACACTCAATTTAACAGAAAGTTGGACTGCTTGGGCCTTCGACATCGATAGTTGGACGCGGCGGTGTGGCTCAACGGGCTAAGCGTTAGGAATACGCTCGCCACCGCACCTCTAATCACTCTGCGTGGGTTCGCAGGTTCGAATCCCATGCAGGGATGGTTATGTGCGAGAGGATTGCTGGACTCCTCGCCGTCGTTGGGTGGTTCACGTAACCGCTGGTCGGTTACGGCTTCCTCCACCACTAAGTCCATGCTTCCGAAAAACAAACAATACAGTAAAAACTAATCCCATACCCGACTTGGAATGGTAACCGGACGAGAGGCCGTGGTTCGCCATATGGATAAGCCGACTTATCGGCTTTCCTCTCCCCCGGGATAAATATGTAAATCCTATCCTATCCTATCCTAACAATCATCTATGGCCACTAGCTAGCAGAATTTAGTGACGATAAAATTGTAGGTGCCGCGAGTCTTGTTATACGGTGTCATCAAACGGAAATTTCGGTGAGTGAATATCTAATGATTTTTTTTTGGCAAAACTTTCCAACCTAAATTTTGTACATTTAAATCTTTTTTTCCTCTCCTAATTCTATGAACAATTTTTATTTATTAGTTTTTATTAATTATTTTATCATATGTTAGTCGTTGTCTGTTATGCTGATTATAGAGTCGAAATAAACCTATACTTATTATCAGAAGTCTTTCGCTTTCAAAAACGGGGTTGATTGAAATCATAATAAAAATGTAGTGAGGCACAAATAAAAATCAGTAGAACATCATATTGTTTTCACGAGTAATCTATATAAGTTAGGCGTTGGGGATATGTTCACCACCGCGTGGGTACGAATCCCGCGGAGGATAATTATGTGCGAGAGGATTGCTAGTTCACGTAACCTTCCTACAACTCCCTCCGCCATCAAGTTCATGCATTTGCAACAAATATATGACTAACCAATTCCATACTCGACATAGACTGGTAACCAGACAAGAGGCAGTGATTCGCCATATGATTCAGCCGTCTTTAATATGTAAATACTATCCTATCCTACTAGGGTGGAATCCAGATGAAATCAATTAACAGCATATTCACATGTGCGAAAAAAGTAACGAACATGACAGTCAAGAAAGTAGCTTGATTAAAAATCTGAGCAAGTGATTTTCATTATTAAAATTCCTGTTAGAACAAGAGTCCAATTTATCTAATAGGGAATTAAATATTGACGCGAGACTTGAAGCAGTTTATTGTATGTTTTTAAGTTTGTATGTTGGTTTGATGACAGCATATTTGCACCCGTAAACTGCACCCATGACGCACCTGTATTTATATATATTTGCATCTATGAATATTTGCACCCACGTACAATTGCACTAGCGAACATTAGCACCCTCGAACAATTTCATTCATGGACATTTCCACGCATAGACATTTGTAATTGTATCCATGTATAGTTGCACCTGTGCTCATTTTCACCTTTGGATATTTGCACCCGCAGCCATTTTCACGCGCGATTATTCTTGTTTTAGGCAAAGTTATATTTTCTCATTATTAAATATATTTATTAGGAATTAAGACAGATTACATATTGTAATTGCACTCATGGCTACTTTCACAATCTTTTTTCACTGTCACCACGCGTTATAATTCTATCGATACTAAAATATATTGACACGAAAGCAAAAAACGTAATACGGGTATGCAATCTGCCACAATAGATTACGCCACTACGGTACCTGACCACTAAAGAGAAAGCGGATCCGTCACGAGGCAATTTTAAATCCCATAGAGCGCACAGTGAATTTAGGACTAAATAAAAGTAAAAGCCTTCTAGAAAAACATACAACCTTTAACCACCAAAAATTTCAAAAGCACATGGCCCGTAAATGAGAAAAGCGATACTTGCATTTGTCATTTCCTACCCCCCTTGCCTACGTCATTCAAAGAAATATGTCACCGCGACCTCAAAACCACGTCAATACGAGAAGGATATCTTGCTGGCTAGTGAGTTCATTGTCGCAGACGCCAGTGAGCGCGATCGTCGCTATACTTTGACAAGCTCTATTACGTGATTGTGACGTACACATTGTCAAAAAACGGACGGCTTATCGAGTGAACCTATTAAACAAACATCCGGCGTTTTTCTTATCATTTGAAATGAATAATTTTATTATCACCAAAAAAGGAACTTTGCCTCGAATTTCAGTTATTAAAATTTATAAAGTATTTGGTTTTTACAGCAAAAAGCTCAACGTACTTGAATTGTATTTTCTATATACCAATTGTCTTTTAAACTGTCAACTGATCAGTGTTGAAGAGACCCAAGTCAGTGAGTCATTCACGGTTGCCTATGAAAGCCACTATAATTTGTTAACTCGAAAGAGCAGCGATTCGGTATGAGGCTCAGGAGTCTATTTAGTGAATAGACTTGATGTAAAACTGAATTTTTAAAACTTGTTGGGACTCTGACCTCACTCGGAACTCCAATGGCCCTTGAGTGGCGAAACACGACTCGGAGATTGTGGACTTGTACCGGACACTGGAATTAACTCAAGCTTAACTAAACGTTGGGACCCATTTGATTTCAGCAATAATTTAACTACCATGAACAAATTTTATTGTATATCATTTTAATTTTAATCGACACAAAAAATAACTTGTTTTAAAATTCTGAATCCCATCACTAATCCTCTTCCACTTTTGCCTATGGCAGTTATCTTCTTTTAACGAAAAACCGCGAGCGCATTACATCAGATTTACGGTAGCGTCTGATTAGTTGGCCACAAATAAAGTCATTACTTCAGAGTTAGCGTATTGCACAAGAGAAGCGTCAATAAGGGTAAAAAACGTAGAGGAAGGTGGGCCTAGGCCAGGGGTGGGCAACCTTTTAAAACAAAAATACACAATAATAAACCTTCTAAACATGTAAGCTACGGACAGATTCACTATTCGGGAAAATATCAGCCCGGCAAATAGATTTGATCACTTTTCTTATTCTATATAAGTGAGATTTCTGCTGCTGCATTACCGTTGCTAAAGATTTACATTGGAATTATATTTTGTAACTTTCAAAGAAATATACGAACTACTGGTTATATTTCTTTCGAAATAAATTTATTTCAGTAAGTTAGCAAATAACTCTAACCAACATGAGCTGTACAACTTCATAAATCAATCAGAAATGAAGAAAAATGGTGTCACAGACTATATATATAACTATATATTACGTAACAATGAACCACCAATGAATGCTGTGTCTCGTCACAATTCATCAAGAGCTAACTCATTTGTTACGTCATAATATATTTCTTTGTAGCTATATGTCATGAAAAGACAAAAAGAGTTTAAAATTTTAAATGAATAACAGATTGTTAACAAACGATAATGAATAAACAAACACCGAGTTTCATCAGATAAATCAGAGCCTCGAAACTTTTTATCTGAAAGAGAATGATCTCGTTTCTGAGGCTTCGCTCGCGTGGCGAATAAATGGGTTGCCCACCCCTGGCCTAGGCCCCAGGGGCACAGTGGAAAATCAGCTCTCACACTCATACTATATCCGGAATCCGGTCTGCGGTTGGATGTTTGAATCCGCCCTTCTGTTAGTTACAACGTCTCCGCAAATGGACAACGGCCTTGTGCAGGGGTTCCCAACCTTTTTATCTCAATTTCCCACTTCCAATTAGGCTGAGTTGGTATTTCCCATTAGATATGGACTTGTTTTAAAAAGACTAATTTCCTTGTCAATAATAATTGGTATGACTTTCTATAATAAAGGCTTGCAATTGGTGTAGAGGTTGAAATCTCGTGAAAATATTTATTCCGCCGTCTAGCATCCCAAGACAGTGACGATCCGTTTAAAGAAAATCAGTGTTATCTATCGAATAGAAAAATTCAACGCTTAAAATTACAAAAAACGCATCAAAGTTTACATTACATTACACCGTTCATATCAATTCTGCTGTTTTTTTTATATGGTAGACCGGAAGTCTATCTTTGAAAATTCGCATTGCTATTGGACAAGGAGATCCGTTCATTTTTGGCGCCGCAGACTTACTCGGCAGAATACCATCACACTCCACGAGACAAAGTTTTATTTATGTCCCACCGATGTTATGGAATTTTTGGTTCTTGCTATTCAGAGGACATCTATATTTAGATAAGCCATTACCTTTTATTAACAATTTGGCAGAATGGGGGGACGGGTCAAATATTTGTTCGCCTACCCAATACTTCTGAGACATTTGAATAAAAACTGTTCTTTTTTGCGCCTCTGCGACGAAAATCTTCTTGCGTAATGTTCAAAGCTATTGGTGCTCGTTTGAGGCATGCCTTCGAGGTTGTTATCGGCCGACCAAAGATCAAAATGAGTTGCGTAGCACGATCAGAATATCATGTCCAACAACGTGATATTTTACTAAAGTTTTGATTAATTGAATGGGAATCTTTTTCCGCTTCATGGCATATGTTGTGATTTTCATTGTGTAATATTTAATAATTGTGTTGTTGTGCGTACATTTTGAGAGGAGCATTAAATTTCCCACCTGCAACCTCCAAATTTCCCACTAGTGGGAAATTTCCCACCGGTTGGGAACCACTGTTGTAGAGCGACGCAAGCTATGAAGTGAAATTGGTTTTAGCGGGTTGAAAGTTTGAAACTAAAATTTCACTTTTCCAGTTTTTTCTCTTTTCTGCTATAGCCTTTTCAATATGAAAAACCACCGTCTGATATTTTTCAGATTTAGTCCACTGTACAATAATATTCATAACGTTGACGAGTGAATGTTCGTTACTAATCTCGCCGTGGGACAGTCTGAAAATATTTGTTTTCTATGGGGAACAATAGCCGGGGTTCACTGGGACATGTTTACGGAATTCTTTGAAAAAAATATTTTGGTTGAACATTGATTACAAAAATATTAAATATCGAAATTTGAAGTCCCCCTGTTCTTCGGACGATTATTTACTTATTTTTAAGGGCATACTTCGTTGAATTGAACAGAATGTGCGCCAGGGTTTGTCCGAATGTGCCCAACAAGTGGGGAAAGGTGGGACGCTTGACAAAGGTTTTTCAAGGCATGTTGGTGGTAGGATGTGTGTCTCAAGGAAATTTCTTAGTCGCCGAATAAAAACCACATTCACCACGCTCTGTATTAGTCCAGCAAAGTGAAATGAATGTGTAGTAGAATAAACGGCTCAAAATCTGCAACAACAAAAAATGTCCCAACCTTTCAAACTTTTCCCTACATAAGCATAAAACGAGCAACGATCTTGACTTGGTGTAAGCAAGCTTTATGTCGAGCAAGTTGTTTGATCTATTTTTCCCACGTGTTATTTTTACGTCGAAATGATGTCAACTGTTACTTGCTGTTTTTCATTTGGTTAGCGATTTTGACTATACTAGGTTGATGAATGAAAATCTGAGTTCGCATTCATTACAAGTCATAACAATGGGATGTCCGTCTCTCGGCGTCAAATATCAATAAAATATATTTTGCTGCGAATGTACAAGGAATGTGGTCGGTGCAATCTAAATGAAGGTGCTAATATCTCTTGGTGAAAATATCGGTTGTGCAGAAGTATGCAGGCGCAAACATACGTGGGTGCAGAGTTAATGAAACCGCTGGTGGTACCGTTCAGTAATTCTAAGAAAGTCCCTAATTCAAACAACTTGACATTGTTAATTTTGAGTATTAGTCGTTATCTTCACGTGTTTTGAATTGAAATCACTAAATTTGGATCACTTCTTGAAAACATGGTACCAGAACGGTCTCATGATCAAAGATATATTTGTTGTGTTTACAATGGTGAAAATTCCCGCCTGTTTTATATCTAAGTGTTTCACATCTTCAAATTTTATAAAGTAAAATACACCCTCTTAGCCTCCTAACAGGCCGAATGTTAATCTCATGTAATTTGCAGTTCGCGATGTTGGTTGATTAACTGCCAAAGCTTTTTAAAATATTCTTTTAAATTTTGCATGTTATTTTTTTACTGGATGGAAAAAATAAACTTGACCATGACTATCGCTTGGTTTTTGCGCTTTCGCCTACGTAAACCCTATGACCTATCCTATATGGTTGTTTTAGAAGAAATCGGTGCATAGGGGAACATTTAGTTTTAAGTGATCATAGTTTTTTTGTGCTTCTGTCTTTATCAAATATTTCTATTATCTTTCCCACGGCATAGCTCCACATATTAAGCTCCCACCTATAACCCACCCCAAATGCGAGAGACAACTGTTCAAATCCAAGGACTTGCTACTTAGATTTTGTAATGTCATAAAGCTTAGACGCCTACGAAAGGGAGAGATTGGTAAGTCTACATCGTCGAACTTGCCAAATAGGCAGTTTCTATAGTTGACAGAACCGCCCGATCAGTGAAACGGATCTGACTTGGTCATGGAAAAGCAATTAGCAAGATCAGCGGCGCGATATGCGATTAACGCCCATATTTTATTTTAACAGCAATCCCTGAGGCGTTCGGCTCCATTACGCATGCATGGCGAATGTTGTTCGCCGTCTCTCCAGGCCATAATGGTGCGCATGCCTGCGCGATCGATCACTTTTGGTCGCACAAGCTATTGTTCACGTTTGAAGTCGGTTTGTTTTCATTTCGTTGGTCCTGAGGTTGCGATGTATTTCGGAAGCGCTTCTCGGACTTTCTTCGTTTGCCATACCCTGCTGGAATCATTCAGCCTTAGTGATAGACCGCGTCACTGATTTTGAGTAAAGCTGACTATAAGACGACAGAGCAGGTTGGTCGTGAATAGGAAATAAGTATTCAAGGCCTACGCAGTATATTTATAACGTATGCTTGAATATCTAGAAATGTGAATAATGTGCTGAGTAATGTAATCCATTTCCTCATTCTTGTGAGTTCAGGTTGGAATAGCTGATAAGACCAGGCAGACGAAAAGGCAATTGATAAAATAGGACATCATTGGCAATTCGCGTGGCTGTCAGAATAATACATTTAGATACGTTTCATTTCCAATATCGTCATGCAATTTCTAAGCAATGCCCCAACGACTGTGACGGGATAGGGTTCACGAATATTATCAATATTCATTTTACAGCACTGGCATGTATGAGAGATGTATGTTTTAGCATGAAAACATTGTGTTGATAGCCTTTATATAGTTGCATATCGATGATAACCGAGACCGCAATTTTTTAACCTCGTCAGTATGGTATACAGGAATTACAGTTTTCGTATTTAATATGGTCGTGGATATTACCTTCGGGTCTCACAGCCAAGGATGGTGCATGGAAAGCTATACAAAATAACGCGGAGGAAATTGTGTTCAGTATTAACACAATAGAACCGACGAGACAACTTCGTTTCCTCAATTTCCGTGAACATTAATACCAATAATAAAGTCAGTCATGTTTTTGTACGTTCTATTTGTAGGACTTTTTGTGCGTATTTAAAAGCTATTATGCTTTTTAATTGGTATAATTGAAAATCTTTTAAATTTAGCTTTAAATTTTGCTGTTATTATTTGCGGAGAACAACGAATACTTCATATTTATGTTACTTGCGCTGAGTTGCGCCCTATATGAAATTCTCGTTTCTGACTTGTTTCTACCGTGTTACCCCGGAAATAAGACCGGGTCTTATTTCAAATTTCTTTCGAAAAATAACACGAGGGCTTATTTTGGGGGGGATGTCTTGTATTTACATTTATCAAAAACAAAATTACAAAGTATAGAATTATGAGATTTTCAAATATACAAAATGTAAAGACCGATATCCATTTAATAAAAATAACACGTTCTCGACTCTCGCACGTTTTAGATTAATTATTTAAAACGTGTAGGAGAGATTTCTTGCTATCGACTAGGTAAAAAAAAAATCTTAAAGGTCTTATTCTAGGAGGAGGGATTATACTAAAATCATTTTCAAATTCAGGTTAGGCCTTATTTTCAGGCTAGGTCTTATTTTCGGGGAAACACGGTAGTTTTTGATTTTTAGAATTGCGTTTCGTTAATTCCGCGGTTTCGAATGATTTTCTTAAACTTATGGCTTTTGTTTCTAATTTTCACAGTGAATGTCAGCTTTTAACTGGTAGGCCTATTGCTTCATGTTCAGCAGTAGTGTTAGTTGAAATATAGTGATATGGAGAAGAACGATAAGCCTTCAACTGAACAACAGCAATTGGCTTGGAGCCAAGAAATTCCAAATTATGGAGACAAACTGCTTAAGCGTTTGGAAGAATTTCGAAAGACTACAATTTTGTACGATGTTCGCGTTCGCGCTGAAGGCGGAGAATTCAATGCTCACAAAATAATTCTAGCTGCTTGTGGCGGAATGTTCAGGTTAGATGATTAAGCAGTTAATTGGTAATTTTCTTGTTCAATGACTATTTATTACATTTACAGCGGAAATAATCGTGTTGTTTACGATGGCCGCAAAGGAATAATTAACATTATTTCGTTAATATAGAGCTTAGAACAGGCGATTATTATATTTCAAGTCTTAAAATGCTCTAATTTGGATACTGGGATAATAAATTGTTGCGAAAGATACACATCTTGAATTTTACACTTCGAATAAATGTGTTGTTCACTTCAAAATTGATTCCTTTGAGGTTTTGTTAACAAACCCGCATATCTGGTTTGTAAACTTGCGCAGATTCCACAAATGAGGTAATTAAAATTCGAGACTGATTAACTTCATGAATTCCACCCGAGATCATTAAATTGTTAATTCCCAAAATATAAAAGTCTCATTTTATTTTTTTTAAATAGAACATGTTTCATCGACGAAAGTAAAAAGATGATATCCAGTTCAATAACGGAATTGAAACTCAATTGCCCAGCACAAGGCTTGAAACCGATAATAAAGTTCGCCTACACTGGAGCATTAATTGTCACAAAACGAAACGCTGTGGCAACAATGATAGCTGCTGAAGTAACAAAGATGAGAGAGGTATGTTTATGCATTTGCTAAGTAGCACTTTTTCAGGCGCTGTCTTGAATTGATGTTGAAAGTTGAAAAGGATCATCATACATTGACAATAATTTACAAACAGTAACAGCGAGTCTTGCTTGCTGAGATAGCGCGGTTAAAAGAATTTAGTATGCCGAAATATGATACATACATTTAGTATAGTAGGCGTTCAAGAAATAATTTCAAAAATTAGTTGTTTTATGGGGTTTTAGTCGAATGCATACTTATACTTTGCGGATTTGCTTTGGAAATTGTTGAACGTAACCATGTGGTTCTATGAACTGGTTTTTATTATACATACTCGTTTCAATTAGAAATCATTTTAACGGATCATACGTAATAGTGATGACTTCAAACATGCATCCGCGACAGTTATACCATACAACACCATTATAGGATTACAAAGCAGTTCGGTTTATCAGTTGTTTCAAGTGAAATCCATTCGTTGGAACCAGGGTAACTTGCTCTGCATTGTTTAACATTGCTCGTATAAATGACTTTCACAACATGATGAGCTTGTGCGTCTGGATCAGATTGCCATCAATGCGTGACTCAACTATCACATCATAAAGCGGCGTGAATGGATGTTTCCCGTAGCATCGATTATTTTGTTTATTTCTGTTGTAGTTGCTTAGACACTTCTTTCCCTCAAGGTGGTTAAATATATTACGTGGTTAAATATATTAAAAAATGAAGGTTTTGACCATGCAAAACAGTTTGTAAACGTTAACTCTTCAAAACACCCTTGGAATAAGTATCAAAACTTCTGCTGAAGTGCCTGAGAATTTTTCTGGTGCCAACTGCCAAGGATCGTGGAAACGTCCATAGTTCATGGGCTTTATTGGTCGATCAATGCCCATGGACCCCAAAGAGGGGAACTCGTTGTTTAAATATAAAGCCGTGTCTACTGAAGTATGAGAACAAATGGGGCGAAGGTCCGTCCAGATGGATAAATTATGATATTTGTTTAAATTTTATACAGCTACTACTCAAAACAACAGAGGGTTAATTGAAATTAGGAATCTGGTCAAAATAATGTGACAAAAAGAGTATTAATTTCCTTCAGGTTCAGGAAATTTGTGCCGACATTGCATTAAAAGAATATGGATGGATTATATCTTTCACTGACGAAAAGAATTCAGCCGTTGTTGAAAAATTACAGAACGTGTTGTCTGCACACGCATCCTGTTTCAAGAGTTTGGAAGAAATTGCTGTCGCACAATGGGATGATAACAAAAATCTACCATTTTTAGAAGATATAAGAAGTAGTTTTCCCGATTCTGTTGAGACTTATCAGAAACTTGCGGTATGTTTATCTGGAGCCCGCACACTGATTAATAACAACACTAAATCCAACGAGGCACCAGACGCGGAGTCCGAAAATTCTGGTAAAAATGTCAGTGAACCGGTTTTGGAGGCAAAGAGTCCTTTAAAAAGAGTAGAAATTGAAGAACCCGTAACTAATGGAGCACCCGATAATGTCGACTCAGGAAAACCACAAGTAACGCTGAACAATGAAAAAGAAAAATCGACTCAACAAATTTCTCCAAAACCGGCTGATAGTGTCAAAAATGTGCCTGCCTCGCCGCCTTTGAGAAAGCCTCGATCATCCGTCAAGACAAAAGCCGCACCGCCGCCACCTTCACCAAGACAGCGGGAAGTGGCACCAAAGTCTCCTACGGCTCTGCCGCCTCCTCGTCCACAAAAGCTACCGACAAAAGTTCCGCCTCCAAGACCAAAACCACCAGCGGTGAAAAAAATTTCAGTAAGTTAGCTAGTAAAAATTAGTTCGAAACCAGCATTTTGACAAGACAACATTACGAAAATAAGTTAAAATTACATTTGATACATGAGCATAATTATTTGTTGCATTCGAAATTTGCGTATCAGCGATACATGCGTGGTATTGATGAATAGTGATTACTGGTATGGAATCATTGTACCAAGGGTTTTGCCCTTGTGAGTTATTTTAGCACTTAAAATTTGATTCAGATTTCAAAATTTTCACTCTGTGTAATTCCAGAGTAACTGATCAGAGAAATTTTGAAACCCTGTTGCCGACATCCTCAATACACTAGGCCAGGGATGGCGAACCACTGACCCGCGGGTCACGAAGTGACCCACCGCGTTTTATTCGTGACCCGCCAAGGCACGAATAAAATAAAATGCTAATATAACAGTGATAAAAATTGATCAAACAGGCCTCAAATTAATTTAACAATAACTGAACTATTATCATGTACCGTCAGTTTGGTAGCCAGGGCTGCGATCGCTCATACTCAAACTGTTAATTTCGGGCCGGTATGGTAATTTTCAAAACTCCTAATCTGGATGCCGTGTCTGCACTCTGCATCGCTGTGTAACGTTATTCAGCCATTGGCTCTGAGATCGTTTATGACATAACAATGCAATTGATCTGTTTATTTCTCGCAACATCTCGTCTCTTTCAGCGGTCCATTTGCAGACTGTTTTAGGGGTTATACGAGAACCAGTTGCTACTTACTACTACCAGTACTGCAGTTTATTAGTTTCTCGCCTACAATGCGGTTGAGAAAAAATCTTTCAGACTTGAAATAAAAACCTAGAAATCTGAAATAACAATGGGGCGGTACAAAATGCCCTAATGTGGTTGAAAGCTGATCGAAAAATATAACACTATCAGAATGGAATTACCTCCAAACCCTTTGTAGGTGACCGTACATTTGAACCCACGTACATTTGAACCCATGTGTATATCCACGGGTTCAATCTATATGCGGGTGCTAAAACCCATGGGTTAGGGTTAGTGTGGGTTCAACTATCCGAAAAACAAAAAAAATTCCATAGGTGCAATAGCATACAGGTGCAATTGCCATGGGTTCAAATGTACGTGGGTTCAAATGTAATGGAACCCCCTTTGGAACCGTAAAATAATTTGCCGCATCATCCTAAACGTTTTCGTTAACTCATATGCGTGTTTTCGTACTCTAATTTTATAAAATCGAGAGCCATAAAAAGTCCCTGATAGAAGTGCTGCATGAATAAAGCCCAAAACTACACCAAGAGAAGATAAGATTTGTTTCGGAAGTTTTCTATAGATATAAACATTGATTATATATCTGTGACCCACTCTATTCTGTTCCGCGATAAAAATATAATTTTTGACCCATTCATTGAAAAAGGTTCGCCATCCCTACAGGCCTACTGTTAAATTTATTATTTTCAGAATCGATTGTGGTATTGATGCTTGGGCAAAAATCCCCCTGTTAGCAAAACGGAAATTAATTCACGCTCGAAGCAACTGGGAACTAAAAACAAAATTAAAAATAAAATGTGAATGTCTTGACAAGGTTTGAATATTTTGGTATAAAATCCTGACCCAATGGGGTTCTGGCAATCTGCGCCCAACACTTTTGATTTTTGATATTAATTACGAGAAACCAATAGCATATAAAAGTAAAACCACCATCTTCGAGCCAATTCGAACTAGCGTAGGTTAATTTTAGAAATGTTTCTGACGTTTAGTACAACGTGATAATGGATGGAACGCTAACGTTACTTATGCTTTACCAGGCAGAGGACGGAAATTCCTCCAACAATGATGCGGAAGTCGATTACGACGACAGCTTGAACCCGTTTGCATAATACGGCTTTGTCAATGGTTGTCATTCACGGTATCCACATCGCGGTAAACACTGTGGACGGATACTTTTTGAGCACTGAAGAAATCTCCACAAAGCTCGGATTTATCAGTTGTACAATACTTCTATGTGCCTCGCAGGTTCGAGGTTCACACAGAATTGGCACCACTACGTAAAAAGCGCAAGATCCTTACAGCCCTATTTTTTTAACAATATATTAGTCAAGTTACAACACGTGAGCATACATCGGACAGTTCAGATAATATAAACGCAAATATAGCAAAACTACTAACATTTCTTTCTTGCAATGTCAACACCTTACGTCTTATTTAATTTCAAATATTAGTCACGCATGTAGTCTACTTTGTATATTATATTTATATAATTAATATAATGTTTATTCGATGTTCTGTATTTCTGTCAGATGTGATCTTTATAGGTAATGGGATGGGTCAGTTAGCCTCTTGAAGTGCAGCCGATTATCTGTACCATAATGTGTACCAAGAACGTCTCCGACACTTGTCACTGGATGAGTGTCTTATTCATTTATATTCCTGTTTTCTAAGAAATAACCATTTGGCAAAAATGTGACAGAAAAATAACTTTACTCAATTGTCGTTGCTTATTTTTGTGATTCATCTATTGTCTTGTCGTCCATGACTTCCTCTCATTCAGAGCGTGGAGAAATTGCTGAAATAGGCTTTTATGCAATGTTATTTTGAGTGTGTTCCTTGCAGCATCCCATACCGTGTTATATGGTAGCCGTAATATCAAGCCCACTACCCGACTCCGTGAAGGAGGCGCAGTTCTTACCACTTCATGGCAGCTCCTGCCACGAACGAACCGCGGCAGCTCTTGCCATGGTTTTATAGCGCTATTCAGTAATCAGTATTAACGGTATATTCACAAATTAATGTATCAGATTTTAATTGATCATGTCGAATTATATCTACTTAAACCTTAGCCCTAACCCCAAATCCATCAAAACTGTATCCATAAGAAAAACGTTCCAACTTACCCAATATTTGTCACCATAAGGGACAGCCCTGTCTTTACGGCCCACCTGCCGCGGTTACGGCAGCAAAATTTTACCTGACATTGGTTTTCAATTTGCTGCCGCGGTAACGGCAGCTCGACATTGGTTTGTGGCAGCTAAAATGTCAGTCGCCATAGGTTTGGCCGTAGCGGCCATGGTATGGAAATACCGCCATGGTTTTGCGGCAGCTGCAGACGCCACAGAATGCCGTGAAGAGCAGTGTCATGATAAATAAGATGTTCTCTGTAGACATGCCGTGTACTGGTGTATTCTGTGTTTGTGTTAGGCTGTGTTGGTTGTATGATAATCTGACTGTTTCTGTTGACTGAGGAGTCATCCGTAATAAATGCTTGCTGAATAATATATAAAGCCTCTTATATATGCCTTATGTGTTTGGCTAGACAACACATGACATGGTGTCTCAAAAAACGATGTGGCTATGCTTTCCTCTGGACATCGAACGGGAGAGTATTAGTGAAAAAAAATAAAGATACCAATACCATTTCAATATCTGATGAAGATGATCTGCAAAAAATCAGATAAGTGTCTTTTCTATTTGAACTATTGTCCTATATCTTTTATTCCTACTATGGAAAATTTAAACAACTTAGGCCAGATTTGTAGAGAAATACCCACATCCGCTTGTCATTTTATTATTCGTGTTACTGTTTGCGACAAATTTTTCTCATTTGATCATTACAACTCAATCTCATTTGATAGAAAGCACACTTATTATCCTAAATCTCCTTCAAATCTATGTGCCCTGTATATGATTTAACCTCTCATCCTTCCCATGTAAACTGGGAATCTACCATTCTTCATACCCATGTTAGTTTACCACCATGTCGGCACCTCCAAATTAATGAGATCAACGAGGTCTCATCCAGCTTTCCACCCTTTGATCTCATTTTAGTGCATTTCAACATCAGGTCACTGCCAAGATATGCTGACAACCTTATCGAATTAATATCTCATTTTCATGTTCTCCCTCATATAATTGCCCTGAGTGAGACCAGAATCATTCATGGAGCCACGTTTGTAAATATCGATATCCCGGGGTACGCGTTTATTCATGTTCCCACCCCAACCCAAGCTGGAGGCGTGGGATTTTACCTCAGAAAAAATTTAGATTATCATATCATCCAAGATTTTAACTTAGCATTTCCAAACTGCGAAGACTTGTGGATTGAGGTCAAACAAAACTCTAACAACCAGAGCCTAGTAATTGGTGTAGTTTATAAACATCCGAAAAGTAACATCCCATCATTCACAGGAGCAATGGCTCGTGTTCTTGGCGGGCTGGCAATGGCGAAAAGGAAATTTGTGATTCTGGGTGACTTTAATATCAACCTACTTAACACCCATGATAAATCCACCACCAACTATTTAGATATGCTGACGTCCTATTTCGTATTTCCATTGATCACAAAACCTACTCGAGTCACGCCATCCTCCCAAACCCTCATCGATCATATTTATACAAACGCCATAAACCATTGTTCCTCATCCTTTATTTTACTTAGCGATCTCACCGACCACTTTCCAGTAATGTGTACAATTTCGGGTATGAATATAGGCACAAAAACAAAGATCCGAATGAAGCGAGATATGACTAAATTTTGTAACGACTCTTTTAGATCTGAAATTGAATTAATGTGTAATAATTACATGAGTGTTACTCTTACTAGAGAAAATTTCAATAGCTCTTCTGGTGATTTCCTGGGTCAAATGAAATGGTTAATAAACAAACACGCTCCATTAAGACCCCTATCACGAAGAGAAAATAAATTATACTCCAAACCGTGGATCACTAAGGGAATTCGCAAGTCCATCATTCACAAAAATAATATGTTCAAAAAAAATTTTTTGAAAGGTAATACACTTCAGCGTCTCCACTTCAAAAAATATAAAAATATCTTAATGCAAGAAAATCGAAACAACTGCATTATCGCTATGCCCTCGAGAATAACCGGGGAGATATCAAACAAACTTGGAAAACTATTAACGAGATCATTAAGACTAAGTCCAGAGATGATACATCCATCTCAGAATTGAAACTCGAAAATGGTACCACAGTGACAGACCCCATCATGATGGCCAGTGAATTTAATGAATTCTTCTCAACGGTAGGAAAGAAACTTGCGAATAACATCCCTGGTAGCTCTAACCCTTCTACCGATTTTTTGGGTGTTCCGCTGCAAAACACCTTTTTCCTGGAGCCAACGACACATACAGAGATTCTTCAAACCATATTGAACCTGAAAAATGCAAGCAATCACTCGACCAGCCACGCTATCTTGGACTTAACTTCATTTATTTATGATAAACTTGACAAAGGGGAGTTCGTCTGTTGTACTTTCTTAGATCTGAAAAAAGCTTTTGATACTGTCGACCATGCTATTCTCTCTCAAAAACTTAGATATTTTGGCTTTCGAGGTGTCGCAGGCAAGTTATTAAATGATTACTTGTCCGGACGTTATCAATATGTAGAGTTAGATTCTCACAGGTCTTCGTTATTACCCATCCATTACGGAATTCCACAAGGTAGCGTATTAGGACCTTTGAATTTTTTAATCTTCATAAACGATCTTTCAAATTGTTCAAATTTCTTGAGCAAACTCTTCGCCGATGATGCCTGTCTGCTCGACAGTGCAAAGAAATAATCTCACTGCAAGCCGAGGTGAACACTGAAATTAACAAAGTGTATAATTGGATGGTATGCAATAAACTTACTGTGAATGTTAAAAAATCTAAAGTTATGTTGTTTGGTCCTAAAACTCGAACCAGACATGAAAACTTTTCAATTAAAATCAGGGGTGTCACACTCGAAATTGTCCACTCTTTCAAATATCTTGGGCTTCTTATTGACGACAAACTAAATTGGAACACTCATACTACTGAACTGCATAAGAGACTGTCAAGAGCAGTTGGAATCCTGGGTAAGCTCAGACATTACGTCCAGGACTCAACTCTCCGAACCATATACTTCGCACTTTTCCAGTCTCATATACAGTATGCTATAACTGCATGGGGCTCCGCCACCCAATCAGCGTTGCACAGTTTGGAAGTTTTACAAAATAGAGCAGTTAGAATTCTCTCTAGAGCACCCATTCGATCTAACTTAAACACCCTATACTATAAGACCAGGGTGTTAAAATTAGCCGATATCTATCAACTAGAGATTTCCAAGGTCATGCATCAGTTTCATAGCAACCATTTGCCCGCTGCTTTCGACGATTATTTTGTTTCGCTCAGTAAAGTGCATGATCATAATACACGCTCTTCGACAAGGTCTAATTTATTTGTACCCAGATTTTCTCTAAGCAAATCCCAAAACTCCTTGAAATATAAAGGTGTGGTAACTTGGAATAATATTCCCTTAAACTTACGTAACTGTAGTTATGACACTTTCAAATTCAAAAACAAAAAATTCATGCGCTCCCTTTACCTTTCCACTGCCACTACATCCAGTTGATGTTGTCCCAGCAAATCTTTTCGTCATTGCCAGCTCATCATTTGTCTCGATCCAAATCACCTGTAACAAAACAATGTCTCGTGTAAATATTCGTATTGTATTTTAGCTTATAATTTTAATTGTGTATTCCATACTGATGGGCACAAGCCACTTGACAAGTATTTCTGTCACCAACACATTGTGGGTTGAGGTAAAGCCAAAAATTATATTACTAAAATTATATAACAAAAAAATATTGCAGGCTTTTTGCCCTACTATTGAGCCCGCTCCTCAATGATCTTGGTCTCCTATTTAGTGTGTAATTTCTTGATATCTATTCTGTTAACTGCCAATGACAAATTCATGCCTACAGTCCAATGCCCATAAGTACACTTATTGTTACCATGCCATTTTACATGCCTCAACTGGGATCCAAACTTAATTGGCATCCTTCTGATTACTTTCATTATGGGCAGTCAAGCCTAATGTTGTATTTGTTTTTACTATTTATAATGCTTCGGTAACAGTGATCCAGGTCAATTGTTTTTATCCTTTTGATTAACTTAATTTTTTTTGTAAATTTTCCTAGTCTACTTCTATGGTATGATACTCACTTCATTGTGTTGTATTAATACTGCTGAATATTTCGATGTATATTTTCCTCATGTCTATACAATTCCCGTATGTGAATCTTTGACTCCAGCATCAAAACACTTGTTAGTCCAGGTCAACATTTTAGCTTTTACACTACTACTACTAGCTTGTTTCTGCCTCAAAGTGTCAATATTTTGTTATTTGCATACTTGATTGGTACGGTATTCTATACTTTTACAATTTGTGTACTCTTAACATCCAGTTTTATTTCAATCTGGACACTTATATGCACACAATCGACTTGTGTTGGACAACACTAAA